TTCTCTTCTACACTTCTACCTTAAGGCCTAAAGCCCTAGATCCTACAACCCGAGTTGATAAAGCCTAAAACTCCTAAACCCTAAACCCCTTAACCCCTAAACCCCGAACGCTAAACTCCTGAAAAGCACCTCCAGCTCTAACGCCCTAAGACCAAAAGCCTTAAAATCCTAAAGCCCTAAGGCTCTAAAGCCCTGACCCTAAACTCCTTAACCCCTAAACCCCAGCTTTCAAGCCCTAAGCCCTATGATACCCTTGCAGTAGCCTTATGGATCCCTTTAAAGGAACCCCTAAAAACCCTAAACCCTGAACCCTAAACCCAAAACCCCCCTAGAAAAATGTGCAGCTCTTAAGCCCCAAGCCCTAAAGCTTTAAATGCCGAAAGCCCTCAAAACACTAAACCCTAGCCTTATGGATCCCTTCAAAGGAACCCCTAAAACAGCACTAGAAGCCCGATAAAATGCCTGGAGGCGAGCATCCCGGCGGCCGGGCGCCGGAGTTGGCCGAGCTCGGCTTCGAGAAGCTGCCGACCGACCTTGACCAGATGGGGTCTATAAGGGTTCCTGTAAGGGTCTATAAGGGTTACTATAAGGGATCTATAAGGGTACTATAATATAGGGGCATTAATAATCCTATAGCTTACCTTTGGTTAGTAGGGAATGGAAGAATGGGGTTCGATTATGACTACTATTACTACCATTCTTCCATTCCCTACTCACCAAAGGTAAGTTTGTGGTACGGTTGGATGATATGAGTTTTGCATTACCCATAACAAGGAATGTACCACTGTTCCCATAGTTTAGGGTCCTTAAAGCTAATGCAGGATTTATATCATCAACCGTATTCATTGAGGGTTCCTTAAAGGGATCTATAAGGGTTCTAAAACGGGCTTAGGGTTTAGAGTTTCCGAAAATTAGGGGTACCTTATGTTTTAGGGTTTAAGAATCGTAGTACAATAGCATATGGCGGTTTCCGAAAACTCGGGGTACCTTTTTTTGGGGGATCCTTAAAGCAAGGATCCTGCTATTTAGCGTACTAGTTTAGGGTCCCCATTTTCGGAAACTCCCGTATAGTATAGTATAGTATGATATGGTATCATAGCATATAGTGTAATACCGACCTTGACGAGATGTTTGGAATATTGTAGCATAGTTATCATAGCATGGTATAGTATATATAGTACGGTATAACGTAGCAGTATGGTATAGCATAGTCTAGTATAGTACAGTATGGTATGGTATAGTCTTGTACAACGGCAGAGTATAATTCGTATAGCATAACGGTAGAGTATACTTCCTATTGCGTATTGTGGTTAGGGTTCGGGGCTTTTAGGGCAGTGGTGTCGGGGTTCCATTTCGGTATTCCCTGAACCCGACTCCCCCTTCTTCAAAACAGCTTTAAAGCCCCAAGCCCTATGATACCCTTGCAGTAGCCTTATGGATCCCCTTAAAGGAACCCCTAAAAACCCTAAACCCTGAACCCTAAACCCAAAAAACCACTAGAAAAATGTGCAGCTCTTAAGCCCTAAGCCCTAAAGCTTTAAATGCCTAAAGCCCTCAAAACCCTAAACCCCGATATTTTTCACGCTTCCAAGGAGGGACAAAGCGCTCAGACTCAGCTCCGGAGCTGCATCGCCTGGCATGACAGGGGTTTTGGGGGTCTTAGGGTATGGGGTTTAGGGTTTGGGGTTTGGGGTTTAGGGGTTTTAGGGGTTTAGGGTTTAGGGGTTTTATGGTTTTAGGGTTTTAGGGTTTTAGGGTTTTAGGGTTTAGGGGTTTAGGGGTTTAGGGGTTTAGGGTTTAGGGGTTTAGGGTTTAGGGGTTTAGGGGTTTAGGGGTTTAGGGGTTTAGGGGTTTAGGGGTTCAGGGTTGAGGGGCGTCGGGTTTAGGGGCCTCAGTGTCTAGGGGTTTAGGGTTTGGTTGTGCGTTTTCTCTCTGGTTCGTAGTAGAGCCGCAGGGGATGAGGTATGGGACTACTGTGAGAGACCTCAAAGAGCTATTGTACGGTTGATGATATAAATCCTACATTACCCAGAATAAGGAATATGTCATTATTCTTATAGTTTTGGGTCCTTAAGGTAATGCAGGATGTATATCATCAACCGTAGGGATTTAAGAACTAGCGAGTGTTGTAGACCGACTATCGCTCTATTCCCTTACAGTCCCTGTGTAATTATGCTGCAGTATACCCCAAAACCATATTCTAATGATTGGGGCTCTTGTAAGGTGCCAAGGCGAAAGATACAATTTTAGATACCAAAGCTAAAGACAAAAAATGAGATCTGTGCGCTCGAGGTTTCGTCACCTCGCCCTTCCGGCAGTCAGGTGCCGCAGGGGAGTGCAAGGAAAGGGTCTTTCGAGTCTCAGGATGTATCGAAAAGCGCACGTACAAAGATCATGCACGCTCAATGTTTCTGTGGGTGTTTTGATTTTGAAGGGGTTAAATAAGTTGGTAGCAGCAATAGTCGTCGTCGTAGTCACTATCATCGTCGCCTCGTCGCCGCGTCGTTAGCCTAGTCGCCGTAGCATTGAGCAGAAGTGATCGTCGTGGTCGTCTTCGCGTACCTCCTCCTCCTCCTCCTCCTCCTCCTCCTCCTCAGGCCTCCTCCTCCTCCTCCTCCTCCTCCTCCTCCCCCTCCTGTAAAACTTAGGTTTACTTCTTCAGGGATTTCTTGTTTGAGACGTGCTTTGGGCATGTGGGTTGAAGTTCCACATTTTCCTTCAGAAGGTGCAGTCGTCGTCTGAGAAGGATTCCCCATGCTTCAGTGGCGCCGGGGGAGGCTTTCCTTAACAAGCCTGAATGATTAGAATAGGTTTTTGATTTTGGGGTATGTAATATGAGTATAGTAAGGAACCCTCAGGCAGGCCACTATAGTATTGTTTCTTTCTACCCGATCCTACTCAGTTCCGGATCACTCCTTCACAGAGAGCCCAATATGCACTACTACATATCCACAACCCCTGTGGGACCAGGGTCAAAAACACAACAGGGATGGCTTTTCCACGGCCAATTGCAAGCATCTGCGAACACTCGAAGCGCAAACCCCGAGCCCAAACCCTGAGGCCCAAACCCCGAACCCTAACCCCTGCAGCCTAAAACCCTCAAGCCACAAACCTCGAACCCTAAACCCTAAACCTAAACCCTAAACCCTAAACCCTAAACCCTAAACCCTAAATCCTAAACCCTAAACCCTAGACCCTAAACCTCGAACCCTAAACCTAAATCCTCAGCCTCAAATCCCCTAGAGCCCTGAATCCTGAAACCCTGGAGCCCTAAATTCTAGAACCCCAGGGAAAATTCCCCCTTTTGAGCTTCTGAAGGCTACAAGTACCGCTACTGCTACACTCGACGGGCCGGCAAGAAGAAGCGCAAAGGATTCCGCTGAACTTGGCTGGCCCTACTATGGGGTGGCGTGAAGACTTCTATTAAACGAGTTACGAAAAGGTTTGCCCCGACTTTACTTGGGGTTGAGGGTTTTGGGTTTGGTAGTGTGTTAGAACTTCGAACATATCATATTATGTTATGGCGTAGATAATTTCAAGTTGTAGTCAGCTCGCTGGATGGATGGACAGAGGCCTTGAAGAGCAAAAGAGTCGAGCCCTCAACCCTGAACCCATATCTTCTTCTCATCCCTCATCTCGAAAACCAGTAGGGTCTTTGGGTTTAGGGTCTAGGGTTTAGGGTTCAGGGTTTGGAAGAGGCTTCCCTTGAGGGGCTTCCTTTCAAGCGGTGATAACAGGGATACTATGAGAAAACCATCATCGTATACAGACCTGAATACTTACCACCGTTGTATCTCAGGTTTGCGTGCTTGAGTTATACTTGAACATACTCCCTAAACCCTAAACCCTAAACCCCAAACCCAAGTCTATCTCTTAGGGCACCTACCGTGCTTCTGGCCATCTCCAAGGGGAAAAGGAGGGACCCTTAATAAGGACCCCTAGGTATATACCCTTAGTATAGCCATTATATACCATTATATAGCCCATTATAGGGTATGGGGTCCCCATTAAGGGTCCGTCCTTTTCCCCTTTGACCATCCCTGGCTCCTAGAAGACCTCGATCTGCAGACCAACCAGCGGAGAAAGAGCGCAGGATTCAAGGAGATTTAGGGTTAAAGGCTTTCGAGGGGTTTTAGGGTTTAGGGTTGAGGACTTTGTGGTTTTGGGGGATTTAGGGGTTTAGGGGGTTCATAGGGGTTTGGGGTTTAAGGGTTTAAGGGGTTGGGGGGTTTGGGGGTTTCAGGGTTTAGGGTTGAGGGTTCAGGGTTTGATGCACACTGCGTGCTTGTAGGTCCCATCCTACGGATTGGGGTCCAGAACGTAAGGCTACGATTAGGGTCTTGGGTTCAGGGATTCGGTCTGAGGGTCAAGGGCTGCAGTTCTTTAGGTCGCATCAGGGAAGCACCGGGCCGAGCCCAACACCGTAAATTAGGGGGCCAAGAAGCACACAAGCTTAAGCATTTCATAGGGATATCCCTACCTTAATGAGTTTCATTATAAGGGGGTTTATATGGGACATCCCTATCCGAGTTTTGCTTATGTGCTTTTTGGGGCCCTAGTAAATACATTGACTACCGCGGTGCGGTTTGCTTATCGCGCTGCGGGTGCACTACGTAGATGCCGATGCACGCCAGGAGCCTGCAGTACATGTTATATGTTACATGGTCTACTATATAGTTGTCATCTTGCTATCCTACTTGGAGGATCATGGGACTTAGTAAGTAAGGTTATAAGTACCCTAATTGGGGTTATAAGTATAGTTACCCTAATTATAACTCTAGTTACTAAGTCCCATGATCCTTTAAGTAATCAGATTTAGATGTATTACGCCCAATAAAAAGATATATGACCTAAACCGTAAGCCCCAAACCCTTGAACCCTAGAGCCTCATTAAGGCCCCTACTGTAAAGCCCTACTATAGATCCCTTTTGACCCCTTTAAGGGATCCTCTAAAGGGGACCCTATTCTGAATTCTAAGGCCCCTACAAAAAAACCGTCAGGGGGAGCGGAATTCCGTTGCCTGGAAGCTTCTTGCGGCGGCCGATGGCGGCGACGAGTTGGTCCTGTCCTTGGGACTTTTTTTGTGGCTTTAGGGTTTGGTTTGGGGTTTAGGGTTGAGGGTTTAGGGTTTCGTGTTTAGGGTTTAGGGTTGAGGGTTTAGGGTTTAGGGTTGAGGGTTTAGGGTTTCGTGTTTAGGGTTTAGGGTTGAGGGTTTAGGGTCTAGTCTAGGGTGTGTAACAGTGTGTGCGCGGTGGGTGCGCCTGTTTTACTGCCGCACTCACTTATCGCGCCCTTGCGTCAGCATGCTGTCCCGCCCCAACCACCCCAACCACCCCAACTATTCTCAATTAGGGTTTAGGGTTCGTCTTTTCAAATCCCCTGAAGGGGTGCTTTCTTGCTCTTTGCTTCCTTTGCAGCCCTGCATTAAATGATGACATCTCATTTCCAAGCAAACCGCAGCTGAGATGGATTGGTGTGGCGTTGTGGGTCCTCGCGGCCTGTGCCGGGCAAACAGTTCGCCCCTCGCACCCTCTGATGCTCGCAGGAGCGATGGGGAAGTTTGCCAAGCTCTTCACGAATGGGGTCCAGGAGCCCCCCAAATACTGTTGATGATATAAATCCTGCATTACCCATAATAAGGAATGTACCAATATTCCCATAGTTTAGGGTCCTTAAGGTAATGCAGGACTTACATCACCCACCGTAGTATAGGAAATCATGAAGGCCTCTGTCTTAGTCTCCGCGTCACGGCCCAATTTAGACATGTGATCCGGGGAGGGGCCTGGGTCGCCTCAGGGGTCTACTGCAAAATGAATCCGACGCGCTAAACCATCCCAAACCCCTAGTTCAATCCTAGGTGGTAGGGGGGCTCTCTTAAAAGCGGACCTTATTGAGAGGGTCTATATCTTCAAGGGTCCCCTTAATCCCAACTCCTATTCTGTGAACTAGACCTCTGAGCCCTCAGCCGTAACACCCCACGCCCTGAGCGGGTGCGTATCTAAACCGCCCCAGAACTCCCCTCAACCCTGACCCCTAAACCCTAACCCCTAAACCCTAAACCCCCCTAAACCCTAACCCCTAAACCCTAACCCTAAAAACCCTAAACCCTAAACCCTAAACCCTAAACCCTAACCCCTAAACCCCCTAAACCCTAAACCCTAACCCCTAAACCCTAAACCCTAAACCCTAAACCCTAACCCCTAAACCCTAAACCCTAAACCCTAACCCCTAAACCCTAAACCCTAAACCTCCTCTGAACCCCTGAACCCCTAAACTCCCAAACCCCGAACCCCCAGACCCCTCAACCTTAAAATATAAACTGCCCCAGTGATCCCTGAATTCTAAACTAGACCCCCCCAAACCCTAAACCCCTAAGTGACATACGTTTGCAGAGGATTATTCAGATCCTTCGATAGCATGTGTATGCTGTATCTTCAACCAAAGACCGCAAGCTTTTCAGGTGATCGCGGAGCTCCTGCGCCGCCTCGGCGACGAGTCTCCGAGCTGCAGTCAGGCCTAGGCGGTGGTAGGCTTTAGTTTAGGGTTCTGTCTAGGACCGTTGTAGAGGGGTTCATGGGGTTGTAAAGGGTTTTATGGTTTGTTGTAGGGTTTCATAGCGGTTTATGAGGTTTCATTGGGCTTTACGGGCTTTTTAAAGGGCTTTGAGGTTTCGTCGGGCGTTGGGGGTTCTATATCACTGGTTTTCATAGGGTGTGAGAGTTTTTGCTGATAGGGCTCTTCAATTTGACATGCGGGGTCCATGTAACAACCGGCAGGTACCTTGTCTCTAAAGGGATGTGTCTAGGGGGCTTAGAGGTGCTACTTCTCATTTGGAACGGAACGCCGAGCTCAGGATACATGATTCATGTTTTCGGGGTTTAGTACAAGCATAAGGCAGGTCGGTCTGGCGATGTAGCAGGTTTCGTGTGATGTTGGGTTTAGGGTTGTGAAATTGGGCTTGGTGTTTAATGTTTCTTGTGCTGGGGCTTTCGGGCCTTCCTTTAAGGGTTCAAGGGTCCTAGACCCAAAACCCCAAACCCTAAACCCTGAATCCTAAACCCTCCACGCTAAACCTCTAGCCCTCAGTCCCAAAGTTTTGAAGGGTAGGATCCTAGACTCAGAACCCCAAACCCTGAACCCTAAACCCTCCACCCTAAACCGTATAAGCCCTAAACTCCCAAAGTTTTGAACGCAGCTAGCAGACCGCCTGGAGCTGCCCTTGGTCTCCCCCTAGAACTTGTCTTAGGGGTACTTCGAAATATTTTTTAATTTTTGGTTATTATAGTCCCTAAGAAACAGCTAAAATTACAATTTTTGCTCGGGTTCTAAGTTCAGTATAGTATACTTGATTAAGAAGCACAGCCAACCTCGATACTCTAAAGTCCTAAAGATTAGGGCTTGGGGTTTAGGGTTTATAGGGTTTAGGGTTTATAGGTGTAGAGCCTTAAGGCCCAAAGGCCGGCGGAGCCCTTTCCTTCAATTTTCGCTGATAGATTCGGGCGTAGGATTTAGGGTTGAAGTTTTTGTGTGTAGGGTTGAGGGTTCAGGATTTAGGGTGTGATACATAGGCAAGGATGTATATATTCTACACGTTGATATGCAGCAAAGAAGAAGATGTCATGACAGCGGTATCGAATAAAACAGGGTTGGTACCAGGCATACATACATGCCCGCCAACAGCCGACAAAGCATCTCTAAATCTGACAATCCGAGATCATATCCCTGCCCTTCCCGCACGCTAAACCCCAACACCCTACGTAGACCCTAAACCGTCAAAAGGAATAATCAGATGGATCGTTCTCTAAATTCGGATCTCTTTTGTAGATCCAATATAGTACCGAATTGCAAAACGACACCAAAACGGGCCTTGACCCCAAAACGGGCCCTAATTTATGTTGAGCACATGCGAAAATCAGGCACCCACCGGTCCGGCGTGCGGCAGCGCGCACTCTGCGGGAGGCAGGAGTCTTTAAGATTTGGGGGTTTGAGGGTAAGCCCTAAACTCCCGAGCCTGATAAAGCCCTTATGAAACTCCTACAAACAACCCTGAAGAAACTCTATAAAGCCAACATAGAAACCCTAAAGCCTCAACGATGCTGGACGCCATGTTGGACTGTGGCAAAGGTAAGTGAAGGGATTCTGTGCAGTCGTGTTCAACATGATGTAGACGGGGATTGTGAACGAGATGTAGTCCGCATGGACGGACGAGATGCAGGGTCTGTGGGTCAGGAGGTGGGACGGAAGTGAGTAATGGCGAGTGTGGCAATCCAGGGTCTTGTTCGTCGAGTTCTGAGGGAAGCTGGAGTCTAGAGGGGTCTATAAGCGGAAAAGGTGTAGAAAGAGGCACTCAAAATGAGCCTGAACACAATACATTAGAAGCCAGAAAGTTGGAACATGAATGTCCTCATGCCCCTAGTATACAGTATAAGGGATCCTAGCACTAATCATCCTAAATCCATGTTCCAAGTTTCTGGCGTCCACAGTAGCAGCGTTTGCGTTGCTAAGTGCCTGTCATCGAGCGTCTGAGAACCTGGGCCACTTTAGCAACCCTAGGCCCTGAACCGGCAAAACAAGCTTTGGGCCTTATGTAAATTTCTTGAACCATCGAGGCTTGGAAGCGAGTGGGCCCAACCGTGGGTCTTTTCTGGGGTTAAAGGTTGAGGGGATGAGGGTGTAGAGATGTAGGGCCTGTAGGGTTTAGGGTTAAGGTTTAAGTTCGATTTTCGGCTTGGGGTTTAAGGCTTTGCAGGGGCTTGCAAACTGCGCTGTGCGGCTTAGTGGAATAGGCTATAAGTTAGGTTTAGGGACTAGAGGGTTGATACGGCTCAGGATAGACACCAAACCCGAAACCCTAAACCCCTAAACCCTTTACCTCAAACCCTAAACCCCAAACCCCAAACCCTCAAGTGGCCATAGAGAGGTGGTTCCTAAAGATGCCGAGCTGGCCATCCCGTTGCTGATCGGCCGGACGGGCTCGTCGGAGCCCCAGACAGCGCCGTGGTGCCGGTTTAGGGTTTAGGGTTTAGGGTGCCAGGGTTGCGGTCCCTACCCTGGACCCTCCTTGACATAAAGCGCATAAAGGCACGTATCGCCTTTCTGACTAAGTCCCCTGATCCCCGAAGTATCGGTTTGGGGCGTCGGGTTAGCTTAAAGGATCATGGGACTTAGTAACTAGGGTTATAACTAGGGTAACTATACCAATAGCCCCAATTAAGTTAGTCGGGGGCCTGGGAGGGTCTACCACGGCTCAGGGTTCATGAGGTTTTGGGTGGAGGGATGCCTATGGGGATTGACTTATGATCCGGGTCTTGTTGCCTAGTAGCTGAGTGGATACACTTTACACTTTATGAGATAATATTACCCATCATAAAACTAAAAGTGTACAGCCCCCAACTCGAAAACCTGCAGAACAGTCTTCTGCAACTCAGATCACTTCGTTCCCAGGCTACATTTGGGAATTTAACAAGACGGTCCAGCAGTACAGGGCAGCAAGAAGCGACAGGAAGGGAGCAGAATGAAACGAGCTACCCCTTTTTTGAAGGGCCTCGGTAATGTAGGGGCTTAAATAATTTTGATTCACATTACTATTTTGGGGGCTTCCTTACTATGAACAAAGTTTAACGGGCAAAACCCTATTCTGATTATTAAGGCCCATATATTACCCTTTTGAGCCTGGCCGCTGGGTTCTTGTTCAGTAACTTTGGGTTTAGGGTTTAGGGTTTTGTTTAAGTTCCATACTTGGAGGTTCGTCGGTAGTTATAAGTGGGGTTAGAAGTCCCCTAATATGGATTACAACTATAGCTACCTTACTTATAACCCATTTACAACTACCAATGAACCTCCAAGTAACAGGGATCTCTAGCAGATGATCTGGTTACCTTGTGGTTACCTTGTTCGAGTAACTTAAATCTGGTTCCTTGACAAGAAACCAGGCAGGGGCGGGCCGCGAAGGAGGAAAAAGAACCTCCAGGAGGAAGTGAACAAGCGCTGGGATCCAGTTCTGCTCAGACAGAAGCTACAAACCCTCAACCCTACTTGGAGGATCATGGGACTTAGTAAGTAAGGTTATAAGTACCCTAATTGGGGTTTTAAGTATAGTTACCCTAATTATAACCCTAGTTACTAAGTCCCATGATCCTTTAAGTAAACCCCACGCCTACAAAGAACCGCAACGACTGCCATCCCCCTACCGTAAGCAGTTCAGTCAACATCGTCTGCTAAGCCAAGCTTCCACTTGAAGAGGTTTCCTGTTTTGAGGGTTTATGGTTTAAGTTTAAGGGTTTGGGAAGGTTTGGGCTTGAGGATTTAAGGGTTTAAGAGTTTAAGGGTTAAGGGTTTCAAGCCTTAGGGCCTTAGGGTTTAGGCTCGAAATTGAACGAACTTGTTCTACAGGCTGCCAGTACTCCTACTGCTACAGTCTATCTTGAGGATTGCTGGTGGGGGGCTTTCCGATCTCCGATCGCATGTTATGACATACTCAACAACAGGTCCGATTCCCGAATCCGAAATCCTGGAAAAGAGCCTTCAACAAACATAGGAAACAGCGCTAAACCCTTCCGGTTGTTGAGTGTTTGCTTCTAGCGCCTAAACCCTAAACCTTAAATCGAACTGATGGAGACCCGGTCCCTTTGGACCAGGTCCAGTCCCGATGCGCGCAGGGGCCTTGGCAGAGAACTGATCACAACGGAAACGAGGTTTTCTTAAAGGGTTCTGTAAGGCTTAGGGCTTAGGGTTTGGTTTCTTCAAGCGTTTTTCATTCTTGAGAGATATTAATGCTGTGGAGCTATATTATGACGGGCTTGATAGGGTATTGACAGGGCGTCGTAGACCTACCGCTTGGGGTTTGTATTCGGGTTACTCCTGCTCTTGGAGTGTTGTGTTTAAGGGTGGAATCCTGCGAAGAGTATGTAAAAAAGCCCTTTCTTCAAGAGTTCTTCCATTAGGATCCCTAGCATAGTCTGTTTTAAGGTACATGGGTCTGCATTAGTGTAGTCAACCCTGGTACGTATACACCTTGGGTACGGCCCCCACTCAGCAACAGTTGGATAATATTCATAATATAGATATATAAGGCCCTTAATAGTAGCCCTATTATAGACTGTTACTGTATTAAACCCTAAACCCTAAACCCTAAACCCTAAACTGTATGGGGGCCGTACCCAACATACACCTGCCTTTCAGGATCGCTTTGTTGTGGATCTCTTGTTCTACGAGGCTTCCCATTTGGGCGGTTGTCGAAATTAGGGTCCCTTTTTTGGGGTCCCTATTATAAAACAGCACCCATGGTTTAGGGTCCCCAAAAAGGGACCTTAATTCTGACAACTACCCATTTATTTATTTAGTGTTTAGGATCACCCTGAACCCTAAACTCTAAACGACAAACGCGTTCAACAACAGAGACAGCACAAGCGCAGTAGGGGCGCGGGCGCCTGACTTGCTTTCCCTAAGAAGCATTTAGGGGTTTAGGGTTCTATGGCCTCAGGGTTTAGGAGTTTATGATGTAGGGTTTAGGATTTTGGGGTTTTACGGGGTTTAGGGTTTCGGGCTTGTTGGGACTTTGAGAAAGATTGATTGAGACAGCGAACATATTCGTTTCGTTGGATCGTTTCTGCTGGAGGGCAACATCCTCGATTCGCCCTCGAGTGCCGCGATTTCCCCTTGAGTGTCCTCGAGTACGAGGAGTTCGCCCCTTGCCATCATGAATTGGAAAGTGTCCGAAAATAGAGGACCCTAGTATAGTACCCGAAATAGCAGGCTCCTTATTGTAAGTACCTGCAAGCCCGAGAATATGAAAGCTATGGTAGCCTTGTTGCGGATGCCCTGAGCCTAAACTTTCAAATCCTGCGTCCTAACTTCAAACAAACCCTCAACCTCAATGACCCACAAAAATATGGATCTACATTAAGATATGGGGTTCAGTACATTGTGGGTTTCGATATTAATGTAGCTTCTAACTATGCTCCTCAAGCAGAACTCTGACTAAGATCCTTGCAGCTATCCCTTGTCAAGGTTTCGAAGTCACGAGTGCTCTCGAACACTTTGCCGAGCGTCGGGGCCCCGTCGCAGTGGGCTTGGGAGTTCGTACTATACTTGGAGGATCATGGGACTTAGTAAGTAGGGTTACAAGTACCTTAATTGGGGTTATAAGTAACTATAAGTATAGTTACCTTGATTATAACCCTGGTTACTAAGTCCCATGATCCTTTAAGTAGGGGCCTTCATAATTACCAATCCGATTGTGGGGGTTCCTTGTTATACTTATAGCATAATGGGCCCCAACACCCTATTCTAACTATTTGGGCCCCTATGTTATTCATTTTTCTGTTCTAGGACCTAGAGTAGGCCCTTATTCCCTTTTCGGCGGTTCAGGTTCCCTTATAAGCCCCTTTAAACCAAAAAGGGCACCCTTTTTATTCCTAGGTTACTCTTAGCCTTAGTGTTTGGGTGGCTAGACCTCAGAACTTCAGGGAGTGTGTGTGTAGACTCGTCATCAGCGTGTGAAGTGGCTGTGGGCAAAGTGACTTGGGACTTCGCGGTTTGCTTCGGCCACATGGTTGCGCCGTTTGTTGAAACCCTAAACCCTAAACCCTATCAGGTACAACTGGTGTTTTAGGTCCAGCGCGCTTCGGGCTTTAGGGGTCTTTGAGGCGGGTTCAGGTTTCGAGACTCTCTGATGTTGGTTTGTGGGGCTTTCGGTGGCTTTGTGCAGGCTTTTGGGTCCAAAGCGTCGGGTGTTTCTTTTTTAAGTCGTGACTGTGAACCCTAAACCACAGAACTTGAAGGTAAATCTTACACCCTTCATTGCTGCTGGATATAGCATGTAGAGCAGAGGCATTTGGGATTTTGGGGTTCGGGTTCTGTTTGGGTGTTCGACAAGGAGATAGCTTCAGAAAATCGGTTTTTCCTGTCGTCCCTCAGCATCCTCAGCCCTACAGTAGAAGCCAGAAAGTTGGAACATCATTATCCTCATGACTAATCATCCTAAATCAATGTTCCAACTTTCTAGGGTTCACTGTCAATCCTCACTCCTGCAGGGCACAGGCTTGGGGTGGTTCAGAGAAGCATGGGGAGGATGGCCTGGAAAGCCAGCGCCAAGCTGATAGTGGAAATCGCGTACAAACCCTAAGCCCTAAGCCCTGCGGTTTAGGGCTGAAGTAGGGGTTAACGTATCAACCTCTGAATTCACTGATCGGCACCACTGTCGCAAAAGCAAGTGTTATGTCCCCTGCATTATGAGGAAGCTCCTTCGCAACAGCATGTTACTTGACGTGGCTATAGAACGCTTTCGAACCCCAAGTTGAAAAGCCTTATGGAAGCCATACATTTTACATTAGAACCTTTAAGGAAACAGCTAAGGAAGCCCTTTGAAATCTAGCCCCACCCTAAACTCTAAGCACAGCACCCGAAACCACAAAAGGCTCAACCCTAACATAGGGGCCTAAATAAATACCGATTCTATTTTGGGGGTTCCTCATTACAACATAAGTATGACGGGCCCCAAAACCCTGTTCTAATTATTAAGACCCCGAGATTATAGTGCCCTTATAGATCCCTTAAAGTATATATATATATATATATATACACTCCTTTAAAGGAGCCTCATTCTAAATTATTAGGGCCTCTTTCTTACGACCTCAGCCCTAAACGGTTTCAGGAGGCGACCGGAGGGTGCTCTCAGCCCTCCTCGATCGCTTGGAGGATGCAGAGGCCCGTACACTAGGAGCCCAAATAAGTACCAGTACTATCTTGGTGGTTCCTGATTATAATTAATATCGTTACGATGGTTATCATAGTTATTATAGTTACTTTATTTATAGTGTAATGGCCCCCAAAACCCTATTCTACTTGTTAAGTAGCTCTTTTCTCCAAATGCCATCGAGGTCGGAAAAATTAGCAGTGGCATCCCCCATATAGCACCCTATAATTCGGTTAAGTGTCAGGGGACTTAGATACTTAGTACAGTATGCGCTCTAATCTAATCATTGAGGCCCATGCATCCTCACAACAGGAAATAGTTTACATAGAAGAAGCATGGAAGAGCCCTATACCCTGAGCCCAAAACCCTAAACCAGAGGGCAAGGGATGAGCTGAACCGGGGGGTTTCAGTGTCACAAGATGTCTTTCTCCCCTCTATAGCCGTGCTTTTTATTAGTTCAAATCGAAGCGCTCGACCAGAAAAGCGGGGAGCAATGTTGAGATGTGGCGCCCGAGGCATAGACTGTACAGAAGTAGGGACAGCAAGAGGTCCTAAGCCACGCCCTAGACCCTGTACCTTGGGCCCTTGTGCAGGAACCCGATTGAGCAACCGAAGGTTTCAAGTTTCGTGACAGGATCCATGTGCAGCGCTCGCAGAAGAAACAAGGCTGTCCTATAGTCCTATAGTGATAAGCCCCAAAATACTATAGGGGCCAAAATACAACCAATACGATAGGGGTTCCTTATTACAGTTACAGCATCATGGGCCCAAAACCCTATTCTAGTTATGAAGGCCCCTATATTTGCCGAAAGCCTTGAACCCTGAGCCCAAGCACTCTAAAGCCCCACGGCTGGGAGGTTGTGCGAGAGAGCTCGCCCTGCCTCCATGTAGCATAGAGCCCGTATCATGGCATGGCCCTACGTCGCCAGTTCAAGCGTTCTGTTTGCGTAATTTGCTTCTGGGTCTCCTTATTTCCTCATTGAGGCGGCAAAACTAGAAAGCCGGTTTCGTAGTTCCCGCAAAAAACCCCTTTTTCTGGATACCAAAGCCCTTACATAAAGCACAACCTTGGCTATGTGAATATATATATATATATATATATATATATTTCTTTCCACACACACACACACCCACGTACATACACGCACACATACACATAGATAACTAGATGACCAGATAAGCCAATATGAAATATGGCAATATGTAGATATGTAAACATGTAAAGATGTACATCTGTTTAGTATTAGGTATCAGTATGTAAGTACATACACACACATATACATATACATATATACGTATATACATATGTACATATATATATATATGTATATATATATATATATATACACACACATGCACATGCTACACATTGAACCTGTCTTTAAGAGATCCCCACCGAGCTTCGAATTATAGCAGGGGTCCGTACGCGCGAGAGCGATCTCTGCGCTGTCAGCCGTGTCCGCACGGGGCCCCGGTCTCATCATGTTTGGTGCGTTTAGGGTTTAGGGCGTACGATGGTTTTCCTGCCGGGTCATGAAGACGGAGACATTGATCTTGCATTCGGTGGCGGGCTTTGCGCGTTGGCATGTGAGGAAAGTAGACGGATCTCCAATCGGCTGTAGACACTCTAGTAGGATATTCTGAAGAGGTACTTGCCACGGAACCGGTAGAGACCCTCAAGCCGCTATAGGAACCTTAACCCTAAACCCTAAACCCAAAACCCAACACCCGAAACCCTCATCCTTTTTTGCAGGAACTTTGCCGGAGTGCCTTGTGTTAGTTTCGGTTCCCAGTGTTGTCGGTCTCATGCCCGGTGTCGGGTCCTGGGGCCCTTTAAACCGGCTTTGAAGAGATCTTCCGAGCCTCACTATAGGGGCCGAGAAGGGGCCGAGGGTTCCCTTTAAGGGGATCCTTAAAGGGGTCTACAAGGGATCTATAAGAGTATACTACATTAGGGGCCTAAATGAATACCAGTACTGGTTTTTGGGGTTCCTTATTCAAAGTCGAGTATGATGGGCCCCAAAACCCAAATTTTAATGATTGAGGCCCATATACCATCGGGTGTCGAGTTTTCTTTGGGTTCAGGGGTTAAGGGTGTAACTAGGGTCCAGTGAGGTCCAGGGTTTAGAGCAGGGTTCCTTTAAAGGGTTCCTTGTAAGGGATCTCTCAGGGTAATTTTAAAGGCTGTTGTAGGGTTTCGGGTCGAACCTTAAGCCGCCAAACCTCGGGTCCGTGCCAGGAACCTGACGACGACGCAGTCCTCGTCCAGGCTCGTCCCACGACCCCGTTTAGGGTTTAGGGTTTAGGGTTTAGAGTTTAGGGTTTAGGGTTTAGGGTTCAGATTCACAAAACATCCGAGCGCGAATCTTAGTGACAGAGTGAGAAGCTGGGGACCTGGAATAATTCGAAAGATTCTCATTCGAACCCTAGTATGGGGGTTTCCGAAGATAGGGGACCCTAATATGGTACCCTAAACACTCGGATCCCTATTGTAAAGGACCCCAAAATAAGGTACCCGAATTTTCGGAAACTCCCAACCCTAAACCCTTTATAGAACCCTTATAGATCCCTTTAAGGAACCCTTAACGAATCCCTTTAGGGGTACCCCTAAGTTTCTCGGAAGCTCCCCTATGACTTCTGTCTGCGCGCCGAGACTCCGGGGTTGCTTGCGGTTTACGAAAGCTGGGCAGCTCTGCAGGTTTAGCTTAGGGGTACTTAGAATATTTTTAAATTTTTGGATATTAAACTCCCGAAGAAACAGCTAATATTGTAATTTTTCCTAGGGTTCTAAGTTCTGTATAGTTAGTATTTCCTTAACCTACCAAAACCTACTTTTGTTTGTAGGGTCCCTACAAATTCCATATTAGGGTTTCTATTAAGAACCTACAAAAAAGTAGGGTTTGGTAGGTTAAGGTAGGGTTCAGGGTGGAGGGCCTTAGGGACTTGCTAGATCCCACCGAAAGCAGAAAGCCTTCAAAGTTGTCCTAATTCCCAGATAATTCCCAGATTCGAAGTTTCTACCCTGTGGAGCTTAGAGAGTCTGCGTAAAGGATGAGGGGACTTAATTTCAGGGGCTCGTATTGGATTATGGGTAGTTATATCTATGTCTCCTTTACTTACCTGAGTAGGGTTCAACATGTGGGTGGTTGTCAAAATTAGGGTCCCTTTTTGGGTCCTTATTATAATACGGCACCGAATAATTAGGGTACCCAAAAAGGGACCCTAAGAGCCGGCTTGCGGCTTCCGCTGCCCAAAACCCGCCTCCAGCACCCAGAAAGCCCCAAACCCTGAACCCTAAACTCCCTAAACCCTAAACCCTAAACTCCCCAAACAGTTTAGGGTTTAGGGTTTAGGGTTTAGGGTTTAGGGCATGGGGATCCACCGAATAGAGGAACACCTGATTCAGAAACCTTGGGTCGTTGTGCATTAAGCCTCGTTATGTGGATCCTGGTCTTTCGGGGGTATAGGACAAGGCTGTCTTCGTCAGATGTCCTACAGCAGAACCCTTCTCAGAAACGCGCAGCGAGCTGCTGTGGTAGCAAAGGAGTCCAACACAAATCCTAGGAGGCCAAACGGGGATTTAGCCTATGCGGGTTTAGTAGGGATTAGGGTCCCCATGATAGGGTTCATATTTTCATAGTAAGGAATCCCTACCCTAAGAATCTTAAACCACCCTTTTGGCCTCCCGTCGAAAAATCCCAAAGGCCAAACCCAAAACGAAACACCCATGTGCTGGCCATCTGCGAGAGTTTTCCTCATCTGGTTTCTGGGGTGTAGGATTCAGGGGTTAAGGGTGAAAGGGTTGAGGGCTTAAGGGATACGGTTGATGATGCAAATCCTGCATTACCCATAATAAGGAATATTCCATAATTTCCATAGTTTCGGATCCTTAAGGTAATGCAGGATTTATATCATCAACCGTAGGATTTAGGGTTTAGGGCAGCCCGTCAAGGAAGATCCTGAACCCGGAGGCCGAAGCCCGAACCCCAAAGCACCCTAAACTTCGCTTTAGGGTTTAGGGTTTTGGGTTCAGGGTTTAGGGTTAAGGGTTTAGGGTCCTCAGCACTACTTTAGACGCAGGTCTGTGGACGATTGCTGGACTCTGAGTCCTTCGTTCGGGCTGCGGTAGCCGAGGCAAGAATTCGCTCCAGGGATTGTTGTTTAGTGTTTAGGACTTGGGCTTTGGGGTTGTGGCTTGGGGTTTAGCTTCTTGAGGGGTTCTGTAAGGATTTCTGCACTACTTTAGATAAGGGTTCTAGCAGGGTGTAACTATTTCTTACGGGTTGGATTGGGAGTTAACATGCTATTTTACAAGGTGTTTTAGGGATTGATACGGGTTTGATGCCGGCCCTAAGCTGGTTTAGAAGGGTTCTGTAAGGACTTTCTGCTACTTCATAAGGGCTGGTATCTGCAGTCCTGTGTTTTTTTTTATATTTTGGCGTTGGGGGGAGGGTGCAGCCTTCAAGTCTAGGGCGGGTGTGTCTGCTTGTGACTGTGGAAGGCTACTGCGTTTTATGCATTCGTGTTTCTCGGAGTGACAAAATTCATAAGAGCACTGAGATTCCCCATCACACCAGCGGAACACACCGAAACGGACCCTGAACGGTAAGCCTTAAACCAGAAGCTCAAAGCCAGTAGTAGTGAGAACCCAATCTTTCTCAGGTTTCTCGGCTAGCGCAAGGCGGTGTATTCGCCCTCACCGCAGGTCCAACTGAAAACCAACACCCCTCCACTTTGCACCGGAGATCTAACGAGCAATCCCTACACCAGTATTTACACCCCATACCTTGTTCCAAGCCCTCAGCCGTAGACCTACTACTGTTAAGGCCCCGAGAGTACTCGAAGCACGGGATGTCATGAGAGCATCTCGCCCCGATCTTCGACGGTGAGAACCCGTACTTGTAGGTTTAGGCTGTAGGATTTAGGGTGCACCCTCACTTAGCCCACTGACTATGTCCCTCATCCTCCGGGCATGGTTTGAAGCTTGAGGGTCATGTAAGCTCGTGGCTAAGGTTTCAGGGGTTTGGCAGTTTAGGCTGTGAGTGTGTGAAGCCTCAAAGACTACGTACTATAGGGGCCGTAATATTACCTATACTATTTTGGGGGGTTCCTTATCATGATTACAGTATACTGGGCCCCAAAGCCCATTCCAATTATTCAGTCCCCTATATTAAGTAAGGTCTCGCCCCGTTGATGGTTCTTCGACCTGAGCATTGTGCAGCTTCTGACCGGAATCCCTGACCTCTGGTTTAGGGTTTAGGGTTTAGGGTTTGGGGTTTGGGGTTTGGGGTTTAGGGTTTAGGGTTTGGGGTTTAGGGTTTAGGGTTTGCTGCAAGATTGCGTAGCGGTAGTGTAACAGGCATTGTAGGATTTATTAGCGGTTTTGTTGCTTGCGAATCGCAGCCATGGCCCGACTGTGGCGGGCCATCACATAACTCACCCACCCCACGCCGTCTGAGGCGGCAAACCACCCAAACCTATACCTTTTAGGGTTTAGGACCTAAACTCTGTTGGGTCCATGTTGGTTAACAACAACCACACAATTCTGCAGCCAAGCTTCTGCTCCGAAAAGGCAGGCCAAGGTGGGCAGATTCGGCAGGAGGTAGGGCCGGTGGGGACAGGGGGGCCAGGGTGGCCAGGGGAGGCGCTGGAGCTTCCAAGCCCCCCCGGGGTCCCGTTTTGGGGAGGATTTCGGGTAGCAGCTTTAAGAGGGGCCAGCATGCCGGGAAGAACTTGTCCCGGTACCGGGTGGGTGCTACAGTACTCCTGGCTGTGGGACGGCGGGCGAGCGTCCTGGATCGACCTGCGCCATCGATGTCGAGGGGCTTAAGCGCCGCCCACCATCGAAGGTGGGCGGCCTAGGCCTTGAGTTTAGGGTTTAGGGTCTGGGGTTTAGGGTTAAGGGTTTAGGGTTTAGGGTCTTGAAACGCCCCACGCTTGATGCCCGACAGCGGAATCTTCACGTGCCTAGCGTAGCCTGATTCCCAAGCAACCTCCTTCCTGCCCGAAAGGCTCTTCCAAGCCTCGCCTCGCCGGAGAACCGCAAGGCAGCATTTTCAGGATCTGAGCAAATTAGCAGTGCTATCTCCCTTGTAGTGCATACATGAGCACCTGTATCAACATGATAAGCCCAGAATACGTCAACTGGAATCATACCTCACTCGAAACTTTTTGCTTTCCACGTCCTACATACGATGCTACCCTGAACCCTCAAGCTTAGAAGAGACAATCACAACCAAGGCATACTCCCAATCCCAAACGCCTGAAATCGAAAAACTGAACGGGTGAGGTGTGGACCTACCTGACCCAAGCACTTCGAAATTTCCGGCCGCCTCCGCAGCGAGAAGATCTGAAGGAGGTTGGCTTCTGGAGGATTGTCTGGTGGTGTTGAGGGTTTCGGCTTTCGGGGTGGAGGTTTGAAGCTTACGTTACTTATGCTAGGATATTACATCAGTTGTTCGAAGTTCATCGAATCCTGTAGCGCTTTACAAAATCCTTTCAGGACACTCGGGGGTGTTTAGCCGTAGACCCTCAAATCCAAGCTGTTGACCCAAAGCCGTAAACCCTTCACCCCAAGCCCCTTGATCCTAAACCCTAAACCTCAAACCCTAAACTCTAAACCCGAAACCCCCAAGCCCCTTACCCTAAACCCCAAACCCTTGACCCTAAACCTGTAAGATCGGAGGGCTCAATTGGTGTTTACAGCTCGGGCACAAAGTGCTGTAACTGGGGTTTTTCTTAGGTAGAGCGGGCATTGAAGGCTCTGCCAGGGTAGAAGCTAACAAAGCCGCGGAGGTATGCCCCCCAAAGATCGTACTGGTGTTCTGGTTAGCCGACGGAGGGTACCGACTATGGTGTGCGCCGCTTCTGTTACCGTGGTGCGTGGAAGTACACTTTCACGGGTACCATGCTGGCTACATGTCGGGAGCATGATGATCCGCTCCTGACAAGCGCTGGCCAGCGCGCTGAACTCCGAGTTCCGGCCTGGAGCAGCAAACCGCCGAGACCAACCTGCTTCGTGAAGCCAAAACCTTCGAACAGAGCATTAGGTTCATCTATCGAGATAGAGTTGGCATGCTCGAAGGGAAGAGGCTTCGCCGTGAGCTCCAGGCTTCACAGGCTTCACGCAGAAGTAGCTGGCTGTGGGACGATGGCCATGCTGTGCTTACCTTGTTGATAGTCCTTCTAACAATCTTGCCAAGTCCATAGATCCAGGGCTGATTCTTCAAATGTAAAAGTTAAACCTAAAGGATCAGGGGGCGCGGGTTTCGGGTTTAGGGGTTTAGAGCTTAAGGTTTTCGGATAAAAGTTTCTAGGGCACCATCTGCGTCTCCATGGCGTGTATTCGATCTGTTTGGCTTTGAGGGGGCCTCCTCTTCTCTTGTCGGTCTCCCCAGTGCTACCTTCTGTCCGTTTTCTCTGATGGTTGGGCTTGTTCAACGTCTGCAAAATCAAACAGAGTGTAATGTTGCCGGCTGACGAATGCACTTACTTACTACGTTAAACAGGATTCTTGTATGCAGGTATCCTGCCCTTAATGAGAGGGCTTGATCTATCAGGGGTCTACGCGACCCTGCTTTTTTTCAAGAGGTTGTTGGGAAACCCCGTCTGTTAACTCGTTTTTGGGTTAAAGAAGAGTGTAGTTGCAGCGCAGATAATATGAAAGCCTAAATATTTGAGAATCGTATTCCCCTTTACAAACCCTACTGTGCATCCGACGTTTTGGACTTCGTACTCAGACTCTGGTTCCTACTGCAAGCATCCAGGCACTTAGCAAACATAGGTTGTAACTTTGTAATTGGGAGTGTACGTGTCCCATTTGGGGAGGCTTACACAGCACCCTACTCGTATCCTAGTTACTGCCTGAAAAATAGACAGAACTGAGGCCCTAAACCCCAAACCCTGAACACACAAGCCTAAGCCGCAGGAAACCGAACGGAGGCCCGACAATGCCGGAAACAAACATCAAGCCATCAACCGCAACTACCAGCCGCCGAAATAGGGTTCAGGATTCAGGGTTTTTGTGTCCAGGGTCCCGTTTTTTTGCAAACGCGATTCATTATCGTAAGATTTGCATCAGGGTGTCACGAGCTTGAGGATCCGGGGACTTAGGTAGCAGGTTATGAGCCGGGTAAATAGCAATGATAGGATCGCAGATATACTGGCCCCAGTTATGACCTATTCATTATCCTTCATGTAAAGCCTTGAGTCCACCCCTGCGCCCTAAAGTCTAAACTTACCTTGGGTTAGTAGGGAATGGAGGAATGGGGTACAATTACAGCCACTATTACTACCATTCTTCCATTCCCTACTACCCAAAGGTAAGCAAAGCGTACAAGTCATCCTGCAGCCGAAGATCGCAGTAACTATACTTATGACCCACAATAGGGGACTTAATAAATACCTAAGGTAACTATACTTATATCCCATAATAGGGGACTTATAGATACCTAAGGTAACTATACCTATAACCCATAATAGGGGACTTATAGATACCTAAGGTAACTATACTTATAACCCATAATAGGGGACTTATAACCCCCGTCAGGCTGCCTGCCGCGCCCTGACAAGGTTTGCCTCGCATGGCGACGTGGAGGACCGCCTACGTCAGTGATCGCAGGATTTAGATTAGGTTCGGACGGACTTTGTAAGGCATAGAAGTATAGACTAATGGGCAAATAAGTGTATATACATAGATGAAGTAAATGCATACAAGAATAGGTAAAGATAATCATAGTTAAATGAGCATTAACAAAACGGAATCACACAAGCATTTGCTGGCAAACAGACCTAAACTATGAATCATGGGCGACGGACGGCTATATATGGATACAATGGATACTACGGTTAAGTAGAAAAAGATATAATTAAGTAACGAATCAGTACAGCAGCATACCCTATGACCCCAACCCCTACAGCCCACGCACACACTTTCAAGTAGGGTTTGGGTTCAGGAAGATTTTGCTGCATAGGGTTGGGCCCAGGCATGGGGGGATTGGCCCTAAAAGACCTTGTCTTTGAGGAAGTTCAGCAGGCAGCACCATGATCTTAGGGTTTTGCGGGCCCGGGTTTGGGGTTTAAACTTCTCAACCAACCCTAAACCCGCAACCGGCGATAAACTTTCCAATCCTCAACCCTGAATCCTAAGCCAAGAACCCTCTAAGCATGCTTGTAGCCACACCAAAAAAGACATAAACTCTGAACCCTAAACCCCTAAATCCTAAACTAAACCCCAAACCCCTAACCCCCAAACCCTAAACCCCGAAACCCCAGAGCCCTAAACCCAAAGCCCGTCGTACCCCGTACTTGGAGGGTCGGGGGACTTAGTAAGTAGGTAGTAAGTAGACTTATAAGTACCCTAAAAGGGACCCTAATTGGGGCTGGGGTTATGGTACTTATAAGTCCCGAAAATAACCAGTTACTAAGTCCCCCGACCCTCCCCGTAGGCGATCGACCTCATCGGGGAGTGCATCGATGCGGAGTATCCCCAGGCTCCTGGTCTCTTTCGGGTTTGGGGGCTTAGGGTTTGGCAGGGTTTAGGGTTTAGGGTTTTTGGGGTTTAGGGTTTAGGGGTTTGGGGCTTATGTCTCTTTTCTGATGTTGTGGGGGCATAGAACTGTGTGGGTGTTATATTCTAGCAGCTTCAATGAGGAAGGCTTCTAAGCCCAGCAATGGACCCTAGACCCTAGACCTGAAGCCCTAACCCTACACCCTAAACTCAAAGGGGAAAAGGAGGGACCCTTAATGGGGACCCCTACCCTATAATGGGCTACATTTTTTAAATAATGGGTATACAATAGCTGCTATATTAAGGGTAGATACCTAGCGGTCCTTATTAAGGGTCCCTCCTTTTACCCTTGGATAAACCCTGAACAGTGCGGCCCGGTTTAGGGCTTGAGGTAAGCCTTCCACCCAAGACCCAAGCCCTGCCCGTAAGCCTGCATAGCTACTAGTAGTAGTAGTAGTAGTAGTAGTAGTAGTAGTAGTAGTAGTAGTAGTAGTAGTAGTAGTAGTAGTAGTAGTAGTAGTAGTAGTAGTGGTAGTAGGTAGTAGTAGTAGTAGTAGGTAGTAGTAGTAGTAGTATAGTAGTAGTAGTAGTAGTAGTAGTAGTAGTAGTAGTAGTAGTAGTAGTAGTAGTAGTAGTAGTAGTAGTAGTAGTAGTAGTAGTAGTAGTAGTAGTAGTAGTAGTAGTAGTCCAAAGAGCTCCTTGTAATATAGTATCCCTTGTCAAAGTTGGGTAGTATTTTACATGTGCATGGGTACTTAAACCCGATAACGAATAGACATGTAGTGTTTTTAATCCCGTCCCAGCCATGAATTAGTCTCATGTTATTGCTAATCACCCTCAACCCTAAACCCTATTAAGGCTCCATATAATCTCATCCCTTTGGCTGTCCGTACTTTCGGTGCGCCGTAGGGTTTCTTGGCGTTCTTCTGTTGGCTCTTAGGACTTTAACTTTTCGGGTTTCTATATGAACTATAACAACGGTATAATAAGGAGGCAAAAGTTTAACTTTTTGGAGGGGTTCAGAAGTCAGCCAAGGTTCAGGGTTCACGGATTAGGGTTTTAGGGTTTAGGGATCCAGCCCCGTGGGTTTGCCGTTGAAGCCCAGGTACTGAATGAAATTCGGGGGGTCCTCATTCAAGGGTGCCGTACTTCTTTGGGGATCTAAAATGAGAGCCGAATTTAGAGAGCTACCCACACGGGCTACTCACTGTTTAGGGGTTTACGGTTCGGGGACTACTCATGGCAATAATACTAAGAATCACAATGACACTAGTAGCAACATGAATATTGTGGGTCCATGTGCCGTGTAGGCCCTATTACAGGACTTTAGGACTTTTCTGGATACCAAGAACCATAAATAGGGTCTACTTGGACATCCTGGTGCCACTTGTAACCCGTAGCACCCCCTATTCTAGAACTGGATAGTACTATCTACGGGACCCTAACAAAGAACCTTATAGGATCGCTTTGGGGGGTTTAAGGCTTAGGGGTTTTATGATCTTGGGTCTAGTAACTATTAGTGCTATTGATATCAATCAAAGGTTTGCTAAGTAAGATATACCCGCCCCACAGACCCTAATCTTACTGGTGAGGCCCGTCTATTGCATGATCCAGGAAGCTGTGGTCTTAGGTCTTGTGTCAAGCGACCACGCTAGGAAGCATCATGTCGATTTCTGTGGATGTGCATCTGCTGAGCGGCAAACGTGCCTCTGTGGAAGTAGAGGCAGACGCTTCCGTTGAGTCATTGAAGCACCGCGCCCTGACCGCCTTAGCAGTCCGCAGGGGGCGGCTGCTGAGTTCTTCGGGAGAGGTGCTCGATGGAACAGAAACTGTCACAGAAGCCAAGTTGGTGAGTGGAGACGTGCTCACCCTGCATGTGACAAACCAAGTCCGGGTTAAAGCCACCAGGCAAGGCAGTATGTTCGCCGCGCTCCTTGGTGATGGATCTGTTGTCTCCTGGGGCGATGCCCGCGACGGTGGCGACAGCAGTGCGATACAGAATCAGCTGCGAGATGTGCAGCAGATCCAAGCTTCTGATCACGCATTTGCTGCAATCCTGGGTAATGGATCTGTGGTCTCCTGGGGCAATTTCGTTCAAGGTGGCGACAGCAGTGCTGTACAGCATCAGCTGCGAGATGTGCAGCAGATCCAAACTTCTGGTTCCGCATTTGCTGCAATCCTGGGTGACGGATCTGTGGTCACCTGGGGTGATGCCAACCGTGGTGGCGACTGCAGTGCGGTACAGTATCAGCTGCGAGATGTGCAGCAGATCCAAGCTTCTGTTGGTGCCTTTGCTGCGATACTGCGTGATGGATCTGTGGTCGCCTGGGGAAATGCATACGCGGGTGGCGACAGCAGTGCGGTACAGGATCAGCTGCGAGATGTGCAGCGGATCCAAGCTTCTGATTGGGCATTTGCGGCGATCCGTATTGATGGATCTGTGGTCACCTGGGGAGATGCTGACTATGGTGGCGACAGCAGTGCAATACACAATCAGCTGCGAGATGTGCAGCAGATCCAGGCTTCTGCTCACGCATTTGCTGCAATCCTGGGTGATGGATTTGTGGTCACCTGGGGTAGTGCCGCAGAGGGCGACAGCAGTGCGGTACAGGCACAGCTGAAGCAGGTACAGCAAATCCAAGCTACTAATCTTGCATTCGCTGCAATACTGAGTGACGGATCTGTGGTCACCTGGGGTAATGCGTACGCGGGCGGCGACAGCAGTGCGGTACAGGATCAGCTGCGAGATGTGCAACAGATCCAAGCTTCTGGTGGTGCATTCGCTGCAATCCTGGGTGATGGATCCGTGGTCTCCTGGGGTTTTGCCTGCCGGGGTGGCGACAGCAGTGCAGTACAGGATCAGCTGCGAGATGTGCAGCAGATCCAAGCTTGTACGCATGCCTTTGCTGCAATCCTAGTTGATGGATCTGTGGTCACTTGGGGCCGTGCCGACTGTGGTGGCGACAGCAGTGCGGCACAGGATCAGCTGCGAGATGTGCAGCAGATCCAAGCTTCAATGGGTGCATTTGCTGCAACTTTCTCTGGGGGTGGATCTGTGGTCACTTGGGGCAGTGTCGACTATGGTGGTGACAGCAGTGCGGTACAGGATAAGCTGCGCGGTATGTAGCAGACGTTCCTTGGGAGCAGCTTGCTGTCACGGGGTGCTGTAGATTGGATTGTGGTGACTGACAGCTGAGTCTCAGCTGAGCGATGCCAAGCGCATCTACGCTGTCCAGAGCTCGTTACAAACTCGATATCTTTCACATCCAAGGGGGCACCTCAGTTTGGGGTTTCTTATCATAAGGCTACTACTATTTCTGTAGGGTACCTTTATTAGGGTCCCCTATTCTTGGCGTTCTTCTGGTTGGCTCTTAGGACTAACTTTTTGGGTTTCTATATGAACTATAACGAGGAGGCAAACAGCTTATCTTTTTGGAGGTGTGCAAAGTTGTCTTTAGGACCCTAGGCTACCTTTATTAGGGTCCCCTATTGTTGTCTTTCTGGAAGCAGCATGGCTTCGAGAATCCAAGGGTAAAAGGAGGGACCCTTAATAAGGACCCCTAGGTATATACCCTTAATATAGCTACTATGTACTCATTATATAGCCCATTATAGGGGTAGGGGTCCCCATTAAGGGTCCCTCCTTTTCCCCTTTGATCCTAAACCCCCCAAAACCCCTAAACCCTATAGATCCCTTTAAAGGGATCCTTCATAGGAACCCCCATTAACTTAGTAGCTGAGTGGATGCACTTACACTTTTGGGGATAATCTCACCCACTATAAAACTGTACACTTTTCGGGGCTTAAGAACTCAGCAACTAAGTAAGGAATCTACTTGTTGGATCCTCCTAAATCTGGGAATCAGGATTCCAGCAACACCCTTTTTGGGGGGGGCGACGTCGTGCCGGGCTAGTATAGGGGCTTAAATAATTACCAATACTATTTTGGGGGTGCCCTATTGTACTTGTAGTAAACAGTGTTACCAATATTATTTTGAGGGTTACCCTATTGTACTTGTAGTAAATAATTACCAATACTATTTTGGTGGTTTCCCTATTGTAATTGTAGTATTTTGGGCCCCAACAGCCCTATTCTAATTATTAAGGCCATACTGTTGATGATATAAATCCTGCATTACCTTGAGGCAAGAAAACTACGGGAATAATGGCACATTCCTTATTGTGGGTAATGCAGGATTTATATCACCAACCCTAAACCTAAAACCCTATAGATCCCTTAAAGGAACCCCTTAAAGGTACCCTTATAGATCCCTTTAAAGGAACCTAGCCTTTGTTGAGACCCGGCAACAACCCAACCGTATCATCCCTAAAGCCGCCCAAGCACCGCCCAAGCTTAGAAGTCGCAAGGACCCCGCCCAAGCTTACAATCAAAGGGGAAAAGGAGGGACCCTTAATGGGGACCCCTGCCCCATAACGGGCTATATAATGGGTACAGAATAGCTATATTAAGGGTATATGCCTAGGGGTCCTCATTAAGGGTCCCTCCTTTTACCCTTGGATGACAATTAGAAGTTGCAGATCCTATTGTCAACCTTTGCTCTGGGGTCTAGGGGGTTAGGGGTTAGGGGTTTGGGGGTTTAGGGGTTCAGGGGCTCAGGGTTTATAGGGTGCAGGGTGCAGGGGTTCAGGGTTTAGGGGTTTCCCTGATTCCGATGGAGAGTGTGCCTTGACCCATTGACGATTAGATGCGATTCTGAGAGCCTTTCGCCACTGCCCCAAACCAGCCCAAACCGTAACTGACCCAAAAGAACCCAACCCCAAAACTCTGCACCACAAAAGCCTGAACCCTAAACCCTCTCGTGCCAGGGAAAGTCCATGGCACCTTAAAAGATTCCCAAGACTTGCAAGACAGAACTTAACCCCACAACTCTAAACCCCAAACCCTCAACTCTAAGCCCTCAACCCTGAACCCCAAACCGTAAACCCTAAACCCTAGACCCCGAACCCTGAACCCTGAACCCTATGCCTCCTTACAAGAATCCAAGGGTAAAAGGAGGGACCCTTAGTAAGGACCCCTCGGTATATACCCTTAGTATATTTATTATATGGCCCATTATGGGATAGGTGTCCCCCTTAAGGGTCCCTCCTGTTGTCTTTGAAAGATAGAACTTCCCGAACTCCTATGAAGGCCACCATTGCTGCACTGCGGGCGCTGGTGGAGGTCGCGCCGTGCACCGGGCTCAGTGCTTTCGGGGTTCTACCGACCCGCCAAGTATAGGGTTTAGGGTTTAGGGCTCGGCGCTTTAGGGGTTCTACCGACCCGCCAAGTTTAGGGTTTAGGGCTCAGCGCTTTCGGGGTTCTACCGACCCCATAGGGTTTAGGGTTTAGGGTTTAGGGCTCAGCGCTTTAGGGGTTCTACAGACCTGCGGAAAGTATAGGGTTTAGGGTTCAGGGTTTAGGGTTCAGGGCTCAGTGCTTTAGGGGTTCTACGGGGGTTTCCGAAAATAGGGGATCCAAATATAGTACCCAAAATAGTAGGATCCGTAAAAAATAGGTCCCCCCAAATAAGGTACCCCTAATTTTCGGAAGCTCCCTCCGACCCGCCAAGTATAGGGCTACAGAAATCTGATAAGGGAGGCATAGCACCTCACTATGAGCTGCTTGAGTTCTGGATCCTAGGTTTGTAGGTGAGTATTCTATCATAGGGACCTTTAGGGGGGTAAGGGGGAGGGGGGTAGGGAACGTCAGATAGGCCTTACTAAGTCCCTATTATGGGCCCTAAACCCTAAACCCTCTACCCCCCCCCCGGTCCCACTACCCGATTTACGGCGTTACACAAGACGTCTCGGATTAACGTTCATGGTTTAAGGAATTGATTTAGGGCTCTACATGAGGTTTAGGGGACTAAGGGTACGGGTACTGCTGACTGTGGCTCAGATGGGGTTTGGGACATGACCATTAAGGGCTTACAGTCGAAGTCTGAGGTGAGGTTCGGGATTTAGGTTTCTAGGCTGTGCTTGCAGGGTCTAGGGATGCATACGGATGTATAATGAAGGGCCGCAGGCCCAAGCAGCACAGCTGAGCCCCAAGCCAGAATTCACGATAACCATGGACTTTGTGGTCACTATGAGGAAGGATGTGAAGCCCTGTCACTCGCGTTACCAGCCCGAAGTTCGGGTCACCTACCAAAATAGAGGGGAAGCTGGTGTTACCAGCATCCCTCTGGTAGTGCTGGGGATGGGTGCATGGAGAGTAGTCACACTCTCCCCGTGTGCAGAAAACAGGGTGTGGAAAATCAGCGCCTACCCGCAGGAGCAGGAACGCAAAATCTGTCGCCTCCTTGGAGCTGTGACACCCATGTCGGCAAGGGCCTGTGGGGTCCATCGCATGACCGAGGAAGGTCACCCAGCAAGCCCAGAACCTTTGTGGGTAACGGTGCTTGAAATGGAGAAAATAGGAGTTCGGGGCTTAGGGTTTAGGGAGTAGGCCTCGGGGCGGTTAGCAGCAATCCAAGACACGTGATTCCCCAGAAACGAAGCTTGGGTCCCTCCTAGACGCGAGCTCGATTTGGGAGTTTCCAGAAATAGGGGACCCTAAAAAAAAGCACCCTAAATAGTAGGATCCTTATTATAAGGAGCCCAAAATAAGGTACCCCGAATCCTCGCAAAGTCTAAACCCTAAACCCTTTTTAGAACCCTTATAGATCCCTTTAAGGAACCCTTAAAGAATCCCTTATCAGGTACCCCTTGTTATCGGAAACTCCGATTTCGTCTCTTGGGTTTAGGGTTTTTGGGGGTTTAAGGGGTTTAGGGGTTGAGGAGTTTAGGGCTTAGGGTGACCTTATGGAGGCCCTGGCTGAAAACCCCGTAGGAATACGGAGGCAGAAATTTGCCTATAGGGAACTCCAGAAAGTTGGAATATGGTTTCATGGTAGGATACCCTATAATTTACCATAGAAGGGTTAGGATAATCATATTCCAACTTTCTGGCTTTTACCTTAGATGATTGGACCAGGGATTTCCGGGTACTTGTGTCAGGAAAGTCTCAAACGCCTTATCCTGGCCCCTGTACATACATGAAATGAGAAGTTCTCCAAATTAGAGTCCCCTGTTCAGGTCCCCTAGATTAGGTGCCGCGCCCTTATAAAAAGGACCCGAGAAGGGCCCTTGATTTAGAGAAGACACATAAATAAATTTCAGATGATAGCCTGTCGAGCCTTGAAACTAGTTCATTGTTAAATTAAAAACCCTAAACCCCAAACCCTAAACCCCCCCGCCAAAAAAAACCTAAACCCCGAATTTTAAACTTTAAGCCGCCAACCGCAACAAGGCGGCGATCTCAACGCTTTGGAAGCCGCAGCGAAAGCTCTGGGCCACCAGGCCGTCTTGGTCTCGGGGCGGAACTTAGGGTTTAGAGGTAGGATTCAGGGTTTAGAGGTAGGGTTCAATACAGGGGTCGGAATATGAAGCCCAAAGCCCTGTTCTAACATCCCAGGCCGCTAGATCAGACTTAGACGGCTTTTGGGTTTTGGGTCTTGGGTTGAACTTTGGGGCTGCGATTTCGTACTGCAGTATCAGTGTCTGCAAGTATTCTAGACACTGAGCCCCCACGAAGTAAAACATGTATAGATTCCTTGAAGGAACTTTTCTAGACCCTAAACCCTTAACCCTCCTCCGCCCCGCACAGGAACCCCAAGGAACAATATGGAGGTTTCCGAAAACAGGGGGACCCTAATATAGTGCCCTAAATCGTAGGATCCTTAATATAGGGACCCCAAAATAAGGTACCCTAATTTTCGGAAACTCGACTCTAAACCCTAAACCCTTTTTGGAGAACCCTTATAGATCCCTTTTCGGAACCGTTAAAGATTCCCTGTAAAGATACCCAAGATTTTCGGAAACTCCCATAATGGTCAACAGTTGCAACCGGCCGACTCCCAACACCGTTCAGTTTACCTCTGAAGGTCATAGTCAGGATCCCTCCCTTAACCTACCAAAACCTACTTTTTTGTAGAGCCCCTACAAATTCCAAATTAGGGTGTTTCTTTATAAAGAACCTACAAAAAGTAGGGTTTGGTAGGTTATGTAATGGAAGGTGCATTGCTTGATTAAGTTACTTGCTCCTGGGGAAACTTTTACGTGTTTTGGCCTCATGTGTTTGGATTGCCCTTTCGAACGTTTGAACTCTTAAGGGCCCGGTTAATGAAGACGGGGCAGCAGACCCTCCGTCAGCTGCCAGTTGTAGATCGCATCGGCTCCTCAGATAGTGAACGGGGGAACTTTAAACTTTTTGCCCTTATATATTAAGCTCTATCTTAGAAAGTTTGAACTTTTTTGGGCCCGGCTATTGAAGAAGAGAGGCTCAAATTCAAAGCCTGAGGTAGTTCAGACGCCGGTGACAAGTAGTATACGTGGTACAATGATCCCAGCTCCTACACCCCGTAAGCTCTAAACCTGTCTAGCCCTAAACCTCACATCGCAAACCCCAAGCCCAGATGATGGTTCGTTTCCCTTCTTCGGGTTTAGGGTTTAGGATTTAGGGGTTTAGAGGTTTAGGGTTTAGGGTTTCCTAAGAACAGGATGCTGAGCTCCTCGCTGAGACCTACAGACCCTAAGTTCGAGGTCTGAGCCAAACCTAAACCCCACACCTAAGAGTTTCCAAAAATTAGAGGTACCTTGTTTTGGGGCCCTTATAATAAGGATCCCACAATTCGGGGTACTATATTAGGGTCCCCTATTTTCGAAAATTCCCACTTGGGGGGTCCGGGGACTTAGTATGTGTGCATTTTAACAGAGTTACAAGTATACCGCTTTTCAGTTTAGAGTACTCATATCTCTACTTATTACCCGCTTACTCAGTCCCCCGACCCTCCAAGTCGAACCGAAAGCCCCTAAACCCTAAGCCTTAAACAAGCAGCCTCCGGAGGAGGTGCGCACACAAGAGATCGCCATGGAGGCTAGACTTCTCCTGTCATGGGATGCTGGCAGGGGAGGGGGGGGGGGTTTGAGTAAGGGAATAGGGCTTGCCCGTCTCAAAACCCTTTTCCCCCCCGACACTTTTACACCTACATGAAAAATTGCTAATCAAATAGGGAGTTCCGAAGACCATCTTTCCAACGGGCGTGCCCAGGTTGATAGAATTTATGGGTTTTTGGGTGGTTCGGGGCTTGGGTCGTAGAGTGACTCTTTTCGTCAATCGCAGTCTCCCAAAAACCCTTAAAAAGTTTGCAATATTGGCGAGCCAATGACTTGGACGCTACTGCGGCAAGCCTTTCAATTCAGCAGACTTCCCGCTTTAAGCCGCTGAAGGGTGTTGTCATCCTGGGTGGTGCATCGCATCAGCACAGGAGCACACATGGCAGTTTTTCGGTGTGCCTAGGGAAACACCCTAAACCCTAAACCCTAAACCCTAAACCCTAAACCCTAAACCCTAAACCCTAAACCCTAAACCCTAAACCCTGTACCCTTATAGATCCCTTTGAAGGAAAGCCCTAAAGGTGCCCGTATAGATCCTTTTACAGGAACCCAGGACTTATATGGGCGGTTGTCAAAATCATGGTCCTTTTTGGGTCACTATTATAATACCTCTCCTTATGATTTAGGGTGCCCCAAAAGGGACCTTAACTTTCACAACCACCCATATCATCAACCGTATGAACCTAGAGGGCCCATCTATATATACTACTATTATGGAATTAGGCTCCCAAAACCATGGTGAGAATGGTCGTTTGGTCCCCAATTCCATAATGGTAGTATATACGGACCCTCTGGGGAAGCAACGGCTTATCCTGCATTACTCATTATAAGGAATATACCATAATTCCCATAGTTTAGCGTCCTTAGGGTCATGCAGGATTTATATCATCAACAGTGTCATCAACCGTATGAAGCAACCGCAGGTCCTCGAGCGGTTGGCAGATCGAGGAGTGGAGCCCGCGTCCGCGCCGAGAGCCACGGCCTTCGAAGGCTCCGGAACCCCGGGCCCGGGGACCTTTTTTTTGGGGGTCTCTTTTAGGGTCTGGGGTTTAGGGTTTAGGGTTTGGGTTTAGGGTTCAGCAAGGTGTTTGGGGTTTGGGGCTTACGATTTAGGATTGAGGGTTTGGGTTTCCTTTTGGATTCTTTTCGGGTTCCTTCCTTTAAGGTTCCTTGAAGGGGTTGTGTGAAATGCCTTCAAGGTTTCAGGTTCCGTTTAAGGGTGCCTATCAAGGAAGATTCAGGATTCAGAGTTGAGGTTTCCATTAAGGGCTTTATGGCTTTGTTTTGATTTCTGAAGGTGGTATGAAGGCTCGTAGGATTTTTGCTATGTTGCTACTAGTAAAGGCTTTACCCGGAGGGTGCCCGGACAGGTGGGTGGGGTGGGGTGTGGGGTGGGTTGGGTGGTGGGTGGGTGGGTGGGTGTGGGCGGGGGTGCGAACCCAGCTCTTCCGGGGCCGCTGGTTGCCAAGCGCGGCAAAACAAGCACCACGGCATTGAAAGCATTAATCATTAGGTCTACACACTAGACAAGCACTTCATAGCCGACATGCAGCGAGCTTTGGCAAGTCGATGGTGGAGTTATTGGGCAACCTTTCAGGCAGGAAGCAGAAAGTTGTTTTAAGAACCGGCTGTGTCTAAATTCTATAAGTTGAAGCATGTTGTAAACTGCAACCGTCTCGACTTGCGAGAAGCAAGCCCGAGAGTCTAGCACAAAGAAGCAGAGCATTTTGTGAGTATGCTGTGTGGCTTCCATTATATGAGCCTTGGGTGAAACACCGGAAATGTGGTGGTTGAGTGGTTGGGGGTGGTTGGGTAATTGGGGTGTGGGTGGGATTCTCAAGTTTTACGATTCGTTTGTTAAGTTGCTTTCCCAGGATTGCAAGGGTTTCAGGTGCAAGGTTCTTCGGTTTGGTGGCCTTCAGAGTTTAGGTTGTTGGGTATGTTGTTTTTTTTTATAAATTCTTTGTGGTACTCAAACGACTCTAGGCCCTTGCCCCTCTCAAAACTGAATAATAGGAAGCAAACCGTACTGTTGATGGACAAAATCCTGCATTACCCATTATAAGGAATATACCATAATTCCCACAGTTTAGGGTCCTTAGGGTCATGCAGGATTTTGTCCATCAACAGTATGCTTATCATAAAGGGGACAAGACCGAAATTCTTCGGAACGAATCAGAGGTCTATGGTTGCCTAGGGTTTCGATAAGGGCTTGTTGCGTTTTGGGATATCATGGCTGATGGACACACGCCTCCGTTTAGGGTTTAGGGTTTTAGGGTTTCGGGCTTTAGGGTTTCGGGTTTTAGGGTTTCGGGTTTTAGGGTTTGGGGTTTAGGACGAGCACCTTGTCAGGCCTCAGTGGATGATGGCTTTATCGGCATAGAAGGAACCCGACATGTCGTTGTTCAGCAGTGTCCCTGTAGTCAAAGGAAGAGAAGCTCCATAGAGGGCGTTTTCGCAATGTACGAATTATCCAGGTCCGGCGGGAAACGTTAAAGCCACAGCAAAACCCCGGTAACTGAAGCCTTATAAGCACCAACAAGGAAAACAACCAAAAAAACGCAGCCTAGTTAGCAAAGCTGCCATCTTGCCTGCGCCCCGAAGGCTGGACCCTGATTCCTAAACCCGAAACCCTGATCTCTAAGCCCTATACGGTTGATAATCATTATGAGGAATGTACCATAATTCCCATAGTTTAGGGTCCTTAAGGTAATGCAGGATTTATATCATCAACAGTCAGTATCAAGTCAGTGAGGCCCTTAGCAGTTTTTTGAATGACCACAGACCCCAGGCTGCGAACCCTAAAGCCCTACATCACCCAATGGCGTGTGAGACCTTTCTCCGGAGGTTCGTGGACCGGTGCAGTGATCAAGGGCCAGAAGATCTTTTGGGTGCCTCAACCCTTTGCGACTTAGTGGGTTCAGAGTTGTAGGGATTTAGCGTTCCGGGTTTGTGGTGCTAAGGTTTGGGCTGCCGCTTTATTGGCTTGGGGTTTAGGGCTTGTGGCTCCTTTCCCCGAAGACTTCACCGGCTTGTTTACTAAGCTCCTGAATAATCTTTGAAGTTTATCACAGTTTCATCTATAAGCGGCAGTCTCCGGTAGGGCTTAAGCCCTGAAGCTAAATCCTACAAGCCCTAAGCCCTAAAGCCCTCCACCGTGCACCTTAAACCCTGAAGCGCTAAACCCCAAACCCCTAAACCCTAAACTCAAAAGCTTAAGCCTGAATGCTCAGCTTTAGCCTTCTCACGTGCAGGAGCGTAACACACCTTGTACGGAACGTAAACATATGACTCTCTAGTCTTACCCAGAGGTAAATGGTAATCATGGTACATACTTACAGCCATTTACAAGTAAGTGCTTGTCTGTGTACAAGTATTCCTTAATACTTCAAACGACAGTACTGTCAATATAGTGCATATTATATTTCAGACCCTAAACCCTTACCGTCTAGACGCGGATTTTCAGTGGAGTGCTCGTGTGTGCCCAAGCTGGTCGGGGCCACATTCTGCAGTGAAACAGGGCCGTTCTTTTCGTGTGCCTGCTCTAAACCATCCGGGGTCCATGTGAGCCCAAACCAGTGAAGGCTACATTATGCAGCAAAACAGAGCCGTTCTTTTCGTGTGCCTGCTCTAAACCATCCAGGGTCCTTGTAGGCCCAAGACTGCCCGAAGGCCGTTCTTTTCGTGTGCCTGGTCTAAACCATCCAGGGTCCTTGAAGGCCCAAGACTGCCCGAAGCACATTCTGCAGCAAAACAAGGACGTTCTGATCGTGTGGCTGCTCTAAACTCGTGCCTGCGACAAACTGGACGAGTACCACTTGCACTATCATGTGCATACGCTTCTATATTGGAAACGCCTAAGGACGTAAGCTTAATACAAAAGGTTTGGGTGGCCTCTCGGGGTGGGAGAACTTAGAGCTCCACGTTCGTGACGGAACACGTTTACTCTGAAGATATCGGACGTCCGTCGGTACGGAAGTATGCTCGGCACACCCTATACCCTAAACCCTTAAACACTAAACCCTAAACCCCTAAACCCGGTAACCCTAAACCTAACCATATGAGAACCCAGCCGTCCTTTCGTGACCAGGCTTAGGGCCTTAGGGTTTTAGGGTTCAGGGTTTGGAGAAAGTTCTCGGACATTTTTGGTGTTTAGGGTTCAGGGGTACAGGTTTCTTTTGTATTTCAGTCGTTTAAGGTTTTTGGTAGTATAAGAGCTCGGTATTTTGAGTGTTTCTTGGATTTCGGGTTTGGGCCTCAGAGTTATTGGTAAAGTCACTGGTACGAGTTGTGTTTGGGAGTCTGGTTTAGGGCCGCAGGGTCGGGTCTCACTGAAACATGTAAGTAGGGTCTCCGGTACCGTGGTTTATAAACTGGGATCACAAACTGTGTTTTTAACCCGGCACGCTTTGCTGACGGACCCTACTTAGTGAATCCGGTGATCCCGTGAGTTGAAGTCTAGGCCCCATAGCCGACATGAAGCTTGGGGACGGCGTATGTGCAACATCTGCAGTTTCTGAAACAGTCTAAACCCGACACGCTAACAGTTACGCCTCACAACATGCTGCTGCCTTTTCCATGACTGTTGATGTTATTATGTTCATTATTTCTATCATTACTCAACTGCAACCGAAACTCTGAGGCCTAAGACCCTTCATCCCTGAACCTGAACCCCCCCAAAAAAACACGAAATCCCGAGGCCGAAAACTTCCCCAACCTTTCCTAAGCCCTCTGCCCCAAACGAAAAAAAGCTAAACCCCAAAGCCTAAACCTTGAACCCTAAGCCCTAAACCCTAAAACCTAAAAACCCCAAAGCCTAAACCTTGAACCCTAAGCCCTAAACCCTAAAACCTAAAAACCCCCAAAGCCTAAACCTTGAACCCTAAGCCCTAAACCCTAAAACCTAAAACCCCAAAGCCTAAACCTTGAACCCTAAGCCCTAAACCCTAAAACCTTAAAACCCCCAAAGCCTAAACCTTGAACCCTAAGCCCTAAACCCTAAAACCTAAAACCCCAAAGCCTAAACCTTGAACCCTAAGCCCTAAAACTTTAAAACCCCAAAGCCTAAACCTTGAACTTTACGCCCTAAGCCCTAAACCCCCTAAACCCCGGGCGTGTCTCTCCCCGCTCCAGAATGCCGAAGATCTGATCACCGAGTTCGAAGTGAAGGGACGGCCCGGTTCTGAGAAGGCTGACAGGGCATTTCTACGGTTGATGCTAGAAATCCTGCATTATCCATTATAATGAATTTATCATAATTCCCATAGTTTAGGGTCCTTAAGGTAATGCAGGATTTATATCATCAACCGTATGAAAGGGTTTAGGGGTTGGGGGTTTAGCGTTTACGGTTTGGGGCTTAGGGTTTAGGGTTTGGGGGTTTAGGGTTTAGAGTTATCCCTTTTACAAGGGTTTAGGGATTAGGGTTGTTTAGGGTTGGCTTATTTTCGGTGTTTACAGCGGTTCATGAGGGACTCTGAAGGGCCTCTTCAGAGTTTTGGAAGGGTTTTCTAGAGGGGCTTGAGATAGTACGCAGGATATGGTGGTGCGGGGGGGGGGGGGGGTGCATGTACCCGAGTCGGAGCTGAATCGCTGAATCAAAGTCCTAAATGGGCGGTTGTCAAAATCATGGTCCTTTTTGGGTCCTTATTATAATACGGCACGTATTATTTAGGGTATGCAAAAAAGGCCTAAACCCTAAACCCTAAACAAAAAAGGGCCATAATTCTGAAAAACCACACCCAGATGTTGCCTATACTAAGCGGCCGTTGCTTAGAGAATCCGACTTTGGGGTTGACCAAGGTTTTTTCCCAGAGATCTCAATTAGGGTGTAGGGTTTAGGATCTTGGGTATTGGGTTTAGGGTTTAAGGTTTAGGGTTTAGGGTTTAGGGTATTGGGTTTAGGGTTTTAGGGTTTAGGACTCCTTAATTAAGTTTCAGCATACAGGATCAGACGGAAACCTTAAACCGAATTTCTGGGCTGATTCCAGAGAAGCTGTCTTGGATGAATGCTCGGACCGCACGTGGCTGGCAGGGTTCAGGGTTTAAGCTGTAGGGTTTATGGTTCGGGGTTTCAGGTTCAGGGTTTAGGCACCGGTGGTTGCTTGGACCCTTAGACCCTCAACCCGGTACGTCGTCCACAATGCTTAAAGCCCTCAACCGTAATCTCTCATCATCCCTCTCCCTCCAATCCCAAGAGCCAAAACTCTCTAAAAGTCCTGATGTTTATGGGATATGGCGCGGCCCAGAAGGTCCAAGCATCAATGCTTTAGGTCGCTCAGGATGTGCAGCCATCGTGTAGACATCGTATAGAAAGAGATAGTACCAGGAAAGCTAGGACATAAGCGTGCTTTTGCCTGATCATTGTTAGTATACATGGTCGGGCTTCCACGGTCTATCGGTTGGCAAAACACTTTAGCAGATGCCTTCCGGTGGTATGCTGCGGGAATCCGGAAAAAGCTGTTGGCTCGTTGCCCAGGTCCATTATCTCGACGGTATGTCTGTGCCTCAGGAGTGACATGTCTAGCATTTCAGGCTATCCCAAACCCTAAACCCTAGACCCTCAACCATGTTCGTTTGCCCAAGAAAGCCCTGAAGCCTACAGGGCTAGGTCTTTCTCAATGCTCAGCCACGCCGACTGAGGCACAACCCTAGGCTTGAAGGAATAGGATTTAGGGTTTAGGGTCTAGGGCTTAGGATGAGGGCTGCAGGGTGCAGCGTTGGGGCTTTAGGAGAGCTGGGTGGACTTTTCTTCTGGAATAGTTGGTGGTGTGAAAAACGCCAGGCTTGCAGTGCGCAGTTTGATTCCGGCACATGCTTCTCAAGGGATGCCGCTGCAGCCTCCTCAAGACTAAGAGGATGGTCTGCCTGTACCTGGAGATACCTAGACACAGATGCCGGTGATTTCTGGAACATATGCAATGATGTCTCCGAAGAATACTGCATCGATGCTTTCAGCCGTATGTGCTTCGTCGGTGATGCTCAGGACACCGTTCTGAGGATGGTCCTCAAGTGGAGGATGACGTTCCTGGGGTTACATCCCAGGGACCCCAATACCCCTTAATTAAGGAATATACCTTAAACCCTAATACTAAGGCCCCTATAACTTAAGGTATATTCTTTAATTAAGGGGTATTGGGATCTCGGGGGTGTTGTGGTTGGGATGATGCGCCATTGCCTCTCCGTGGCATAGATGTGGCTCCAGACCGATCGGTTCAGGGGTTTCAGGGCTTGGGGTTCAAGGTTCAGTGAATTCAGTGAATGCAGGGTTGTATAAGGATTTAGGTTTCAAGGTGTAGGCTTTAGGGTGCAGGGAACCTCTCTTCAGCTTCAGCAGTAGAGGTAGAATCGTAAGCGCCACTGCCACATGACTTATAACCGTACTTACTAAGCTCCAATGGCGACCCTAAGCCGTAAGCAAACCCCGTTAAGCCCGTTGGACCTCCCAAAACCCAAACCCACAGGCATCGATGAAAGAGTTAGGTAGTATAGGAGCCTTACTAATTAGAATGGGGTTTGGGAGCCCATTATACTATTAGGAACCCCAACATAATTATTAAGGCCCCTATAGTAAGCTTGAGGGTTTCGGGTTCGGGGCCTTAAGCCCGCAACCCTAAAGTTGGGCCTGGCGCCCTGAATCCTCAACTCCGCGTCCTAAATCCTGGACCCTAAACCCTTAATCCCAATAACTTTGTCATAGTTAGGGTTTAGGGTTTAGGGTTTAGGGTTTAGGGTTAGGTATCACTTACATGTTGATGGGTGCCGAAACCCAAGAAGGAACAGAGATTAAGGATTCGACTATTTCCCCCAAGTATGGACGAAAATATGATGCCTTAGCTGGCAGCGCCGTGAGGCGTGGACAAGAAAGGCCAGGAGCTGCCCTGTTGGGCGCGGGACTTGGCATTCTGGGCTTGGTAGTACGGTTGAGGATATAGTAAGAAATAGACTGTTATTTCCATAGTTTAGGGTCCTTAGGGTAAGGCATGATTTATTTGGGTGTGCTTCAGCACCTTTTTGGGCACTATATCCTTTTCTGGGTACCACAATCCTCGTATGATGGCTGTTCTAGATTTAGAGTAGGTATCCGTTCACCGTGATACCGTTTTGAGTAGTGATGCTTAAGTGTCAGTGTCTAGGATTTTCGGTAGATTTAGGGTTTAAGGTTTGCGGTTTGCCTTCGGGTTTAGCGTGTACGGTCCAGGATTCAGGGTTCAGGGAAGAAGTTTGCAGGTTTGCATATGTAGAGTTGACGGTTTAGGGTTTAGGGTCATAGAGACCATGGGACCTCAGTTGGTACTCGTGCAATGACTGTGCCGGGTGTTCGCGGTCGGGATTGTTCCTCCGGCGGGCAACGTCGGTATTGCGCTGCACCACTTGCGACCACCCAGCACACCCTAAACACTAACCCTAATACCCAAACTCTTAAGAAACAAATGGAAATTGCTTGTTGCTGCTGGCCAGTCCAATCAGTTTAGCCCACCTCAGCGAAGCCCGCACATCCCAGGTTAGGGAAGGGTTCGTACAAACAGAAGGAGCAGCAGGATGGGGTGGGACTAGTGGTCGGGCATCCCAAAAACGGTTTCGGGTCGGGACACAACCTTTCAAATTTCTATACACCAATTTCCGTTCCGGGGTTGATGGAATCAACCCGAACTCATGCGAGTAGCCCAACCCTCCGCGCCCCAGCCCAAGCCCAGGCGAAAGGCCAGCCCTCCCAGCCCCCAAATTCAAAATCAGACGCCAAGCAGCCCAAATTCAAAAGCAGGATCCGAAACTCGAAACTCGGCCAAGACTTGCAGTCAAAATGCTGCGGGCAAAACTAGCGCGCCCAGAACACTTAAAAAGTTCTATAAGCCTTGAACCTTAAACCCAAAATCCGAAATGAAGGAATGGGACTCATCATCCGGGAAATAACCTCCGGCCTCATGTTTGTCAACTGGGTGAAGCCTGTACATTCTTCATCTATCATTGCACAGAATACCCAAATGCACCCACGCTTTGAGTACAAGTGCTGTTGCATCTTGCATTGCCGTTTCTTATTGCTGGGTTCTTCTCAACAACCCCATGCCGAATGCCTGAGAAGCAAAGAAAGTTACGAGCAATGCGCACTTGGTTAAGCAACTTGGGGTTTAGGGTGTTGGGGTGTAGGTTCTAGTCAGACTCAGGGGACTTGGCAGGTCAATCAAAGGGAGCTTTCGGTCAGAAAGCTGAAGTTAGGTACTTTTGAACCGCGAGAACAAAGTTACCTGCGAAGTCCCGAAGTACAGCGGTTTAACATGATGCTTGTACCATTTCCGCAGGGCGCCAAACCCTAAGACCCCAAGCCCTAAACCCTAAGCCCTGAGACCTAGTGGAAGCAGACTTTCAATCCCTTATGTCCCTGATCCCCTACCCTTGCATCGTACTGTAGGGGTTTAAATAGCTACCTATACCATTTTGGGGGCTTCTTGCTATACGATAATGGGCCCCACAACCCTATTCTCACTATATTAGAACCCTGCTACAGATCCCCTATAGACCCTTTAGAGGACCCCTCAAAGGAACCCTATTCTAGTTATTAAGGCCCCTACGTCAACTTCCCTAAGTTCGGCAAGTGCCTCTGAGGTGTTACCCTGGCAAACCCTACCCTAATCCCTAAACTTTATCCTAAACCCTAAACCCCTAAACCCCAAACCCCTAAACCCTAAACCCCTAAACCCTAAACCCCTAACACCCTAAACCTCTAAACCCCTAAACCCCTAAACCCCTAAACCCTAAACCCCTAAACCCCTAGACCCTAAACCTTTAAACCCTGGTAGGCCGCCGGATCGAAATCCGTAGAAAGCCCCAGCAAAAGACCCGAAGTCCTGCCTTCGTCATAATGAAAGGGCCTTCACAAATGGGAGTTTCCGAAAATAGGGGACCCAAATATACTACCCCAAATAGCAGGATCCTTATCAAAAGGACCCCAAAATAAGGCACCCCTAATTTTCGGAAACTCCCAAATCCTAAACCCTAAACCCCGAACCCTCAACTTTAAAGCCCCTCAGCCACAAACCGTAATGTAGGGGCCTGAATAATTAGAATAGGGTTTTGGGTGCCCATTATACTATAACTATAATTACCTGTATTATTATTATTATTATTGTTATTCCTCAGGGTTCGTTTAAAGGGTTCCTTAAAGGGGTCTTCAAGGGATCTATAAGAGGGGTTCTATGGTATAGTAGGGGCCTTAATAACCTATACTATTGTGAGCTCCTTATTGTGTTTATAGTATACTTCATCCCCAAAACCCTATTCTAATTGTTAAGGCCCTTATATTATGCCCACACATTGAGGGAGGGGACGGGGGGCTTAGTAAGTTGCTGTTTTCTAGAGTTCTAAACGATCATAGCCCCCCAATTAGGATCCCTTTGGGGGTACGTGCAACTCTACTTCTTACCTACTTACTAAGTCCGGGGAGCCTCCACTCCAAGTAAGTCAGGGCCTCCGTAAACCCTGAACCCCGAACCCTAAACCCCAAACTCTAAACCCTAAACCTTAAACCCTAAACCTCAAGCCGCCACTCTACTTCCACAGCGAGCAGTAGTGATTTCTGGATCTTAGATCATCATGTCAGGTGAAGGGATCGACAAAACAGTAATCGAAGGCGACAGGGGCGAATCGATTCATGCCGATCCGGCTAGGGCCAACCTAGTGAAGAAGGAAGTCCAGCAGATGGACGACCCGAAGAAGAAAATCGGAGTCGAAGACTTAGAACACGAACCAAGCTCCTCCAACCAAGCAGGTGTGTGGTTTTCCCAACTTGCATCGATGTTGCAAAAGTCCAACGGCAGAGTGACACTCGACGTAACCCGTGCCAACGGACCGTTCCAGAGGTTTGCAATTGACAGTGGTAATTATGCCAACGTATCGGGCAACACCTTTGCTGCCGTGTCACTCGCCAACAACGGAATGCAACTCCTCGGCACTCAGAGTGTCTGGATCGTTCCGCAAGGTCGGCTTTTCAACCCACATGGAGCGCCGATAAGGGAACACGGCACTGCACTGAGTTTGCGCAATGGGTTGGAGGACTTCTTGTCTCAAGACGGAGGGCTTGTCGACTTCCGGAAGATAGCGCAGTATTTGAGAGCGGATGCCAGTGGATGGACCAAAGAGACGTCTCAGACAGTGCTGCCATCAGAGTTTCAGTCCATAACTGCGACAGTCAAATCTGGACGTGCTGACCAGAAGCTTCTCCTACAGCTTGTGACAGCCATTGAGGAGGAAAGAGCTGGCGGCCCAGGGCATCCAAACCGGGCCATGCCGAATCTGCAGGCTGCGCCTGATGCACCTGCTGAATTGTGGCTTGCAAGACCCTGGGGCGGGACCACTCATACCAGCAGGCACTTTCGGAGCCAACCACCCCAACGCAGATGTCGGAGGCAACCCGCTAGAAGGGCAGGTAGGCCTGAGGTGGGCAGACCCGGTCCGCTGGAATGAATGGGTGGATTACGTAAGGGTCACGATGCAGCCTCGGCAGCCACTGCCTGCTCTACGGGCGTGCCCCAATGGAGGAGACGCAGCAATGACTACCCTTATAGAGCCCTTTAAAGGAACCCTTAGAATCCCCTTTAAAGCAGCCCTTACTAAGTCCCCCGACCCTCCAAGCAGGCCCTAAACCCTAAACCCCTAAACCCCTACACCCCTAAACCCCTAAACCCCCCAACACGCACCCAGGGCCGCCTCAACGCCTCGGGTGTCCTCCGATGGGACTTTGGCGCCGAGTGGGTTCGCTCACAGGCGCGAACGGCTATGGTTCTAACACTTACCCTTGGTTAGTAGGGAATTTTTAGGGGTTTATAAGAATTCCATAAAAGGTTTAGGGTGTAGGGTTTAGGGTGTATCAAAGGGGAAAGGGAGGGACCCTTAATTTAGGGCTCTTAGGGTTCCTTTAAAGGGATCTATAAGGGTTTAGGGTTTAGGGTTTAGGATCTATAGGGATTTTATGAGGGTTTAGGGGTTTTGGGGGGTTTAGGATCAAAGGGGCAAAAGGAGGGACCCTTAATGGGGACCCCTACCCCACAATGGGCCATATAATAGCTATAATGGGTATATACCTAGGGGTCCTTGTTTAGGGTCCCTCCTTTTACCCTTGGATAGTAGGGAATGGAGGAATGGTGGTAATAGTAGTTATAATTGTACCCCATTCCTCCATTCCCTACTAACCAAAGGTAAGAACAAGGGTAGGGCAGGGTTGGGTAGGCAGGGGAAGGGCAAGGGCAGGTAGGATAGGGTAGGGTAGCATAGAGCATTTTCGCAACCTTGATCTAGATGAACAACACATTGTAGCAATACTCGTGACAGTAAGGCTCGTGGTGGCAGTAGTGGAATGATAAAAAAGGTTGTCAGTCCTTGTTGTTCTTGTCAATGCCTGAATAAACACATTTGTGCTTTTCGTGGTTACTTTATAGAGATCGTCCATGTCGCATCTCGTCATGAGATAGCTCTGGCCAGAAACTACAGCGTCGCGCTGGTGTCTTGAACAGAGATACAGGAGCTCTCATGGTCTATAAGTGTAAAATGATGCTATCGTACTTTTGAGTGTCACACGAAGGAGCACTCTTGTTTTTCCCTCATGGTTGGAGAAGGCTAACTTGTGTCTTCTTAATATTCTGTGAGACACAGGAGCTTCTTTTCCTTAAGCGGTCAAGGTTTCCTCGTTACTTGTAAGCGGATAAAGGCGCCGTGCTGATTCAACGTTTTTTTCCTAAATAACTAGCCAAGTTCGTCAGTTGCTGATGTTCCCCTCATCTTGTTTTTTCAAGAAAACCTGTGATCAAGGTGCAACGGAGTTAAATTGCAATTTCTCAAAGCCTTGAGACATATTGAGGTGCGAGCTAGAAGCTCTCATTATCTGGTGGTAGTAAGGTTGAAAGGAGTCTTGGTGAGTGTTTGTGATTCACCAGGAATTCCGTTGTTCTTTACCACAGAAAAAGCGACGGTTCTTGTTCAGATATGACGTTGTCCTGATCCCCAAGAAGCAATATACATATAAATCAAAGTACATATACATATACATGTACATATACATATACATATACATATACATATATACATATATATATATATAGACACACAGAGCTGCTTATGTCCCATGAAGAGCAAAGCGGGACACGTTTACTTCGCGCGTAGGTCTTTGCTTTTTGGGGTTTGCATGCGAATAATACTGCCACTCGTCATTCTTTTGCAAAAGGGGTTGCCGTATCCATATTGATACGAAAAGGCGAGCCTCTGTTTTCTTCCTGATGCTAATGCAAAGTTTAAGATACTCTACATACGATAGTTATGACCGATCCAATTTCAGTCTTAGTGGATAGAGCTCGCTACTCTCGCAAGCATCTGCCTTGGCCAGGGATGACAGTGCCTTCTTATGTTTCTCTGTGATGAAAGAGGATCTGGAAAAAGAGACGAGTTCTCTTTTCAGCTTTATGCAGAGACAAATTCGCATTCTCCCGAAGCAAGTGGGCTTTCTCTTCTTCTTGTTTAGTTGAGAAGGGCTCTGTTTTTGTCTACCAGCTATCGACAAAGAGTCGGTGTACAACACGGACGGAGGCAGAACCAGCATTCGGTGTGGTTTCTTTACTTGGGGGTTGTAAACAGGAATCAGAAGCATTGTTTTTCTTTACTTGTTATGTTACTTGACTTACTTGCTACTATAGTCTCCTTAGCAATTATGTTTTGCTTTTGTTCATATCAAACCCAAGAGAATATTGAACAGATTGTTTTATTTCGGTTCTAAGGGGGGTATAGACTAAGTCTCTTGATTTCTCAGCCGGGCTTTGAGGGCATTGAGGTTCCATGTTGAAGCATCAGGGCACTTTCTAAGTTAAGCTCATTCCACGGATGACATAATGTCCGGGAACACTATGAAAGCGTAGTTCCAAGCTCTCTTTGCTAGACCTCAGGAAATGCCGTTATAAGAGTCGACCTGCGCATAGAGCATATACATTGGCCCTAAAGTTGCTAGTCTTGGAACCCGTTCGTGTAGTTGTCAAAATTAGGGTCCCGTTTTGGGTACCCTAAATATTCGGTGAAGCATCAAAATTCTAATAAGGACCCAAATAGGGACCACAATTTTGACAACCACCTGTTTCATGCCAAAGCATATACCATACAGGTACCGGAGAACCCTAAACCCTAAACCCTAAACCGTCCGGAGCCTTTGGGGGGCATATTGAAACCCGGCTGTTCCCTCAAGCCCAAACCCCAGCAGGACGGAGCCTCCACTTTGCCGTCCCTGTCCCCTGCGGCCATGACTTTGCCTCCCCCACAGGCGACTGCTCGTCAGAGGTTTAAGGGTTAATGGTTTAGGGTAGAGTCCAAGTATTGGTACTCTTCTGATTACCAGGTGTTTCTGGCAGTTTTTGGCTGATCAGCTCACTTTGTTGCGTGTCTTCATGTTGTTTTAAAATGCTTGTCAGCGAAAACCTTTGGCAGCAAGAGCAGCCAGCTGTGGTGTACTTAAAAGTTGGATGGTGGCAGTGTCACAAGGATAGCCCTTATTCGAGTACAGAGAGAGCGCAAGTGCAGTGTAGCTCTTCAAATTCCGCATCCCGCAACCCTCGAAGGAGCATTGTTAGCATCCTCTTTAGTCACTTTAGCCCCTACATTACGTAGAGTCAGATACATCTAAGGCATCCTACTCTCATCCTCAGCCCTATATTCAGAGCTTGCAATTTCTCTTTGAGGTTCTCCCTCTATAAACTGTGACCCTACACCCGTAACCTCCAAGGGTAAAAGGAGGGACCCTTAATAAGGACCCCTCAGTATATACCCTTCATATAGCTATTATATACCCATTATATTGCCCATTATAGGGTAGGGGTCCCCATTAAGGGTCCTCCTCCTCCCATTTGAAAAAACCCGACTATGGTCCGAATCTATCGTCTCCCTCTGCAAATCGAAGTCTTGCGGCTGGTTTTAAAGTTTAGAGCGGCGCAACTGGGCTTGGGAGTTGACGTTCTTGATTTAGGATGAGAGTTTAGTCTTCCGGGTGCCGAGAAGGGTCTAGGGTTTAGGATTTTTGAGAGTCTAGTTTTCAGGGTTATATGGTAAAGCAGCCGTAGCGTATCCCAATTCAGGTACTCAATACCTTCCCTGATTCTTCAAGCAGGGTTTAAGCTTTCTGAGTTGGCCATCGAAATTTTCTTTGAATGACGACCTGCGCTGTTCTATGTCAGTTACATGGCCGGGGTTGGAGCAAAACGGATCATGGCTTTAGGGTGATTTAGGGGCCTTCTTACCTATACTATTTTGGGGGTTCCTGAGTATAGCTATAGTCTACAGTGTAACCCTATTCTAATTTTTACGGCCCTATAGTATAGTTTAGGGTTTAGGGTGCCGGCTATGATGCAGGACGCTGGAGAGGTGCCGGCTTCACCCTCCAGGACGGATTATATTGTACCGTGGTGTAGGGTGAAAGGTTCTAACAGTTAGGGGCAAGATTCCGGCTTTTCGGTACAGGATTGTATGCTGGGGTTTAGGGTTTCGGGGAGGGAGCCGGGTTTGGGGTTCAGGGTTGGGATTTGGGGTGTTTGAGGTTACTCATCGGGTCGGAGGACTTAGTAAGTAGTGTCTAAAGATCGAGCTATCGTAACCCGAATGAGGATCCCTTTTTAGGCGCTTACCACACCCTAACCCTAAACCCTCATACAACCCTAAGCGGACTCTACCTCTTACCCACTTACTAAGTCCACGAGCCTCCAAGCAAGGACCATGAAGCCATCTTAGGGGGCTTAGGGTGTGTAATATGGAGGCCTAAACAATTACCTTTAAAGGGATCCATAAATGGGTCTATAGGGGATCTATAAGGGTACTATAATAATATATTAGGGGCCTAGATAAGTACCAATACTACTTTGGGTGTTCCTTATTATAACGATGGTAACTATCGGCACCAAAACCCGACTGTAATGATTAAGGCCCCTATATTACTTGGGGGCCCAGAAACATACACAAGTAGTTTGGCTTACACTTAGGACAACTCGAATTGCGGCACTGATAGCCCCAACTATAGCTGACTTAATGAATGCCGCGGTCCGTTTAACTAGTAAAGTTTGGGGTAAGGGGACCGCTTCTTCGGCAGAACTAGCTGTCATGCTGCATGCTCTGAAATTTCTCGGTCTTCTTGGTTGGTAACCCTTGTGTCTCAACTATCCGCACTGCAGCTTATCATCGCTACTGTTCGGAAACCTGAACAATTAGCAATACTATTTCTCTGGAGCTCCTTTTTATAACTCTGGCATAACGTTCCCCCCAACCTGGTGGGCCTGCTCGCCGTGCGAAAGCTCACAGAGATATTTGCGACCCTACAACCTGTCTCAATTTTAAACCCCGAACCCCCAAAGCCTACCCTAACCCTGAACCCTATACCCTAAACCCTAAACCCTAAACTCCCTAAACCCTAACCCCCCCAAAAAAAAAAACTCCCTAAACCCTTAACCCCCAAGATGCCTGTCAGAGGACTTCGGAAGTGGATGATGCGCCGGCTTGCGATGAGAAGGCTCTCTCTGCACCTTCAGCAGCCCTAAACCCCAAGGAGGCATGGTTTTCAGGTTAGGGTTTAGTTCGGGGCTCCACCCCCACCTATGCAATGCCTGCATACACTGAATCCTGATAAAGCAGATCCTTGTCAGAAGTTCAATCATGCAACCCTAAGCCCTGAAGCCAACCCTGAACCCCAAAGCCTACACCCCAAACCCTAGACCCTAAGCCCTAAGCCCAAATTCCTAGACCCTAAACCCTAAACCCGAACCCTAAACCCTGACCCACCAAATCCTGCAGCCCCAGACCTTCCACGTGATCAACCATCAATCCGAAGCATTCTTGCCCAAAGGGTCCAAATACTCTTGTATGCACTGCAGTCTTCGGTCTTGCAAGCGTGCACCTTGCAATGGCAATTTCTGTGGATGTATATCTACTGAGTGGCCAAAGTGCATCTTTCGACGTGAATGCGGATTCATCTGTTGAGTCATTGAAGCGACGTGCCCAGAGTGCTCTGGTCACGGGTAGGGGGAGACTGCTGAACTCTTCTGGAGAAGTGCTTGATGGAGCAAAAACTATCGCAGAAACCAGGCTGAAGAGTGGAGATGTGCTCACCCTACATGTGAATCAAGTCCAGCTTAGAGCCACCAGGCATGGTGCGTTCCTCGCACTCCTGGGTGACGGATCTGTCGTCACTTGGGGTGACCCCCCCTGGGGCGGCGACAGTCGTGCAGTCCAGGCGCAGCTGAGGAATGTGCAGCAAATCCAAGCTTCTGCTGGTGCCTTTGCTGCAATCCTGGCTGATGGATCCGTGGTCACCTGGTTCCATTCTGCCTTTGGTGGCGACAGCAGTGCGGTGCAGCATCAGTTGCGAGATGTGCAGCAGATCCAAGCTTCCCATGGTGCATTTGCTGCAATCTTGGGTGATGGATCTGTGGTCACCTGGGGCAATGCCGACGATGGTGGCGATAGCAGCGCGGTGCAGGCGCAGCTGAAGAATGTGCAGCAGATCCAAGCTTCCGGTGGCGCATTTGCTGCAATCCTGGGTGACGGATCCGTGGTCACCTGGGGTGATGCCAAAATTGGTGGCAACAGCAGCGCGGTGCAGGCGCAGCTGAAGAATGTGCAGCAGATCCAAGCTTCCCCTGACTCATTTGCTGCAATCCTGAGTGATGGATCTGTGGTCACCTGGGGTAATGGCTACTTGGGCGGCGACAGCAGCATCGTGCGGGAGCAGCTGAAGAATGTGCAGCAGATCCAAGCTTCTGTTGGCGCATTTGCTGCAATCCTGGGTGATGGATCTGTCGTCACCTGGGGGTATACCGACTCTGTTGGCGACAGCAGTGCGGTACAGGATCAGCTGCGAGATGTGCAGCAGATCCAAGCTTCTTATCGCGCATTTGCTTCAATTTTGACTGATGGATCTGTAGTCGCCTGGGGTTCTGCCCACTATGGTGGTGACAGCAGTGCGGTACAGGAACAGCTGAAGAATGTGAAGCAGATCCAAGCTTCCGAGGCGGCATTTGCTGCAATCCTGGGTGATGGATCTGTCGTCACTTGGGGCAATGCCGACCGTGGTGGCGATAGCAGTGCTGTACAAGAGCAGCTGAAGAATGTGCAGCAGATCCAAGCTTCTGTTGGCGCATTTGCTGCAATCCTGGGTGACGGATCCGTGGTTACCTGGGGTGATGCCAAATGCGGTGGCGACAGCAGCGCGGTGCAGGAGCAGCTGAAGAATGTGCAGCAGATCCAAGCTTCTCGCTGCGCATTTGCTGCAGTCCTGGGTGATGGATCTGCGGTCACGTGGGGTGGTGCCAATAGTGGTGGCGACAGCAGTGCGGTACAGAAGCAGCTGCGATCAGCAGATCCTAGCTTCGCCTTGCGCATTTGATGCAATCCTTGCTGATTGATCTGTGGTCACCTGGGGCCATGCCGGCTATGGTGGCGACAGCAGTGCCTTGCGGATCAGCTGCGAGACGCGCAGCAGAACCAAGCTGCCAATGAGACCTTTGCTGTAAACCTGGGCATCGCACCCTGTGTTGCCAGGCTTCCGAAACCCTTAAACCCTAAACCCCGACCCCTAAACCCTAAACCCCTAGACCCTATAGACCCCTAAACAACTGCTCGTCCAAGATTGAGGGATTTAGGGTTATGATGGGGTTTGGGGCTTAGGGGTTCAGGGTTGAGGGGTTTAGGGTCCAGGGGTTCGCATTTTGGACTGCATGCACCGACAGAGCTGATGGCCCTAAATAGACTGATCGCCACAGTACGACGATTTTACGCCGCATTGTCACAAGATGCTTTCGCTAATTCACGGCAAGCCCGAAACTCTAAGCACGAAAGCCTAGAAACATATGAGTGTTCATCAACATTATGGTCCCTTTTTTTGGGTCCCGACTATGATACGGCACCTGCTATGTTACATAGTAGGGTACCCAAAAAGAGACCCTAATTTGGACAACTACCCATATGACTCAGTAGGCTGCAGTCTTTGGTCTTGCCGTTGCCAGCAGACCACTCTGCGAAGCATCATGTCGATTACTGGGGATGTGCATGCGCTGAGTGGTAAGAGTGCCGCTTTCCGGTGTGGAGAAGCCCGAAATCCTGAACCCCAAGTCCTTGAACAAACTTGCCTTCGCACATAAATGCGACTCACATACTACATATACATGCATACACACGCATATACATGTATGCACATTTATACAAAGATACTTAAAGGATCATGGGACTTAGTAACTAGGGATCTAATCAGGGTAGCTATACTTATAACCCCAATTCGGGTTCTTATAACCTTACTTACTAAGTCCCATGATCCTCCAAGTAGGGTTTAGGGGCTAGTATTTATGGTAAACTATACGGTATCCTACCCTGAAACCATATTCCAACTTTCTGGAGTTCCCTGTATGGTTGTTACCTGATCACGTGGAGGTCGTGAAGGCTCAGCTCTGGGCCGCTGCATCCGTCAGCACATGGAAGGAACTCGTTCATCCGCAGCTGCTGGAGGCAGCACCCCAAAGCATCGTAGTTATACATTTTTTTAGTTATCTCATATTTTATTTCGTTCGATTTTGATATTACAGTATAGTACAGAATAGTAAAGCATAGCATAGTGAAAGCAAGACCGTACGCTGACTCTGCTTCGAGAGCGTGCCACATCAGTTTTTTCAGCGATGTGGGGCGGCCGGGCGCAGAGATGTACCGACCCTGCCAACCTCTTGTTATCGTTATTCCAGGGTTTCATGTGGGTAGTTGTCAAAATTAGGGTGCCTTTTTGGGTACCCTAAAAAATAGGTGCTGTATTATGGCAGGGACCCAAAAAGGGACAATCATTTTGACAACTACCCATGTGTAGATCGTAGCTCACCCAACAATGGCGGCCAGAAGCAGTGTTCAGCCCTATAAACCCTAAACCATACACCCAGCAGTAGCAGCCGGAAAGTTGGAACGTGATTATCCTCATGCCCCTAAGGTAAATTAGAGGGAATCCTATCCTTCACCCACGTTCCATCTTTCTGAGGTGACTATACATAAGCCCTCCACCCCAAGGTTGCCAACGGGCTTCACTCAACCTGCTTCCTCAACCCGAAATCTTAAACCCAAGGCACGAAACCCCTAAACCCCTAAACCCTAAATCGAAACCCCAAACCCTAAACCCTAAACCCCTAAACCCTAAAGCCGAAACCTTAAGCTCAAAGCCATAGCTCTGCCGGAAGGTGATCGGTGACGCCTTCGCCGTTCGGGCCCCGGCCGGTGACCGGCGTGTGTTTTTTCATGGAATGGTTGAGCTGTCATTACACTGTTTAGGGTGCAGGGGTGTAGGATTTAGGGGTTTAGGGTTTAGGGGTTGAGGGTTTATGCTTTAGGGGTTTAGGGTTTAGGGTGTTTTCAGCTATCATTATACTGTACCATCGTAGATTATTGTGTTATGTTATGCTTTTCTCTACGAGAATATACTTCGTCATATACCAGTGCGTATGTGCATGATGCAACGTAACATAAGACATTGGAGTGCAAAGACAATACAACATTTCCTGATATAAGACATTAGAACATAATATAATGTAACACAGTGTCCTAGAAATATAGGTTGCAATGTCATCAAGTATAGTAGAACAGTTGTGAACATCTTGTTATATTGTATGATACAGTAGGGGTTGGAGGTTTAGGGCTTTGGTGCTGTCGGTGTTTGGGAGTTGAGGGTATGCGGCCTTAGAAAGTAACATGAGCGGAGGGGTTTGAAGGTTAACTGCTCCTTTCCATTGCTTGAATGTTTGTGTTACCAAGGCCAATGCTTACAGACAGTCATCACGCCCAACAATGGGCATTTGCAGATTTATGACAGATCTTTTTCAAGCTGGGTTCTTGCAGATCGGAGTAAGCGGTGTTGCTCTGGGTTTAGGGTTTAGGGTTTAGGGTCATGCTATTCCACAGCAGCTGTGAGTCCGAGCCGATGGGGCTTGTCGGCATTCTAACACGGTACGGCGGTCTGCGCGGATTTCAGGCTTCTGGTTGGTCTTTTGTCATCCCAAGGGTCCAAGTACCTAGTAATCATATACTCTCCAAGAAAATTAAGCTACCTAACTACTATCCTGAACCCATGTACCTAATCATTGGGTCCTTTGGACTCTTGGGGTTATCTTGCTCATGATGACGGTCTTCGATTGATAAGGATGATGCACCGAACCGCTGTCATCGTAGCGACCTCGCCCGTCGAAATCCGTAACACCCACCTTAAACCCTAAATCCTAAGCCCTGAACCCAAAGTCCTAAACCCTACATCCGAAATCCCGAACCCTAAATCGGAGAAGTCACGTTCACAAAGGTAGCTGCCGTGGCGACACACCTCAAGTCCGAGGACTCCACCACGCCTAATTGGGGGTTTCCCAAAATAGGGGACCCTAATATAGTACCCTGAATAGTAGGGTCCTTATTATAAGGACCCCCAAATAAGGTACCCTGATTTTCGGAAACTCCCAATTATCGGGAGACTTATACGTGGGATCATGGGACTTAGTAACTAGGGTTGTAAGTAAGGTAGCTGTACTTATACTTGCTTGTAACTCCAATCAAGGTACTTCTAGCCGTACCTACTACTTCCCATGACCCTCCAAGTAATGAGCAAGGGCTTGAAGTACATGGGTAGTTCTCTAAATTAGGGTACCTTTGAGGATCCTCACAAAGGACCCTGTTTAGTTTAGAGAACAAACCACAGGTTACACGCCCTCAAAGAGACACCACACATACTTCTTGGTTCTTACCTGGGACATGCTCGACTCCATGTTTTAACTGCTTCTTGAGGGTGTAGGGTTTAGGGTTTAGGGTTTGGAGGGTATGGTACTGCTGACCAGTGGATGTGAAATTTAAGCTATACGCATCCCACTACAAGGGTTTTAGGGTATGGAGGCTCTGTTCGTGCCGTTCGGAAAGAGTGTAAATTGTTGCTGCTCGGAGCAAGTTTAGGATTTGGGGTTCAGGATTTAGGGCTTTGAGATGTTCATGTTAGTTGTCGGTTGCTGTCGGTTTAATGTAGAAGCTTGAAGTCATTGTAAGCATGAGTCCTTTGGGTTCCTCATTATAGTTGTACCATAAGAATACCCAAAGCCCGATTCCAACTCTGACGGGCCCTATGTTACCGTAAACCGTAAACCCCTAGCTCCAAATCCTAAACCCCTAAAACAAGCCCAAGAAATGCCTAACATCCTGAAGCACGAAGAACCCACGGCGCTGAAAGTTTCAGTGTTGGGGTAGAAGGTTCAGGGTTTAGGGATAGGGTTCAGGGTTTGGGGTTTAAGGTTCAGTGTTTAGGGTTGAAGGCTTAGGGAATGGGGATTAGTATAGGGATGAGGGTTTAGGCTTCATCGCTTCGGCCTGCGTCCTTACCATGCTCCAAGGAAGCCGTCGTAGTATATTCAGTCGCGATCCCCGACTACCGAAATCACCAAGCCCAACGATTTGACTGCGGCTATCTCGCAAGTACCCAAAGCACACGTGACTTCGAATGAAGCCCCTACACCCGACCATAACAAGGTGTACAGGACTCATGTTTCGAACACCAGGGTCCGAACCTACTGCTTAGACCTTAACCCCACACCCTAAGCGCTTAACGCGCAAAAAGCCAGACTCTGACAACCTGTATTTCAAAAAGCTCCATTTCTCTGTCTGGACGGCGGTAAAGACGCGATGAGTGCTTAGCCGACATGCCCAGCACTCAGTCGTCCAGTTCTTCGTTGCTCTAAACAGGGTGGTCCTTTGGGATCTTTTTTAAATTTCTCCTACTATTCTGTGGAGAACCATAAATGATTTTCAGAGGGCTTAAAGGACAACTCAGTAAACCCTTTCTGTTTTGAGTTCAGGGTTCGGGGCGTGTTTGCATTGTTCTTGGCCTGTTTTTGTTTCGGCAACTTGCGGCGTGTAAGCCTAAGAGCGAACTTTCTTGACAGACAGTACAATTTATCTATAGGGGGCCTATAATCCTATAACCGCTGATTATATTCAAAGTATAGTATAAGATACCCCAAAGCCCTATTCTAATCAATAATTAAGGCTCCTACATTAAAGGAGTTCTGTTCTTTCAGGGCAAAGTTGGGGCTTGGCGGAATTTTTCTAATATGAGGGCCTTAATATTTAGAATGGGGATTTGGGGTATATTCTACCATAATTAAAGTAAGGAACCCCCAAAATAGTCAGAATAGTAAGAGGCTTTAAGACGCGTTGGTTTGAGAGGGTTCGGTTCCCCAATAGTAGCATGATGACCCGAAGCCCTAAACCCGACGGCCTTTATGTATTCGGGACGGCAGTTCTACCGCAGTTCAAACGCCCGCAAGTCCCTCAACCCCTAATGCCCAAAACTTAAAACAAGAACCCTCGACAGTTGACGAAGGGTATACTGTAGGAACCTAACTAAGAAACCCTGGGCCTACACCCCCTAAAATCGTAATAGGATTCGTACAAGGACCCCCGTACGGGCCCAAGGTTTCTTAATCAGGTTCCTAGATTATTGTAGTACCCTTATAGATCCCTTATAGTAACCTTTATCGACCCCTTTAAAGGAACCCTAATAAAGGCCCAAGGTTTCTTAATCAGGTTCCCAGATGGGAGTTTCCGAAAATAGGGGACCCTAATATAGTACCCTAAATAGTAGGAGCCTTATTATAGGGACCCCCAAACAAGGAAACCCTAAACCCTGAACCCTTATAGATCCCTTTAAGGAACCCTTAAAGAATCCCCTTAATAAGGTACCCCCTAATTTTCGGAAACTCCCAGATTGGGGCTTCTGAGCAGCTTGAGCCTTCTGACCCGACATGTCTGACGGCTTTCGAAAATTATGGGTACTATACTACTATACTACTATACTACTACTACTACTACTACTACTACTACTACTACTACTACTACTACTACTACTACTGCTACTACTACTACTACTACTACTACCTTATTTTGGGATTCTGTAAAGGGTTCCATAAAGGGAAATATGAGGGTTCTACAAAGGGTTTAGGGTTTAGAGTTTCCGAGAATTAGGGGTACCGTATTTTGTGGATCTTCAGAAGAAGGATCATACTATTCAGGGTACTATATTAGGGTCCCCTATTTTCGGAAACTCCCCTTTTAGCACTGAGAATAAGGCGCCTAAGCTCTGGAAGCCTTCTCGAACCATGCCCTGCAAAACCCTCAAACAACCTGAAAGAAAAAGCCCCTAAACCCGAAATCCTAAACCCTAAATCCAAAACCCTAAACCCTAAATCCTAAACCCAGGTCGGCCCTAGCTCGCACAAAAGGGGATGCGCGAGACTTCGCGTACGTGGAGGATGGTCAGGACCACCTGGGAGTTTCCGAAAATTAGGGGGTACCTTATTTTGGGATTCTTTAAGGGTTCCTTAAAGGGATCTATAAGGGTTCAGGGTTTAGAGTTTCCGACAAATCAAAGGTACCCTGTTTGGGGCTCCTTATAATAAGGATCCTACGATTAGGGTCCTATACTACGGTGGATGATATAAATCCTGCATTACCTTAAGGACCCTAAACTATGGGAACAATGGTACATTCCTTATCATGGGTAATGCAGGATTTATATCATCAACCGTAGGGTCCCCTATTTTCGGAAACTCCCCACCTCTCACGCGCAGGTGTTCGGCTATGAGGAGTTTGGGGTTCAGGGCTCAAAGTCACATGGATGGTTGTCAAAGTTACGGTCCTTCTTGGGTACCCTAAATATTCGGTGCCGTATTATAAGAAGGGCCCAAAGAGGGACCCTAATATTGACAACCACCCACTTGCTTCGGCTACGAAGTCGATCCCTCAACCTCAATCCTAAACCCCTTAATTAACCCTAAACCCTGTAGCCTTAAAAGGAGACGGGCCCCCAAGCCCTCCAGCCTAAGCCCTACCTTACAGTAATCACTAGAACCCATGTTCTAACTAGCTTTCATGTCCGAACACTCGGGATACCAACCCTGAACCCTAAACTACAATTCAATAAACCTGAACCCTAAGTCCTAGATCTCTAAAACCCACCTTCTTATAGATTGAAATCAGAGTGGGAATCCCTTCAAAGGTGGGCTTCCGAGGATGATGGGTTGAGGGTTTTCTGACAGCTGCCCAAGCCCCAAAAAATCCTCTCAGTAGTGGAGCAGGGAAGGCAACCCGGAACTATCATCCCCCCAAAAAAACCCCAGAGGTAAGCCCTTAGTTCCGTTTGGATACTGGACAAGCAAAGGAAGTAGGTCACACCCTAAGCCCCAAGAAAGAAATTTAAACTTCTGCCCAAGCCCGAAAGAGACCCTCATCGCAACAAATGCAAGGACGAGTCAGCGCCTCTGACGCCCTACCGCACGCGTGTCGGAGCCCTACTTAAAGGGTCCTGGGTAGTTATAAGTGGGTTTATAAGTAGGGTAACCATAATTATAACCCAGATACGGGGACTTCTAACCCACTTATATCTACCCATGAACCACCCTAAACCCTAAACCTTAAGGGGGTTTAGGGTGTGGGAAGCTTCAGGGCTAGGAGTCCTAAGATTTATAGGGCCTTAGGGGAGTTTCGGGCTTTTTGGGCTTTGAGTCTTGAGTTTGAGGGCTTCTTGGGCTGAGGGCTTTGAGTTCCAGGATGTATTGCTTTGGGGCGTTTGAGTCTTAAGGTTTAGGGTTTGGTTTGTTCGCATGCCGCAAGAATATTTGTCAGTAGCACTATATATACTATATATATATACACACACAAAAGCGTTCCTTACGAAAACTATATAGCAATAATGTACTCAAAAACCTTTTGTGGGCCCTAACCCCAAGACGCGAAGCCCTCAACCCCAAGCCTTAAACCCTAACCCCTAAACCCCAGGCCTTAAACACGTGCGGCCGCTTGGACTCGAGCCTTAAGCTGGCGTCCGCGTGAAGCTGCGAAAGGAGATCGAAGAGATCCGAGAGGGTAGATATGCCGAGAGTCAAAGGGGAAAAGGAGGGACCCTTAATGGGGATCCTTTAAAGGGATCTATAGGGATGCTATAAGGGTATATGGTTTAGGGTTTAGAGGTTGAGAGGGTAGATACTTGGAGGGTCATGGGACTTAGTAAGTAGGGTTATAAGCACCTTAATTGGGGTTATAAGTATACTTACCCTAATTATAACCCTAGTTACTAAGTCCCATGATCCTTTAAGTATGGGTGGTTGTCAAAATTATGGTCCCTCTTTGGTCCCTATGACAATACTGCACCTATTATTTAGGGTGCCCAAAAAGGGACCGTAAATTTGACCCTAAACCCTAAACCCTATCAAACTTTCAAAGTATTTCGGATTATATGGGAGTTTCCGAAAACAGGGGACCCTCATATAGTACCCTAAATAGTAGGATCCCTATTCAAAGGGACCCCAAGATAGAGCACCCCTAATTTTCGGAAACTCCCGTATGTTAAGGGTACCCAGAAGGACTCCCTGACTTGAGTCATAGACCCCTAGACCCCAAACGATCATGGGACTTAGTAACTAGGATTATAATTAGGGTAACTATACTTATAACCCCAATTAAGGTACTTATAACCCTACTTACTAAGTCCCATGACCCTCCAAGTAGACCCCAAACCCTAAACCACCCTAAACCAGACTCCCTACTTAGAGGCCCGGGGGACTTAGTATGTAGGTTATAAGTACATAGGGTTATAAGTACTTTAAACGGAGTTACCCCACTTATAAGTATTATAATACGGCACCTATTATTTAGGGTACCCAAGAAGGGACCCTCATCTTGACAACTACCCATATTGTACTCCGAAGCCCATTCTAAATTTGTGAGGCCCGTAGTTTGGTTCAGCCTTTTACAGTAGAAGCCAGAAAGTTAAGGGATCCAAAAAGCACAAAAGCATAAGCATTTTACGGGTATATCCCTACCTTATTGGGCTTCATTATAAGGGGGTTTATATGGGATATCCTTATCCTTATTTTTGCTTATGTGCTTTTTTGGGCCCTAAAAGTTGGAACATCATTATCCTCATGCCCTTAAGGTAAAGTAGAGGTAATCCCAGCACTCATCATCCTAAACCCATGTTCCAACTTTCTGGGGTTCACGATAAGTTCGATGCATCTGCGCAGGTTCTCTGACCCTCGAACCAGAAGTTGCTGCTAACCTTAAACCCTAAGCCCATGATGCCGCACACCCTGGGTTTAGGGATTTAGGGTTTGGGGTTTAGGGTTTAGGAATTTGGGGTTTAGGGTTTAGGGTTTAGGCTTTGAGGTTTGAACTCTGAAGCAACTGAACGAGCCACAGCCATCAGGTGCAAGCAGACCTTGAGCGAGACGTGGCCAGGTGTCTTCCTCGGCGCGGATTCCTTAGAGCTAGGAAGCAGTCAGAAGGTTTCGGGTTCAGGGAACTACGGTAACATCTAGTCTAGGGTTTAGGGTTTAGGGAACTACACAAACTTAGCTTACGTTTAACCCACACATGATGCCTTGCATCCTGAAGTGGCCGGACTCATCGCAGATTCAAGCTGGGTTTAGGCTTCGATACGAAATCTAGATAAGCCGTAAACCGTTGTTTAAGGTTTAAAATTTGGCTTGGGACCCCTGTAGTCTTATGGAAATCAGAGGGTCGGCCGCAGCACAACAGCAGATCATGACCTACCCATGCCGTTGTTACAAGTTGTCGGGTATGAGGCTCTCTTTGCCGCGCCGCCCTCCGCTAGTTCATTTTTTCCGGAAGACGAGACCCTGAACCTTCAGCGCAGTTTTAACCTGCTCAGCAAGTGTATTGAGACGTGCAGATGCCCCTTTAGGGGCAATAGCAAGGGTAGAGCCAGCAACGCGGCTTTGCATGGCCAACTATGCTTCCTGCCCGGAGCCAACAACGCAAAGCAGAGCATGTTAAGATCGACGCGAGCCTGGCGAGACCCAAAGTCGTAGACCCCAAACCGTCAACCCTATACCCTCTACCCTGAACCCTAAACCCTTAACCTCAAACCCTACACCACAAACCCTAACCTTGAATCCCAAAGCCTAAACCCTGAACCTTAGACCGCACACCCCAGGCCCCTAAACCCTAAGCCCTGAACTCTATACAAGCCTACACCACAAGCCCCTCCCTACACCCGACACGAGAAGATGGGAGTGTCCGAATTAGGGGACCCTAAATAAATATTTGGATCCTTATTATGAGGACCCAAAATTAAGGTACCCCTAAGTTTCGATAACTCTAAGCCCTAGAACCCTTATAGATCCCTTTAAGGAACCCTTCAAGGATCCCTTTAAAGGAACCCCTAAAGTTTCGGAAACTCTAAACCCCAAACCCTTCATGGAACCCGAATAGATCCCTTGAAGGAGCCCCTTAAAGGATCCCTTTCAAGGAACCCCCAAGTTTCGGAAACTCCCACATGACCCTGGGCTGTCCGTGAGGGCGGATCACCTCTCGAGCTCGCTCCTTATATGGGAGTTTCCGCGTGCCCTATGTTGGGGTCCCACGATTTGGGGTACTATATTAGGGTCCCCCATTTTCGGAAACTCCTATATAATGCTACAATACTTTGAAAGTTTGGTAGGGTTTTAGGGTTAACCTTTTCGGGGCTAAGATGCTCAACCCCTACGTTAAGGATTTAAGGCTGTAGGGATGTATCCTGGGCATGGCCCTACCATACAGTAGTCTCAGGCGTAGGCTCTGCTTGCTACGACCACCCTCAGAAGCGTAATGTCGATTTCGGTGGATGTGCATCTGTTGAGTGGAAAGACAGAAACTCTGGAAGTGGACGGGGATGATTCTGTTGAGTCTCTCAGAAGACGTGCCCAGAGTGCTCTAAAAGCTGGCAACGGCAGGCTGTTGGACTCTTCTGGGGAGGTACTTGATGGGGCATCAACTATAAGGGAAGCAGGACTGCTGAACGGTGACATGCTGACCCTGCATGTGAAGCAGGTCGCGCTTCTAGCCACGAAAGGAGGGGACACCTCGGCATTCGCTGCAATGCTGGGTGATGGATCTGTGGTCACCTGGGGAAATGCCGACAGTGGTGGCGACAGCTGCGAGGTACAGCATCAGCTGCGAGATGTGCAGCAGATCCAAGCTTCTGATTCGGCATTTGCTGCGATCCTGGGTGATGGATCTGTGGTCACCTGGGGACATGCCGGTTGTGGTGGCGACAGCAGGGCGGTCCAGGATCAGCTGCGAGATGTGCAGCAGATGCAAGCTTCTAGTGCCGCCTTTGCTGCAATCCTCGGTGATGGATCAGTGGTCACCTGGGGCATGGGGGGCTATGGCGGCGACAGCAATGCGGTACAGGATCAGCTGCGAGATGTGCAGCAGATCCAAGCTTCTTATTCGGCATTTGCTGCAATCCTGGCTGATGGATCTGTGGTAACTTGGGGCCATGCCCCCTTTGGTGGCGACAGCAGCGCTGTGCAGGGGCAGCTGAAGCATGTGCAGCAGATCCAAGCTTGTGATTTCGCATTTGCTGCCATCTTGGGTGATGGATCTGTGGTTGCTTGGGGAGCTGCTGACTCTGGTGGAGACTGCAGCGCAGTATGCGATCAGCTGCGAAATGTGCAGCAGATCCAAACATCTGATGCGACATTTGCTGCAATCCTGGATGATGGATCTGTGGTCACCTGGGGCCATGCCGACTTTGGTGGCGACAGCAGAGCGGTGCAGTATCAGCTGAAGCATGTGCAGCAGATCCAAGCTACTAGTGGCGCATTTGCTGCAATCCTCGGTGATGGATCTGTGGTCACCTGGGGCACTGCCGCCTGTGGTGGCGACAGCAACGCGGTACAGGATCAGCTGCGAGATGTGCAGCAGATCCAAGCTTCTAGTTATGCCTTTGCTGCAATCCTGGGTGATGGATCAGCGGTCATCTGGGGTGAGCAAGATAATGGTGGCGACAGCCGTGCGGTACAGCATCAGCTGCAAGATGTGCAGCAGATCCAAGCTTCTGATGCGGCATTTGCTGCAATCCTGGGTGATGGATCTGTGGTCACCTGGGGAAATGCCGACTGTGGTGGCGACAGCTGCGAGGTACAGCATCAGTTGCGAGATGTGCAGCAGATCCAAGCTTCCGATGGGGCATTTGCTGCAATCCTGGGTGACGGATCTGTGGTCACCTGGGGGGATGCCTGCCATGGTGGCGACTCTAAGCATGTCTGCAGCGGCTGCAGACTTTGACATGACCCTGTGACCATGCTGTTCGCCCCCGAAACTCTCATGCTTATGCACGGAAATCTTCGCCCACCGATTCAACCGCAGTGGTATTGCTATCTAAGCAGGAGGGTTTAGGGTTTAGGGGGTTGAACAACTAGACATTACATTGCCTTGTAGTCGTTATCTACATATCTGAAGAATACACCTTATTCTTACTGTTCGGTTCCCCTCCATGATGCCCGAAACCCTACACCCAAAACCCTAATCCTTGAATTCTCTAAGCCCTATTCCCGCAACCCTGATCCCTGAACCCCAGTCATCCCAAAACCCTACTCCCCACACCCTACTAATCGCTATACAAACCCCAATCCCGGAGCCCTAACTAACCTTCGATATTGGAGGAGCTAAGGAGCCAGGGATGATGAGAACCCCGATTAAATAAGGAGCTAAAGAGCCAATGGAGCCCCAAAACCACTGGTTAGCTAGTCCCTGCCTTAATCGACCAAAACCTACATTTTTGTAGGTTCCCTATATATTCCATACAGGGGTGTACATTAAGAACCCACAAAAAGTAGGGTTTGGTAGGTTAAGGTGAACCCTACTCCCGCAACCAACAGCCCGCCCTAAACCCTAAACCCTAAACCCTAAACCCTAAACCCTAAACCCTAAACCCCTGACATCGAACATCGGAGGCGAAAAGGGCGGTGCAACTTCCTCGACACGCTCGTCTTCCAGGCGCCGAAGGGCCGGTGGGTAGTCAGGGTAATGTAGGGGCCTAGATATGAACCTAAACTATCTTGGGGTTCCTTATTATATATGTACATATATATATATATATGTATATATGTATATTATAATGGGCCCCAAAACCCTATTCTAATTATTAAGGTCCCTACATTGGTCAGGGTAGAAGGGTTCAGGGTTCAGGGTGCAGGGGTTTGGAGGTTGAGGGTTTGGGAGTTCAGGGCTCAGTTCGGGGTGTCGGGTTGAAAGTGTAGGGGTTTAGGGCTGCTTTGGGGTTGAGGGTTCGGAGAGTGGTGTTTTAGGGATGGATACAGAAGCCTGAAGAAGCACTTAACATGATCGCCCGATATTATACCCTAGGACCCAGAGTAGGCCCTTATTCCCTTTTTGAGGGTTTAGGTTCCCTTATAACCCCCTTGAAACCAACAAGGGCACCCTTTTTATTCCCAGGCTACTCTTGGGTCTAGTACCCCAAAACCCTAATCCAATTATGTAGGCGCCGACATCATGGCTTGGAGGTTCTTGGGCACTTCGAAGTGTTTAGGTTTAGGCTGATAAGGGCACGTAAGTTGTGGGAGTTTCCGAAAATAGGGGACCCCAAAATAGTAGCATAAATAGTATGGTCCTTCTTATAAGGAGCGCAAAATGAAGTACACCGAATTTTAGGAAACTCCCATGTATAAGTTGTAAGAAGAGTCATAAGTACTTTCATTGAGAGGTACAATTAGTTACAGCAAAAGATATATTCTAGGGGCTGCGCCCAGGTGCGGGCAGCGCGAGTTGTTGTCAGCGGATGTAGCGGGGGAACGGGAAAGACACGGTCAAAATTTCCAGACGGTGCCGAGATAACGACAGCTCGACACCGGAACAAAAGTGTGACGTAGGCCCGAAGTGCACAACTTGTGGGTGATCTTACGCTCTTAGCCCTCGTCGGCCCTCCATGTAGCCCGCATCCGCCCTCCGCCGGACCCCGCTGATGCTGATGATGCGCGCCCTTTTAGGGGCTTCCGCAACCCACGCAAAAACTTGGAAATCATCACTTCGCGCCCACTTCGCGCCGCGGGGCCGGTTGCTGGCGCCCGAGTGCTCATGATGCTCGCCGGCTCGCCTCCTGGGGTCGTCCACGGCGGCCCCGAAACCCGCCATGCCGTGGGGAATGGCTGCGAAGCGCGTGCACGTTCCGAGACGCCTCCGGGCCAAGGCCCGCGCGGCCCGATGGAGAAACGGAGGTCCGATGATGCGGGGTCGGCGGCGGGTCGGCGGCACAAGCCGTCGTGGCTTTTGCTTCGCAAGAGAAGGCAATCGGGCAGCGCTTCGCTGCCCTGTATGGACTGAGCTATGGCTCAGACGAATGAGCTTCGTCTGCGAAGCAGAAGCCACGACCGACAGTGCCGCCGACCCGCCCCGGACCCCGCATCATCGGACCCTCGTTTCTCCCTCGGGCCGCGCGGGGCCTGGCCCGAAGGCGTCTCGGAACGCGCACGCGTTTTGCAGCCATTCCCCGCGGTGTGGCGGGTTTCGGGGCCGCCGTGGACGACCCCAGGAGGCGAGCCGGCGAGCATCATGAGCCCTCGGGCGCCCGCAACCGGCGCCGGCGGCGCGACGTGGGCGCGAAGTCATAACTCCCAAGTTTTTGAGTGGGTTGCGGAAGCCGCCAAAGGGCGCGCATCATGAGCATCAGCGGGGTCCGGCGGACGGGGGGTGCGGGCTACATGCAGGGCCGACGGGGGCTGAGAGCCTACGATCACCCACAAGTTGCGCACTTCGGGCCTACGTTGCACTTATCTATATACCGCGGGTTTCTGACAACAGCTCGCGCTGCCCGCACCTGGGCGCAGCCCCTAAATTCGTCTGAGCCATAGCTCAGTCCATACAGGGCAGCGAAGCGCTGCCCGATTTAAGAGCCTCCGGCTCAAGCCGCCAACCCCGTGGGCGACAGACCAGAAGCCGAATGCACTTGTACAGGCAAAGTCGTTTGGTGTCCGCGAGGCCCGTAGGTTTAGTTCTAGAAGGAGACGCCAGGATGGGAAGTGCAAACAAAGCCTTACCGCAGGACCTAAACCCGAAACCTAAACCGTCCTGAAACCCTATGTTCAACACCTTTAGAACCGTTTAGGGTTAGGGTTTCAGGAACATCTTCTCAGTGGCTGGGTATCTTATCCCATAAAAGGTTAACCTTTTAATTGTGGTAGGATCATGTAGGATCAGAAGAGCCCCAACAGGTTACCTACTCAGCCCCTAAGATTGTGAGACAAAACGGGGGGAAGAGGCGGAAGCACGCGAGGCTGCGCGCCGAGGAGGGCCAAGGCTCCCGTGCCCGCCTCCGCCGCCGTCGCCGCCTCCGCCGCACCTGCTGCTGCCTCCGCCGCCGTGGCGAAGCCTTCGGAGGCCTCCGCCTCTGTGCCAGCTGCTGGGAAGCGAAAGCTTCAACATCCTGCGGGGCGGCGGCGACTGGCTGGACAGAAACCTAAGAATCCCCAGGAGGCCGCCGGGGTTGGCCCCGCCGCCCGACGAGGTGCCTCCCCCAGCCGGGCAGAGGGCGGGGGAGGTGGGAGACAAAAAATTGTGGTCTCCTACAGTGAACTGATTTGAACCCAATGGGCTGTGGTGTGATGCTTTTTGGGGGCTTGGGTGCTGCTTGCAAACAGCCATGGGGTACCCCCCCCCTTTAGGGGCGCCCGGTGTGCGGGATTTCGGTGTGGGAGGAGGGAAAAAGGGAGGTTAACACCTCCAAGCCCATCGAAACCCATCCAACACGCCGCCAGGGTCGGCGGACAAGGGTTTGAGGGCTTCGGGTTCATGCAGTTGTTCGTTGAGTTTCAGTGTTTGGGATACCCCGAACCCAAGACCCTACACCCAGAACCCAAAACCCTAAACCCCGAACCCAAAACCCTAAACCCTGAACTCAAAACCCTAAAACCCTAATCCCTGAACCTTAAACCCCGAACCCCAAACCCAAAACCCAGAACCCTAAACCTCGAGACCGAAACCCTAAGCTCAAGTCCCAAACCCAAACCTTAAACACTGAACCCAAACACGAACCCCAAACCCAAAACACCCAACCCCAAACCCAAAACCCTAAGCCCTGAACCCGAAACCCCGAACCCCAAACCCAAAACCCTAAACCTCCAACCCCAAACCCAAAACCCCGAACCCCAAACCCGCAACAGCAACCCTAAACCCAAAACCCTAAACCTCGAACCTCAAACCCAAAACCCTAAGCCCTGAACCCAAAGCCCTAAGCCCCAAACCCGAAACCCCGAACCCGAAATCCCAAACTGAAAACCCAACACCCTAAACCCCGAACCCAAAACCCTGAACGTGAGACCCAAGACCCTAAGCCCTACACCCTTACAGCGTTTGAGTAAAGGGACATGGGACTTAGTAACTAGGGCTATAAAAAAGGAAACTATACTTACATTTACTTGTAACCCCATTCAAGGTACTTACAGACCCATGTAAGGTACTTATAAACCCATTTAAGGTACGCATAACACCATTCAATTCAAGGTACTTATAACCCCATGTAAGGCATTTATAACGCCATGGAAGGTACTTATAACCCCATTTAAGGTACTTATAACCCCATGTAAGGTAATTACTTCTAACCCCATTTAAGGTACGTATAACCCCCTAGTTACTAAGCCCCATGACCCTCTAAGTCAGGGAGCAAAGAAAGCCGGGGGGGGCTCCTCCGCTCGAACTCCAACGTAGAAACATCTTGCCGGACTCCCGAAGGGTCCAAAGTACCGATATAGTAGAATATGGGGTTTCCATATTAGGAACTACTATTATGACTTAGGGAAGTCTTCCCCATAACAGTACATAGGACCCTTTGGGACTGTACTGTACAATTCCAAATCACCTAGGGCCTAGGGCCCTTTAAAGGGATCCTTCATAATACAACTACCAAGCGATGGTCTCAAATCAAAGACCATTATATGGGTGTTCCCGAGAATAGGGGACCCGAAACTAGTACCCGAAATAGTAGGATCCTGATTAGAAGGACCCCAAAATGAGGTACCCCTGATATTCGGAAACTCCCATATTGGTCAACAGTTGCAACGGGCCGACTCCCAACACCGTTCAGTTTACCTTTGAAGGTCATAATCAGGATCCCTCTTAAGGGTTTAGGGTTCAGGGTTTAGGGTTTAGGGTGGATCCGTACCTTAACCTACCAAAACCTACCTTGTATAGGGTCCCTACATATTCCATATTTGGGTGTATATTAAGAACGTACAACACAGCAGGGTTTGGTAGGTTAAGGTCGGGGCCTGAATCAGTAAACCGAATGGGCCGAGAGTTCCCGTTGAAGAAATCCTTAAAGGGGTCTATAGTAGGGGCCTTGGGGGTTCCCTTATTATAGCTACTAGGACCTAGAGTAGGCCCTTATTCCCTTTTTTAGGGTTTAGGTTCCCTTATAAGCCCTTTAAACCAAAAAGGGCACCCTTTTTATTCCTAGGTTACTCTTGGGTCTAGGCTATAGTATACCGGGCCCCAAAACCCTATTCTAATCACTGGTGGATGAATCAGAGCATCGGCGGCAAGGACGCCAAATTAAGAAGCGAAGCGTGCGCGGCTGCACACGAGAGTGACGTTCTTCCGGGCCATTCGATGGTGTGGTTTTACGACGGGAATCCTTTCCCGACTGCCAGATTGCCCGGCGCGGTTGGGAAGTACCTGTGCTTGGCGCCGATGGAGGCTCAGCGCCGTCCGGCCTCCAGAGTCCGTGCTCCGTATGATTTGTTCGTCGAAGACGGGTTGCTGATTGTGGCAACCACGAGAAAGCGGATCGCCGCGTATCTGAAAGGTGTGCCAGGCGGCGCTGCCTTATGGGCTATGCTTAAAGGCGTAAGGTACTTATAACCCCATGTAAGGTACTTATAACCCCATTTAAGATACGTATAACCCTACTTACTACATCCCATGACCCTCTACTGTAAGTCAGAGAGGGAAGCCGGGGGGAGCTCCGCAGCTCCTCCAACGTAGAAACATCTTGCAGGACTGCATACGGGTGGTTGTCAAAATTGGGGTCCTTTTTGGGGTCCCTATTATAATACGGCACCCAGTATTTAGGGTACCCAAAACGGGACCACAATTTTGACAACCACCCATACCCAGTCCGTTCAGTTTACCTCTGAAGGTCATAATCAGGATCCCTCTTAAGGGTTTAGGGTTCAGGGTTTAGGGTTTAGGTTGGATCCCTACCTCAACCTATCAAAATCATACTTTTTCGTAGGGTCCCTATATATTCCATATTGGGGTGTAGATTAAGAACCTGCAAAAAAGTAGGGTTTGGTAGGTTAAGGTAGGGGCCTGAGTCAGTAAACCTAATGGGCCGAGGTTTCCCTCTAAAGAAATCCTTAAAGGGGTTCTTTATAAGGGATCTATAAGGGTACTATAATATAGCAGATGCCGAGATAATTACCAGTACTATTTTGGGGGTTCCCTTATTATAGCTATAGTAAATGGGCCCCAAACCCTGTTCTAGTTATTAAGGCGCCTATATTTCCTGGGTTCAGGGTTTGGGGTTTTGGCTTGGGGTTCAGGGTTTAGGGGCTTAGAGTTTGGGGTTGGGGTAGGGTCCAGAGAGCTTAATGCTCGTTAACTATTTTTATACCTTGGTTTTTCCCTGCCATGAAGCCCCTGGGTTATTTTCAAACGATATTCCTCATTCGCATAGTATGTCGCTCACTCTGATTGCCGAAGCACTACACCTTGAAGCCCTAAATGAGGTCTTCGTGGGAGGGCTGCTCCTCCTGAACGTGGTGGTCGTGTCGCTGCAGGCCTGCGCAAGCCTGACTTTTGCAGGGACCGGAATTTAATTTTCCAGCCCTTCATCAAGGAAGATACCTTAGACGTCTGATATTCAGCCTCCTCACGATTTAGGGTCTATTCCTCTAATAAGGGCTATCGCCGTAGAGACCGAAGGCCTGTTAAAGGGCCTAAACTTTAGGGTTTGAAGTTCTGGGTTTAGGATCCAGGATGTGGGGGGTTCATATATATATATATATATGTATATGTGTATATATATATATATATATGTATATATATATATATATATATATATATATATATCTGCGTGTGTGTGTGTCTAGCGTGCCACATTGCCGAAAGATGGGTCAAACAGAACATGGTCTACTTGAGGGAAGGGGGTGCAAAGGGTCATACAACCTAGTTGTCCCCTAGCATCCCTCGTTCCCTCCCCCTTGAACTAATTAAACAAACAGGTGGCTGTGCACAGTGCGCACGACGTTTGCCAGCTCCTAGACGAGGCTGGATGCCCTAAACGCTAAACCCTAAACCCCAAACCCTAAACCGTCGAAAGCCCTGTCTCAATGAGGAGTCTCCTCAAAGGCTCCGGAAGCTTAGTACCTGGGGTTATTGCAGGTTTAGGGTTTAGACAAGTGTAGTGGTTACTCAGTAGGTATAGCTACTTCGAACCCCAGCTAAGGTGTTTTAAATTTACCAAATCCCAAAGCCGATTCGAACAATTAAGGCACCTGATTGTGCGGGGAGGGCAACCAAAGCCTCGGGAAAGGATGGTTCTAGGGTGTAGGGTCTAGGGTTTGATAGGAGGACGTTTGTTCACAGCTTGACTAGGGCTTGGGGCTATACTTGTATGCTATAGTAGGAGCAAACAGGGATTGCGCTACCATACCTTCAGACCCTCATCTCATGTCTGGGGGGCCTCCTCGGCCTCCTAATGCCCTTGGTCGACTGCTCTTCGGGTTGGAGAGGTAAGGTTGAGGGTTGAGGGTTCAAAAGACTTCCTTTTGATTTTTGAAAAGGTTCAGGATTCTAGCATGAATGGTTTGGAATTTTAAGACTTGGAAAGAGAGCGAGAGCCTTGGATTTAACATCGTTGCGTGCCATCGGTATCGTCTTTGGGCCTGTTTGCCTTGGCATACGCATGAAGCTTGCGTATGTGCTTATATATATATATATATATATGTATACGTCTATATATATATATATATATATGTATATGTATATATATATATATATATATTTATATATATATGTAGAGCACGCATCTATAATGTATATTCCACACATGCCCACACACATACACATGTATCCACAGAGAGAGAGACAGAAATATGCATATATATATATATATGTATATATATATATATATATATATGTATGTATATGTATATGTATATGTATATGTATATGTATATGTATATGTATATGTATATGTATATGTATATGTATATGTATATGTATATGGATATGTATATGTATATGTATATGTATATGTATATGTATATGTATATGTATATGTATATGTATATGTATATGTATGTTTAGCTGGATAGACAGACAGACGGACAGAGGGACATTCAGAGACAGACTGGCAGGCAGACAGACGGACGGACGGACAGACAGCCACAGAGAGAGAGAGAGAGAGAGAGAGAGAGAGAGAGAGAGACAGAGACGAGACCAAGATCCGGACTCAGACCGGAGACAGGGAGCGACAGACTGACAAACAGACGGACTGGCACAGAGACATAGAGACGGAAAGAGACAGAGGGAGAGGCAGGGTAGGGAGAGGTTCGGGGTTTGGACGGCTGGCTTTCATGGAAGATTATTTGCTCCTGCTGGCTTGAGCTGCGATGCTGGTCGGGCTAGAATCCCCATCCTAATGGCCGCAGCCCTACATGCCTCAGCCATAGTCTAGAATCCCTCGACGCCCAAAGCTTGACTCTAAGCGCACCGCGGTACGAGTCAGCACGTATGACGGGCTTGGGGTCTTATGGCAACACCGGAAAACTACAGCGTAGACCCTTTCCGTTCGATGCCATGCAATGGTGCATCCGCCTCAGTGGGTGTCGCCGGTTCCTCCGTCAACACCTCCCTGCACAGCTGAGAACAGCAGCTGGAGGCAGATCGAAATCCTCCGGGCCACTGTAGGGGCCTTAATAATTACCTATGCTATTTTGGGGGGGTTCCTTACTATAAGTGTAATATAACATGCCCCAAAACCATACTCTAATTATTAAGGCCCTGATATTACATAAGGGATTCCGGCATTTCTTTGGATTTGCTGATGTTTCTCAACGGTCCTTCTCCTCGTCCTCCAAAACATATAATTCCCAACTTAGATTAGTCGCAGCAGTTGCCACCGTGGTCGTCGCACATCGTTCCTCCTCCTCCTACAACGACGACGACCGTTACCGAGTTACTACGCCTACTATCACAACTACTGCTACTGACTGCTACTGCTACTGCACTGCTCCTGCTCCTGCTCCTGCGCCTGCGACTGCTCCTGCTTCTGCTCCTGCTCCTGCTCCTGCTCCTGCTGCTGCTCCGTCCTGCTCCTGCTTCTGCTCCTGCTGCTGCTGCTGCTACTACTACTACTACTGCTACTACTACTGCTACTACTACTACGACTGCATTGTACACAACCGCGCTCGAGTCGGATAGAAGCTTGGCGCTGATTCGCATGCAGGCTGCTAGACGTGAACCTCATCATCGTCGGCAGTGATTCTCGAGCAGAGCTGGTGCTGCAGCGGCGGTTGGATGCAGGAGGACGGGCGTGAATCCTTTGGACCCGGCAGCTACCGCGGATCGTGCCGAAAGAAGGAGCACTCCGTGAACACGACCAGGTGCCCTTCCATCAGGAGCTTTTTACCTGGAAGCCACCACCAAGCCCAGGTAGCACTTGCAGTTGGGAAGTGGCGCGTTTGCGGCGGCGTTTTGGCAGCACTAACTACGGCTACATGCGATCAGGGCCCGATGTGGTGGAACTCAACAACGATGAGTGCTACGAGCTTGTCGTGGACGGCCAAGATTGTGTTGGCCTGCGCGTGCTTCGCGATGGCGCTACCTCGTGGCACTTGTCAGGTGGGGAGTTTTGACAATATTCGTCGCAAATGATGCACAGGTTTGTGTCAGTAGAACTATATCAATAGAATTCTAAACCCTGGTTTGTAAACGTGTCAGGACCAGTTCTGCTACTGGGGCCTTGGGACGGCAGTATCGATCCACCTCTGCCAGAACTGGCGGAAGCGTGTGCAATGACAGTAGATGTCAGTGTGCAACAAGAAGAGGCAAAGCCTCAGGTGTACATCGATGGAGGTGGCCTGAATGTCATCATTGTCTCTGCTGCATACTTCGCATTCTGGAACTTTATTGTATACTTCCTGATCAACACGCAGGAGGTGCACGTTCAGTTGGACGATGTCGACTGGTGGTGGCTCGTGCCCCGAACCATGACCCTCACGGGGCAGCTTTGGTCGCAGAAGTTGGCCGACGGCCTTCTGGGCTTCCCACAAGGAGCAGCTGTGACTGGCATGTCGCTGATCCTGGGAAATCTTGTATGGTCGGGCTGGGAACTCGCTTGGGTCTTGACAAGGAGCGGCTGGCGTTTACAGTACTTCGTCATGACATGCATCGGTTTCGAGATGTCGTCGGTCACTCAGATACTCTTCGGTTTCTACGTGAACCGCTGGGGTCGGGTATCACCACACAGAACCGGCCGACCACAACACAAACGGCATCAGGCGCTGTGGACAGCTTTCCTCTTCTCCATGAACATGCTACTGCTCCTGTCGCAATGGATCATCATCGTCCTGTATGTCTACCTCGACAGCGTGAGCACGATTCTGGCAGCTTTTTTCTTGAGCTTGAGCACATCCTGTTCCGAGTTGCTTGCAGTTGCCTCGATGCTTAGTTTTCGAATGTCAAACTTTTCAGCGTCTGGTGTTCTTTCAACTTGTTTTATTCTGCAAGCTGTTACCCTGTAACTCCTTGAGTATTGGGAACGATACTAAACTCCTGACCCTGCATCCCAAACCCCAAGCCCTCAAATAGTAAGGACGGAAAATCTGAAGGAAGCCCACAGGGATGGACCCTTCGTCTCTAAACTTAGGGTTTAGGGTTTAGAGTGACTCTAAACGCATCCTTTTACCAGTAAGGATGGAAAATCTCTACGTAAGGCTTGTCTGGCCCCGCGCCGGAGACGAGCAACGCATCGTGTGGGGAGACCACCAAGCGCCTGTGACGTTCTTGACGCCCGACTTCAGGGCATACTTGTAACCCCAACTAGGGTACTTATGACCTTACTTCAGGGCCTAGGGGTTTAGGGGTTAGGGTTTAGGGCTTAGGGTTCAGGGTTTATAGGGTTGACAGGGTTTAGGGGTTTAGGGTTTACAGGGTTCAGGGTTTAGGGGTTTAGGGTTTAGGGCCTACTTGGAGGATTATGGGACTTAGTAAGTAAGGTTATAAGTACCCTAATTGGGGTTATGAATATACTTACCCTAATTATAACTCTAGTTACTAAGTCCCATGATTCTTTAAGTGGGGGTTTAGGGTTTAGGGGCTGAGGGCTTATGGGGTCTACAGTAAACCCCAAAAAGTTGGAAACCGGATTAAGGCCAAATAGTTGGGATTCCCTATACATTACTCGTAAGGATTGAGGCTATCGGCTATTGGGTTTCCAACTTTTGGGCTGCTACCGTAAAGGTAGGGCGTGTAGGGAGAATGGGTTTAAGGGTTCAGGGATCGTGGATTTGCAGCTTCAGGGTTCAGGGTTTTAGGGTTTACGCACAGTGATGATTATCCTCATGCCCCTATAAGGGATCCTAGCACTAATCATCCTCAATCCATGTTCCAACTTTCTGGCGTCCACCCTGGGGGTTTGGGGTTGACGGCTGTTGTGGTGTCGGGTATCAGAGCTTCTCGAAGTCGAAGCTCCTCCTCAACGTTCTTCCCTAGGCGTCCTTATCATAAAAGTATACTCTGATATACCCCCGAACCCTAAACCCTAAACCCTAAACCGTTCAAACCGTGTTCTAATCATTGAATCATTGAGGCCCTTGGGTTTGGGATATCGGGTTTGTAGCTTTTGGGGCGAAACCCTGAATCCTACGTCCTACGTTTTGTCATAGTTGGGTAACATTTTAGATTTCTATGGGTACTTAAACCCTATAAGGAATAAAGATGTACATGTTTAACCCTATCCCAGCCATGAACTAGTAAGCCCTATACCCTAAACCCCAACCTTTAAACCCTAAACCCTACGCGGCTTAGGGCTGGGCTTCTTTGAGCCCTCCCAGGATCGGCTGGGCACATGCCATTGCTGAGGGCTCGCGGCTGATCAGCTGCTGGGTCCTTGTTAAGGAACCTTACTGAACTGGGTTGTCCTGTGGGATCTTTTTTAATTTCCCCTATTATTTTGTAGAGAACCATAATAGTATATAGTTTTCAAAGGGCTTAAAGGACAACTCAGACTTGGCGTTCTTCTGGTTGGCTCTTTAGACTTTAACTTTTGGGGTTTCTATATGAACTATAATACGGAGGCTAAAAGTTTAACTTTTAGGAGGGGTTCAGAAGTGAGCCAAGTTAAATTACCAGAGTAGTTTCCTTGAGCTGGCAGGGACGTCCTGTTGAGCGTTGTACCTGTACTTACTCTTGTTTGCTGCCCTCATCTGCACGTTGTCCTCTTGGTGGCCCGGTTGGGATGTTTAGGCTTCCCTACTTGGAGGGTCGGGGGACTTAGTAACTGGTTATTTTAGGGACTTATAAGTACCATAACCCCAATTAGGATCCCTTTTAGGGTACTTATAAGTCTACTTACTACCTACTTACTAAGTCCCCCGACCCTCCAAGTAACCTAGTAGAAGAGTAGGCAACCTTGAACCTTTTTTGGGTAGTATAGTCCCCATAACCCCTATATAACCAAAAAAAGGTTAACCTTTAGTTTTGCATGATGCCCGGCAAGTAGGATTACCGTAGTCAGGAAACTGCACTACTGCAGAAGCCCAGGAGTTGGAAACCCAATAGCCTCAATCTTTAAGAGTAATATATAGGAATCCCAGCACTGTTTCCAACTTTATTGGGTTTACTGTATGTTTAAACTACCATACTAGCAACCATATTTGTGTAAATCACCATTAGAAACAGGAAACCATTGAATTAACCATAGATCCCCGTTATGGTACCTTAGTGTAAACTGCCATCACAAGGAACCCCGATTATGTATTAAGTTACCTTAGTAAGGCTATTACGGCAACTTATATTACAGTCCTTAACAAGAAACCGTAGACCTACACCCTAAACCACAAGCCCTAAACCCTGGATTAACCTCCTCAGCAAGAGCCCAGGCTTGCTTTGCGCTGCTATCAACAGCCCGGGCTGGCGATGGCAATGGCTCGGCAGTTACCCGGTTGTTGAAGAAAGGGGTTCGGGGTTCCAAAGCCTAAAACCCTATAGGGTTCAGGGTTTGGGGTTAATTAGGGGTTTATTGGGTTTTAAGGAATTTATGGTTTGGGGGCCCAGGTGGCAAAATTTTTAGCTCCTAAACGCCCTAAATCCTAAACCCCGAACGCTGCGAGAGGAAGAGGGGCCTAAAGTTTTAGCTAGTTCGCTGCGCAGTTGGTTTTCCTGTCTTCCACTGTTCCGCCTTTGGAAAGCTCCACTTAGACCTTCGGACCTGTTTCTGGGTCGGGCGGTAATTGCTGCAGTGCATGTTTTTCGCGATTTCTTCATCTGGGAGTTTCCGAGAATGGGGCACCCCAATATTGTACCCTAAATAGTAGGATCCTTATTATGGGGACCCCAAAAGAAGGTACCCCTAATTTTGGAAACTCCCATCTTAGTGTGGTTTGATTCCTAAGCCTTATAGGCTCCTTATGGGAGGGTGGTTCAAGGGGGGAGGGTATAAGGAATCCTTAGGGGACTGTAAGGGAACCTTAGGGAGTACTAGGGAGAATTAGGGATCACTAGGCTATATACCCCCCTTGGACCCCCCCTCCCTTAAGGATACTATAATAAGCCCATCAGGCCTGAGTCGCCCCTGTCGCTCTCCACGCCACTTGCCACTCCACAGGGTTGACCTGAAAGTAGCCAGAGAGACAAATACACCACAGAAAAGGTTTATACCTTAGATCCGAGCACCAACCCTCTCAAAATCGAAGATCTATTCCTTAAGTGAGGGAGGGTGGTTCTGAACTCTTGCCTACCATCGGCAAAAGAAGGCATACACCTCGCCCAGCCCAAAGCTAGGCCGATGTTGAAAAAGATGTTGTAGTTCAGTAAACTAAAAGCTACACGAAACTCGCACATTGGTTTTGTTACTTTGCTCCCAAGAGCAGTTGAGACAAGATGTTTATCAATGTCATGCCGACAAACTCAAGTTCAATGAGTCAAGTTTTGCTTCAAAATTAACACTACAATAAACCCCAGACGGTAACCCGGCGCCTACACAGCTGTTGGACTCAATGTGCTGCTCATTTCTGTTTCCAGCGCTTGCGATCATTGCTCATGTTTTCTAGTCTGTTTTTGTCTATCCATGCAGTGGTTTATAGCGTTTACTCTGCTTTGCGCTGTTATTCTGAGTTATTCAGTGCCTGGTGTTCTCTTGCCTTGCTAAATCGTTGCTTCGAACAAGGCGCTGTCCTTGCTATGATAAACAGGTACTAACTTGTCAGTAATTGGCGGTCAGAATCTAGAAGCTTCATTCGGCGAGGACGAAGGCAAGCAAAACCCGTCACGGCTACTGCTCGAACATGGGCTCGGGCCGAGGTTTGCTGATCATGATGCTCTGCAACCTCATATTCAGGCATGGATACCATGCTTCTCGGCTAAAGCTCGCCAGGAAGTCGCGCAAGCCCACTTCCCTACAGCACAAGTTCTGAAACCCAGCTCTCTTACCTGAGGAACTGTTGAGGCTGTTTTGGATTGGTTTGGGGTGGAATCTATGTAGTTTCCGTACATGTAGGAACCCCAAAACCGTTCGACTGAGCCAGGTTTCCGACTGAAGCATATCTGAAACTGAAACTGCAATGGTTAGTCCTATTGCAGGACCCCCCCTCCCCCTCCGTGCTCCGCTGATTATTGGTAGTTGTGTAGGCTTCTCTCAACTGTAACACTATACAGTAGTATGGCAGTAGCATCGGCAGGAGCCCACCCGCGCCGACCTCCAGTAGCAGTAGTAGTAGTAGTAGTAGTAGTAGTAGTAGTAGTAGTAGTAGTAGTAGTAGTAGTAGTAGCAGAGCAGTAGCAGTAGCAGTAGCAGTAGCAGTAGCAGTAGCAGTAGCAGTAGCAGTAGTAGTAGTAGTAGTAGTAGTAGTAGTAGTAGTAGTAGTAGTAGTAGTAGTAGCAGCAGTTGTAGTTGTAGTTGTAGTTGTAGTTGTAGTTGTAGTAGTAGTAGTAGTAGTAGTAGTAGTAGTAGCAGTTGTTGTTGTTGTTGTTGTTGCTCTTGTAGTGGCAGTGGTAGTGGTTTGGGTCGTGGAAGAACCGGCGGCAAAACACGTCCCTGACCCCTAAACCTCTAAACCTCTACTCCTCCAAACCTCTAAACCCTAAACCCCTAAACCCTAAACCCTAAATCCTAAACCCCTGAACCCCTGAACCCCTGAACCCCTGAACCCTAAACCCTACACCCTAAGCCCTTAGCCAGTACCGCTCCTCGACTTCCAAGGTCAGCACCTGCCTTTGCATCCTTCCGGAGAGCATGCTGTCCTTCCTCCGCCCGGGTTGCTCCAGTATGCTCCTAGGTTCTTTGGAAGTGTAGGGATTTAAGGATTTTGGGACGGGCCACTGGATTCTTCTGTAATAGCTTTATGATCCTAGGTTCTTCTCAGGAGCCGAGTGGATACACTTTACACTTTTTTTGGAGAGTATCACCCACTAGAAAACTAAACATGTACACTTTTTGGGGGCATATGAACTCAGCAACTAAGCCTTTGGAAGTGTAGGGGTTTAAGGATTTCGGGACGGGCCACTGGATTCTTCTGTTCTGGCCTTCTTTTTCAACAACGGGCTACTGCGGTACCTAGGATCCACCGTCATGCCCGCTTGGCTTGTGGCTACTACCGGTTCCTTACCGTCATGTCCTACATGCTGTGGCGCGTTCTTTGGCTCCGAGCTGCACCCTTGTTCAACCCGCACGCGCTGGTCCTGCTGGCTGCAGTCCTCGCGGCATCTTGCTTGCACATGGTGTTTGGCCGACGTCCCTGAAAGGTATGTCTCTGTCTGTGTTTATGTACATGTGTATGTAGGTATGTACCTAGAATGGTGGAGGTCCTCCCTTCACCTGTCTGTCCGTCTCAAGCTATCATCTGTCTTACGGCGCATCAACTGTAAGCAGGTGTACCTCTCATTCTGCAGTCCCCTTGTGTCTATCGGTCTATCTGTCCAGCGAGCCATCCTTCTAAACTGAACCCTAAGCCCTAAACCCTAAAAATCCTAAACCCTAAACCCCTAAAAATCCTAAACCCATAAAGCCTAAACCCTAAACTTGGCCCTAAACCCCTAAAGCCTCGAGCCTGAACCTCTGAACCCCCAAACCCTAAACTTAGGGTTTAGGGTTTAGGGTTTAGGGTTTAGGGTTTAGGGTTTCCCTAACTTCACCATCCTTCTGAACCCTAAGCCTCCCTGAAGCCCGCGAGTCGGAGCAGAGCAGAGCCCGAGGTCGAAGTTGCAGAGGATGCGATTGTCTGGTATCGCCTGCTACTTGTCTTAGGGGTCCTTAGAAATTATTATTAGTTTTTGGTTATGAGAATCCTTAACAAACAGCTAGAATTGTAATTTTTGCCAGGGTTCTAAGTTCAGTATAGTGCTACTTTTGCCACTCTTAGGAGCCGTTTTTTGGGGTTCCGGGATGGGGTTCAGGGTTTAGGGCTTAGGGTTGGGGGTGCTCTTAGGAGCCAGGTTTCTGGTTCATTTTCAGTTTGTTTCAAAAAAATCCACAGTCTGATCATTAACGATATCACATTCTGTTCTTTTCCCTGGGCGCACATGCTACAAGGCAGCTGTTGCGCAGCTTCCTTTGAAGTCGAGTGGGTCGAGTACAGTAACTTTTCCGGAAGGGAACTAGTACAGGTTCGAGGCAACGCCTAAACACGACTAAACAGTCTTGAGATATTATGATACAGGGCCCTAAGTAATTACCTATCTCCTTGTTGTAAATATGGTATAATATACCCCAAAACCCTACTTATCTTCTAAGCCTGCAAAAGAACAGCTCAGGCTACCCTTGGATCCATGGCGAGTCGCTATGAAACACCTCTACGGCTCTCTCCATCCCTTTCATCCGAAGCAAGCGATGTGCATGGACCATGAGGGCACCCACGTGCATCTAGGTCTGACAGTGGGCCCTTGTTCTCTTTTTGAGGTCTGAGACACCTTGTAAAACTCCTACAGACCAGAAGGGGAACCCTTTGTATTCTGTTCCTGAAATAGATGGGGATCCTAGGCATCTAGCACCGCTGCGCCTGCACGGAACGCGTCGGCTGAATGGGCCGCTCTGCACGACTCTGATGCACATCGGTGGGTGCATCATCCTGGTGTTGATGTGGCTGCCCTTGGGCGCCGGGTACATGCTTGGGATCTGCTTCTCGGTTCTTGTTGAGGGACTGAGTGACTTAGTGTCTGTGAGTTACCATACTCAAAGGATCATGGGACCTAGTAACTAGAGTTATAATTAGGGTTACTATACTTGTAACCCCAATTAGGGTACTTATAACCTTACTTACTAAGTCCCATGATCCTCCAAGTACCAAGAACATCATGCTCCTTATTTGATAACCCCAGCCTGGTAGATTGAACTCAGCTCCTGGAAGCCAGGTTCCCAGCCGATCCCCGCATCGTTGCTGGTGCGGGATGCATTTCTGTGGTCGCAGCCATGGCAATGCAGCTGAATGTGTTTCAATTGCAGTTTAATCTTCTCGCAGGCAGTTCTCAATTTTCAACAAACTCTCCCCCCATCCCGCCTACAGACCCGAATTGGGTGAGGTTAGGTGCTTTTGCTCGATCCGGCACCATAGTCAATTGCCGGCCGTTTAGTTTGCAAAGATGCGATTTCTTTGACTCTTTGCCATCCTTTCGCAGACCTTTCTGCCAGTGAAAATTGGAGGGCTCAACGAAGGTGCCTAGATTTTCTTGTTTTCATCATACAGCTCTAGCCTGAACTTACCATTGACTCTGGAAAACTCAGCACTTTTTCAGCTTGAAGAGTGTTGGGTTTAGGGGTTTCGGGTTTAGAGGGCCATGGTTCAGGGCTTGAAGCCGGATTTTGCCTAGGATGACACGGAAACGGTTGATGATATAAATCCTGCATTACCTTAAGGACCCTAAACTATGGGAATAATGGTACATCCCTTATTATGGGTAATGCAGGATTTATATCATCAACCGAAAGCAAGCCGAATATCAGTAAGTAGCAAGCCGGTGCCCTTCAGGAAGACACTCTAGCAGAGGGGCCTCCTTTGATACTTAGTTGCAACGGTTGTCATATACTACGCCGCGCCCAACGAATCGCTATATGATGGTTATAGGATAACACACCCCAATGAGCTGCTAATAGTCAGGACAATCCATAAGATGTCTTTTCCAAGCCCGAAATAGTGTGGGTGGGACTAGCAGGTTCTGGGACCTTATTTTGGGCACAAAGGCCCCCTAGTTTGAGAGCTCAAGGGCCTAAACCCTAAACCTTTTTGAAACTTTCGAGCCCCCGGTTTCAAGACCCTCATCCTAGTGCCGCTGATTCTTGTAGATTCTCTGCTCTTGCCGACAAATGCATTCTTCAAGGCCCCGTATAGGAGCCTAGACTCTCCGTACGGAGTTCGATTCCTTGATCCTCCCTTTGTAGGGGTCTCGGGTAAAGCACGTGAGTTTTATCCCAGGATCCCGAAACCGTAGCCAGGCCCGAGAACGGGCCGGACCACCGCTGATCCCAAAGCCCTTAACCTGCCGCTCGGAGTTTTTTTTGGGCTTAGGGTTTAGGGTTATGACACCATCGAAAGGTCAAGACAAGTCTTGATGCCCCCAAAACCCTAAACCTCAGACCTTAACCATGCAATGGTCGATCAGCATCAGTGGGTATCGCCGGTTCCTGCGTCGACACCTTGCGGAGGAGCCGACAGCAGTTGGAGGCTGATCAGAGTACCATGCTACTGCTACTGCTACCACTACTACTACTACTACTACTACTACTACTACTACTACTACTACTACTACTACTACTACTACTACTACTACTACTACTACTACTACTACTACTACTACTACTACTACTACTACTACTTCTAAAACAATACTACGACGACTACAACTACCACTACTACTACAACTACTAAGACTACTACTTCTTCTGCTACTACTGCTTAGTTACTACTCCTCGTCCTGCTCCTCCTGCTCCTCGTGCTCCTCCTACTCCTCCTGCTCCTCCTGCTCCTCCTGCTCCTCCTGCTCCTCCTGCTGCTCCTGCTCCTCCTTCTGCTCCTGCTACTCCTGCTGCCCCAGCTGCTCTTCCTGCTCCTCGTGCTCCTCCAAGTGCTCCTCCTCCTGCTCTTCCTCCACCTCCTCCTCCTCCTGCTCCTGCTCTTCCTCCTGCTCCTCCTCCTGCTCCTCCTCCAGCCCCTCCTCCTGCCCCTCCTCCCGCTCCTGGCTACTGCCACTGCTACCGCCACTGCTACTGCTACCGCTGCCGCTATCGCTACTGCTAGCACCGCCACTGCCACGATTCCATCGAATTTGTCCATCGGTTTGTCAGTCAAGGGCTTGCTGTTGGACAGTAGGTGTGTTTCCTTTTGCGCGACTTTTTCTCAATATGCGTGAGCAGATAGAAGCTTGGTGCTGACCCCATGCAGGCTGCTAGACGTGAACCTCATCATCGTCGGCAGCGATTCCCGAGCAGAGCTGGTGTTGCAGCGGCGGTTGGATGCAGGAGGACGGGCGTGCCTCCTTTGGACGCAGCTGCCACCGCAGACCGTCCCGAAAGAAGGAGCACTCTGTGAACACGAGCAGGTGCCCTTCAATCAGGAGCTTTTTACCTGGAAGCCACCACCAAGTTCAAGGCCAGGAAGCACCCGTAGTTCGGAAGCAACACGCTTGCGGCGGCGCTTTGGCAGCACGAACTACGGCTACATGCGATCAGGGCCCGATGTGGTGGAACTTGATGATGGTGAGTGCTACGAGGTTGTCATGGAAGGCCAAGAATGTGTTGGCCTACGCGTGCTGCGTGATGGTGCTACCTCGTGGCACGTATCAGGTGGGGAGTTTTGTCAAAAGTCTCCGCAACTCGAGGTATCTAAGGGAAGGAACGCTGACAACCCTAAACCCTAAACCTTGAATCCTGATAGCCGCAGACCCTACTTAAAGGATCATGGGACTTAGTAACTAGGGTTATAATTAGGGTAACTATACTTATAACCCCAATTAGGGTACTTATAACCTTATTTACTAAGTCCCATGATCCTCCAAGTAAACGCTAGAGGTGCAGTTCTGCTGGTGGGACCTTGGGTGGGCAATACCGATCTCTCACTGCCGGAAAGGGGGGAAGCGTGGGCAATGACGGTCGACGTGAGTGTGCAGCAAGAAGAGGCTAAGCCCAAATCCCCTAAACCCTACCACTTGCCGCTTGAAACCCTAAACCCATCGAGCCCTAATTTGTGAGTGTGGAGCAAGAAGCAGGCGAAGCCTCAGATGCACATCGATGGAGGTGGCCTTCTTGTCACGATTGCCTTTTATCTTTTAATTAGCGTTTTGTCTCTTAGGGTTGAGTGAGTTTAGGATTTAGGGTTTAGGGGCTTACGGTTTAGATTTTGGGATTCAGTTGCCAATACCTTGAACCTCTTTTTGACTTGGATACTTGAGTATAGTTTTGAAATCTCCAGGAAGGTTACAATTCCTAAACCCTAAACCCTAAACCCAAATTGCTACTCGTCTGAAAGTTCGTTTATTTCTTTGAGCATTTGGGGCAGTAAGGTCTCCGCTGCATATTTCGCGTTCTGGAACTTTCTTGCCTATCTCCTCATCAACATGCATGAGATGCATGTTCCTTGGAGCTACTTAGCATTGGTGTTTTAATTTAGAAATGGTTTTAAAAATTGGTTCCCATAATCCCGAAGAATCAGCTTTAATTTAATTTCAATTTTTGCTAGGGGTCTAAGTTCAGTCTAGGTTCGTTTGGATGATGCAGACTGGTGGTGGCTGGTGCCCCGTACCTTGACAGTCACGGGGCAACTATGGTCACAGAAGTTAGCCGATGGCCTTCTCGGCTATCCGCAAAGAGCAGCTGTCACCGGCATCTTAGATAGCCAATGAGAGAGCTTTATAATAAGTCTTGCGAGCCTTGGATATTTGGCCAATCTTAGACAGGTTGCAACCGTAACCCCTACACCCAAACCCCTAAACTCAGTTTGATTTTTTTTGGCCCGGGTTGTTGAAGAAGACAGGTATGGCTCTAATCCTGGGAACCATCGTATGGTCTGGCTGGGAGCTGACATTCGTCCTTCGAAGGAAGGGCTGGCGTTTGCAGTACTTCGTCATGACATGTATCGGCTTTGAGATGTCGTCGCTCACGCAGCTACTCCTGAGCTTCTGCATGAGCCGCCGGGGCCAGGTATCACCATACATGACCAGCAGAGTACAAGACAACCGGCGACAGGCACTGTGGACTGCTTTCCTCTTCTCCATGAACATGCTCTTGCTCTTTGCGCAGTGGATCATCATCGTCGTGTATGTTTATCTAGACGGGATGAGTACGATTCTGGCGGCGTTTTTCCTGAGCTTAAGCACATCGTGCTCCGAGTTGCTGGCAGTTGCCTTGATGCTTAGTACTCCAATAACAAGCGTTTTCAACCGCATCGGGAACGCTGACCCTTGAATCCTTGACACTATAAATATATTCGAAGCCCGTACGGACGGACATGTTGCATCTAAACTGGATCCCATCTCCTATCCCACTGAGGATGGAAACTTTATACATAAAGCTTCTTTGGCCACGTGCTGGCGACGAGAAGCGCATCGTGTGGGGAGACCACCAGGGGCTTGTCACCTTCCTGACTCTGGGCTTCTCAGTGTAAGAGTCGAAACAAGGGCCGTCAAAAAAAGAAGAAGGTTTCGGGGTATATGATTCGAGAATTAATAAGGGCACACACTATTAATTCTACTTTCCATAAGTTCGACGAGTGTGAAAGCCGTAGAGACTCGTTACAAGAGTTCTCGTAGCGACAACCATCAATTTGTGCTTGGACCGGAGACCGAACTTCATCGCTACCTTGGCGTTCTTCTGGTTGGCTTTTCTATATGCACTATCATAAGGAGGCAAAATGTGTAACTTCTTGGAGGGGTTCAGAAGTCAGCCAAGCTACTAGTAGTTGCCACTCAAACCGATGGCATTACCCACCTCCCCTCCCTACCCTCCCCTCCCTCCCCTCTCCTCCCCTCCCCCCAAAGCCAAAGCCTTAAACTGTAGGGGCTGAGGGTTCAGGGCTAAGCCCTAAACCTTAAGCCCTCAGCCCCAAAACCCTAAACCTTAAGTCCTAAACCTAAACCTCAAACGCCCGAAAGCCCTACACCCTAAAACCCTAAACCCTAAACTCTGAACCCTAAATCCTAAACCCTAGGATTGGCTGGTCCCATGCCATTGCTGAGGGCTCGCGGCTTATCAGCTTCTGGGGCCTCAAACATCAGTGACTTTAGGTTTAGATAAAACCCTGGGGGGGCCGAGGGTTCCCTTTAAAGGGATCCTCAAAAGGGGTCTATAAGAGATCGATAAGGGTTTAGGGTTTAGGGTTCCTTAAAGGGGTCCTTAAAAGGGGTCTATAAGGGATCGATAAGGGAATTATAAATATAGTAGGGGCCTAGATAAGTACCAACACGATTTTGGTGGCTCCTTAGTATGATTACAGTAGAATGGGCTCCAAACTTAGTTTAGATTACCACATAGTAAAGAAACTGAAATCTGCTATGGTCCATAATACATAAGCATACAATTACAACCTGCAGTAGAAGCCCAAATGTTGGAAACCCAATAATGTATAGGGAATCCCAGCACTATTTGGCCTTATATAATCCGGTTCCAACGTTATGGGGTTTACTGTAGTTTAAAATACCAAAATAAAGAAACTGTCTTATGTTTAAATTAAGCTACCATAAGCGGTAAACCCTAAACCCTAAACCCTGAGCCCAGGCTTGCTTTGCGCTGCCATTGGAAGCCCCCGCTGGCGATGGCAATGGCTCGGCAGCTGCTTGATTCTTGAGTGGGTGGTCTTATGGTTTTGGGAGTTAGTATGTTACGGTTTTGGGTTGCGTGCGGAAGGTTACGATGTCAGGGATCTAGGGGTTTTGGTTTAGGAGCTTCGGATCTGGATGGGGGGAGGGCCTTGGACTATGGGGTGGAAATCGGGGCTTCCTGAACTGTACACGGTTGCATACGGATTTTTGGTAAGGGTTGTTGTGCCTGGGTGTCTTAGGGTTAGCAGCTAGCATGTGTGGAGGGGTCCTGGCCCCAAGGATTTTGCCATTCAGCGTCGTCAACATTGAGCCCCATATTCCCTACGTCTGCTATGTGTTGCATCGAGGGGCATGGTACGTGCGAAGAAGAAGAACAATCCTCAAACAATGTGGGGGGTGGGGGGGGGCTGAAGACAGAGCAATACCATTGCCTAGGGTTCCACATTATAAAGCGATTTGTTTGAGTTATAGTACTTTTAACATACCCCCAAACTTGGTCGAATCATTGAATCCCCTAGGACCAATTTCTATCCATGCGCGCGCGGAGGCGTTGGATCTTAAGAGTAGGATGCGGTTTAGGGCTTGGGGGTGTAGGTTAGGGTGTATCCAAGGGTCATATACCCTTAATATAGCTATTATATACCCATTATATAGCCCATTATAGGGACCCAGGGGTCCCCCTTAAGGCTCCCTCCTTTTCCCCTTTGAGTGTATTTTTCAGACAAACTTTGTGCACGTAGGCCTTCGATAAATTAAGCAGCCTCCGGCCCAGACAGTCGCCCTGACCTTCGATTGCCTACCTTAACCTACCAAAACCTGCAAAAAAGTAGGGTCCCTAAATAAGAACCTACAAAAAGGTAGGGTTTGGTAGGTTAGGGTAGTAGTAGAGCAGGTATATAACCTTAAACCGTTTTGTGGTATTATAATAACCTCTACAAGATCAACCTTTAGTTCCCTAAACCCTAAACCCTTCCCCGGGGGATGCTGGGCAAGAGTTGGGTTGATGTGAAACTATAGAGGCCCACCTACCGGGTTTGCGGCGGTTTAGGGTTTAGGGTTTAGGGCGGTTCGGGGGATGTACTTCAAAATGTAATCGGCGTGGGCTTAAGATGTAGCCGTTTAGCACCGGCCCATCCATGACCGGTGACGCGGTGTTTTCTTCCATCACCCCTGTTTTTGCAAGTGTTGTTTCGTCGAGGCTGCCAACCGTCTTGTGACTCGCTCTGTTGCCCTCTACAACACTACTACTTAGATAGTGAACAGGGGAACTTTAAACTTTTTGGCCTTATTATGTATTAGCTCTATCTTGGAAAGTTTGAACTTTTTGGCGCCCGGTTGTTGAAGAAGAGAGACCACAGCATTGCTTCCTGCATGCTGCGGGCTTTGCCGTGGTTGAAAATGTCATGGGTACAGCCCCCACTCAGTAGTAGTTGAAGAATATTCATAATCTGGGTATATTAGGACCTTAATAGTAGCCCTATTCTAGACTCTTACTGAGAGGGGGCAGCACCTAACAACTTATGTATGTATTTCGCTGGGGAGAACACGCCCTAAACACTAAACCCCGAACCCTAAACCCTAAACCCGAACCCCGAAACGGGTTTTGGAAATACTTTGAAGCCGCGAGATCGGGCCGAGGTTTGCTGATCATGATGCTCTGCAATCTAGTATTCCGGCATGGATACCATGCAGCTTGGTGAAACCTCCTTACTAAACCAAAGCCCAAAACCCGAAACTAGGTTGAGGGTTCAGGGTTGGCTGCGTCGCCTCCACACCTCCATAGGCTCCATGAGTCCTAGAGCCTGAACAGAATTAGAGTTTGTGTGGTGTTCCATGCGGCTTTGTCTTGGGTTTTGGACTTGGTATATACAGTACCTTAACCTACCAAAACATACAAAACAGTAAGGTCCCTATAAATTCCATATTAAGGTGTTTATTAAGAACCTACAAAAAAGTAGGGTTAAGGTAGTACTACTTTTAATGCATCCAAAGGGTCCGCTTCTGCCACGACGATCCAGTTACTCTAGAGTGAACTGGGGGCATGTAGATGTATAGCACCGGGATTCTCGTTCCAACTGGGCCCGCTCAGCGGGGGACACATCCTGCTCAACTAGCGATTCAGGACCGTTTGGTTTTCATGCCAGCTTCCACTTGGTACTCATGTAATGTTCTTTGAACAGTAGTGGTCAGGTCATAGTGTAGTAGTCGTCGTCGTCGTCGTCATGGCATAGGAATTAGTTTTGTACATTTCTGTTCATATAGAACCCAAGAGAATGGTTTTAAGGGGGGTGTAGTTGTAGAGATCTCGAGAAGAACAAGAACACAAACCCAAGTTTAGGTCAGCGGCTGCCTTTGCCTGCTTCCACCGAGCATGCGGCACCTCGTACAACCCGGCTGCTCCAGTATGACCCTAGGTCCGTTTTAAGGGTCTTGGTGGGCTTAAGGGTTTAGGGTCCGGAGAGCCCTGAATCCACCATTTGAGGAGTATTACTTAAAGTATCATGGGACTTAGTAACTAGGTCTGAAAATTTAGGGTAAGTATACTTGTAACCCCAATTAAGGTACTTATAACCTTACTTACTAAGTCCCATGACCCTCCAAGTAGGCCCTAAACCCCAAAACTACAAGGGGGTCAATACTAGGAGTTCAGGAATCTTCCGTGAGTCAGTCTAGGGGTTCCTTTGAGGGTGGGTTCCGCAAGGTCGCTTTTGAGTTGCCTGTAAGGGTTCTGTAAGAGTTTCATAGGTGCGCTTTAAGGGGTTCTTCCATTATTTGGTCTGAAAACTCAGCAAGAGCTGCACCTCCTGAGTTCTTAGGGTCTACGACACAGCTTAGCCAAGCGACGCGAGGAAAACTCACCCCCATGCGCTTGCATGACCGATTTGCGGTACTCCCGGTTCCTTTATGGATTCAAGGGGTTTTGTGGGATCATTAGGGCAGTCGGGCCTCTAGTGGTCTATGGTTCCATAAGAAGCGAAGGCATCAACCAAACAAAGATGCACAATAAAGCCCTACACTGCCCCGCACCCTAAATCCCTTTATATAGAAGCCTGAATAACTACCAATAACTATGGTACCCATTACAAGTATACTGAAGGCCTGTGTGAGTTCCTTGCATTTGTGACCCGAAGTTTCCACAGGTACGGACTCCCAGCTGGTGGAGTTTACCAGCACCCCCCAAGTACCCTTTAAAGGGCTCTAAGATTTCTCATTAAGATGTAAATAGGGACTGCAATACAGGGTAGTTGGGGGGTCTAGGTGGGGTCTATTACTTTTTGGTGGTTTTTGGTGTTGTTCTTGCTTTTTTGCTTTTTGGATATAGGAAGGACAAGCAGGACAGGATTTATGGCTTAAGCATTGCGGTGGGGATGTGGTAAGGGTCTTTTTCCAACCGTGGCTGTGGTTCGGTTCCTTTTGGTTTTTGGGGCTGCCGTCGAAAAGCTTAAGGGGCTGCTGAGTTTCGGCCTAGGATGCACCGTCATGCTCGCCTGCCTTGTGGCTACTACCGCTTCGTTTCCGTCGGGTCTTACATGCTTTGGCGCCTCCTGTGGCTAAGAGCTTCGCCTTTGTTCAACACGCACGCCCTGGTCCTGCTGGCTGCAGTGCTGATGGCCTCTCGCTCACGCCAATTTTCCATTCGTTGTGTGTTGTTAAGTGTTTTTTTTGGCTGGTGGGTCTTAGGTATGGGGCCTAGGGCCTAGGGAGCAGGCCCAGTTGAGTTGCCGCTAGGCAGTTAGGTAAGGGTTCAGAGATCACGGCATCAACGGTTGTGCACGTAATCACACAGAGATGAGGTTGGGTATGAGCTGTGGTCATTGAGGTTATGGCGATACTACTCGTTGAAAGTATGCTCGCACTCTAGTCCCCCGAAACCGCAAAACCCTAAACCCTAAACCCCTTAACCCCTAAAGGCCTAAACCCCTAAAGCCATTTCCCTGAAGTGAGGTGGAGTTTGCAGAGGATGCCATCGTTTTGAATCGCTGGTCACCTCGGTGACAATTTCGGTTCTACTTTAGGACTTCTACAAGTTGGTAGGGTTTAGGTTTTAGGATTTCTCCTATGTTGGGTGCTTCTATCCCAATCATAACGTAGTATACTCCAATTTGGGTGTTTCTATCCCAGTTAAAACCTTGCAGTGCTAAGTTTCCGCATCCTTGACATAGTGTATAGGGTTAGCGTAGTTTTCAGGTTTTGGCGCGTTTGAAGCAACCTCCCAATGCCACGAGGCATTTTCAGATAGTTCTGCTTTTAGCAAGGCTCTTTCTCGAGAAGGAAAAAGGGGGAACAGGACAGAAGCGGATCGAAGAACCTTAAACTCCCTAAACCCTACATGCCTAGACCCCAAACCCCTAAACCCTACCTGGACCCTATGAAACCTTCCTCGTTGGGGGTGCTTTATTATGATTTCCTAAACCCTAAACCTTAAACCCTAAGCCCTAAAACCCTAAACCCTAAACCCCCTTAAAACGGTAGGTGATTTGGGAACCCTACAGTCACTTAGGCTCTCAACCCCAGCTTCCAGAGCTGCTTAGGCTGCCCTCGGACCCCTGGCGAGACGAAATGAAGCACTTGTATGCCACTTTGCATCTGAACTTGGCGTTCTTCTGGTTGGCTCTTAGGACTTTAACTTTTTGGGTTTCTATATGAACTATAATAAGGAGGCAAAAAGTTTAACTTTTTGGAGGGGTTCAGAAGTCAGCCAAGTATATGCCACTCTGCATCTGAATGCTTGTGCTTTAATCTTTTGGGTTGAGGGTTTAGGGTTTGGGATTTTAGGGTTGGGTTTTGGGATGATATTATATAGTAACTCCCTACAGACGTCAACAGTTCAGGTTGTTGGCTCATTGTTTCGTTTGCTTCTTGGTGCTTGTGAACTCAGCCGCTAAGGCCCCGTTGCATCCTTTTCACCCGAAGCAGGTGATGTGCAAGGACCATCAGGGTGTTCATGTGCCTCAGTCCGATCTTGGGAACAATAAGAAACGGGGTGTTCAGGGGCTCCGACAGTCCCACAGTATAGTAACATAGGGGCCTCAATGCTTACCCATGCTATTTCGGTGCTTCCTTATTATCTTTTTCGTATGCTGGGTCCCCAAACCCTAAACCCTAAACTAATTATTGAGGCCCCTAAAGCCTAAACCCTAAACTAATTATTGAGGCCCCTAAAGCCTAAACCCTAAACTAATTATTGAGGCCCCTAAAGCCTAAACCCTAAACTAAGTATTGAGGCCTCTATAGTAGGCTAAAGCAGCGATTCAGCGATCTATGGGCTCTTCTCGTGTTTGGGATCTTGGGGTTTGGGTTTCTAGCTGTTGATAAAACACGCATATGAGAGTTTCCGAAAAAGAGGGCGCCCTGATATAGTACCCTAAATAGTCGGATCCTTATTATCAAGTCGTATCCTTATTATCAGGACCGCAAAATAAGGTACTCCTAATTTTCGGAAACTCTAAACCCTAAACCCTTTTTAGAACCCTTATAGATCCCTTTAAGGAACCCTTAAAGAATCCCTTAATAAGGTACCTAAGAGGGACTCAGGTGCAGCTAGCGCCGCTCCGGCTGCACGGAACACGAAAGCTCGATGGGCCGCTATGTATGACTCTGATGCCTGGGCTTTGGAGTACATAATGTAGGAACCTGATTAAGACGCCCTGGGTCTATAACCCCAAAATAGTAGGATTCGGTATCAGGAACCCAACTAAAGGCCCACGGTGTTTAAATCAGGTTCCTACGTTACCATACTTTAATATACTTTCTTGGGGACCTGGTGTTTAAAGGGAACCATTATGAAGTAAGGGTCTATATACGTATTTTTCCTTGGTTACTTCAAATCCCAGGATGCACATTACGTCCGGGATCATGCTGGCGTTGATGTGGTTGCCCCTGGGTGCAGGCTTCATCCTGGGCATCTGCTCCTTGCTGTGTGTTTTGCATGTGGGTGGTTGTCAAAATTAGGGTCCCTTTTTGGGTACCCTAAATAAGAGGTGCCGTATTATATTAAGGATCCAAAAAAAAACCCTAATTTGGACAACCAGCCATGTACTTTTTTATTTGTGGTGGGGGGGGGTCACCACAATAAGGAGAGAGTTGTATTTGCCGTATGTCCTTGTTAGGTGACTGACACTTTGGGAAACTTGTTAATTCGCCTTTTGGGTTACTTTAGAGGCGTTGAGGTGCCTATTCATTAACCGTAGCTGCTTTTAATTTAAGGTCCCCAAGACTACAACCCAGCTTGCTATGGTAAGTTGCAGACCACATCTCCTTCGCAGGACGAAAGACGCCGTAAACCCTAACCCTAACCATAGGACTGGGTTCCTTCGCATGCAGCTGTGTGTTGTTTCTGATGCCGGGGTGCCCCTTCTTGTGGACAGGATCGGACCGCTAGAAGCCTGCTATGATCCCCTTCAACAGCCCTTAACGCAATTGGGAGGTTCGGAAAATAGGGGATCCTAACAGGTACCCCTGTTTTTCGGAAACTGCCAATTCTACAAAACGCACTAGAATCAGCTCATAAAACCCTCAACCCTCGCGAGAGACAGGTTCCGAGCCCATTCCCTCATCATTGCGACTGAGCGATGCTTTCCGATGGTCGCAGCCATGGCAATGCGATTGAAGAAGTTTCACTGACGCTCATAACTTTTTAACAAGAAAATGACTCCCACCCCTCACCCCACCCCAAATACTCAGCCCAGTTGACATCCTCACCAATTCGAGTGCGGCGTAGAGGAGTGGGAGAATGAAAATGTCCTGCAGGGTGCCTTAGGTGCTTCTGTCTCAAGGCGTGCTATGCTCTGTCGAAAGCGTGGCCGGCTTTAAGAAAAGACGAGATCTGTTTGCCATTGCATCGAATTCTAAAGCGGATCTGCAAATTGTTTGCCTTCCTTATGTCTAGTCCTATACCTGGCAAGCTTGAAACCCAGAAACCATCAACACCAGCTTTAAGGGCTCACAAGTGAGAGCAAAAGCAGCAGAAGCCATCGAGAACAACACCAGCGTCCTTCGCCCAAACACCTTACCCGAGCTGATGCCAAGTTATTGAAGCGACCAGGCACCACAAGGACCTCCCTCGTGTAATTGGCACTTTACGTGAGCAAGATTGTTATCAGTATGAAATGCCTCATACCTGAACAAGGCGCAGATGCCACAGCTTTGACCAGCTTGCTAAAGCCCTAAACCTCTGAACCCTAAACCCTCAGCTCTAGACCCTAAACCCTCCCTTGGTTGCCTATCAAACGTTCCTGACTATGATAAGTTTAATTGAAAAACCCGGGAATCCAACCCTATGACCTTGAATTCCTGAACCCCTGCAGCCTGAACGTAATTAGGGTTTCGGTTTTGGGGTTTAGGATTCAGGGTTGGGGTTTAGGGGTTCAGGGTCACTCCCTTAACCCTAAACATCAAATCCGAGACCCCTGAACCCTAGAGAGTGAACAGGGGCAGCTTAAACTTTTTGGCTTTATATATTGGCTCTTTTTTCGAAAGCTTGAACCTTTTTGGGGCGCGTTTGTTGAAGAGGAGAGGAACCAGAAGCGTGAAGCCAAGCCCGACACCCTGACAAATATTCGAGCCTGAATGGTTCCAAGATGCTCGGCTCAGGATGAGACCCACAAGTTTAGGCTTCAGGGCTTGTGCTAAGTACGGTTGATGATGTAAATCCTGCATTACCCATAACCAGGAATACACCATTGTTCCCAGAGTTTGGGGTCCTTAGGGTAATGCAGGATTTATATTATCAGCAGTATCCCTCAGCCGCTGGGGTGGAAAGCCGGCGCTGTAGCACCTCTTACGACGGAACTCCGCATCCTTGTCCTGGGTTTAGGATTTAGGGTCCACGTTTGGGGTTTAAGGTGATAAATGGGTGTTCCGCATGAATCATTTTGATCGTACAAACCCATGGGTGTGTTGAAGGTGTTGCTTTCAATTTGGACACGTGGCGCTTTTATTCCAGGGCTCATGGCATACGAAGAAAGGATGTCAAGGGAATTCAGGAACCCTGAACCCTAAACCCTAGACCCCAAACCCTACACCCCAAAACCCAAAAAACCTAACCCTGACCCCTGAACCTTGAACCCTAAGCCCAAGCTAAACTTCTTCCAAAACCCGAGCCTCATACAAAGCCCCTGATACTGTTGATGATATAAATCCTGCATTACCTGTAAGGGCCGTAAACTATGGGAATGACGGTATATTCATTATTAGGGGACATGCAGGATTTTTATCATCAACACTATCCCTTCGGGTGCCTAGTACAGTGTTGGTATAATTTGTGTGAAAACCCTACTCTAAATATCAAGCTTCCGATACGACTAATCATCCAGCTCCACGTACTTGAAGGATCATGCGACTTGGTAGTGGTAAGTGAAAGATTATAAGTATCTTACTTGCGGATAGAAGCAGTGATAAGTGATAAGTATAGGTACAGTCTTTCTAACCCTGGTTACTACCCTAAGGCCCCAAAGTAGTTCCTTTTTGGGGCTCATATTTCGCATCCTATAAAGTAATCCCAAAAAGGAACTACTATGGGGCCTAGGGGTAAGCCCCCGCGATCCGGTAAGTAAGCCGTGACTTCCCAGACCCCCCAAAATATCTAGAAAGTAGATCCCCTACTTTGGGGCCCTATACTACAAGGGTACTTTACAGGAACCCCCATTAAGGGATCTACTTTTTGGATCCTCCCAAAATTTCTGACTTGGCGCCGGCTTGGAGCCTTGTTTGAAAAGTTCCCGCCTCTGGGGCTCAGATGGAGCCCCGCAATTTTTGAAAGCAAATTTTCTGCACGCCTCGACCATGGGGGGCCCTGAAGCTAAGAGAGTTTAGGGTTTAGGGTTTAGCTAAACTTTCCGATGCTTTCGACAAGATACTCATTCGGGCATTTATCATCTTCGTTTTAAGCCAGTTACTGCGTGACCTGATCCTTTAAGCATACCCTCAGACTCTGTCGACCAGGTTTTTTTCTGCTTCTTTGCTGGCGAGCTCCTCTGTCGTATCTTCCACCATGGCGGCCACGCACCCAGAACTAGGGGTTTTGGGTTTACGATTTAGTTTAGGCTGTGGGGTTTAGGACAGGTTTACAGATTAGGGTTGTTGTGGTGCTTTTGCCGGGCTTTTGCAATGTGCTATTTCATTTCAGTTGTTCTACTTGGAGGATCATGGGACTTAGTAAGTAAGGTTAAAAGTACCCTAATTGGGGTTATAAGTATAGTTACCCTAATTATAACCCTAGTTACTAAGTCCCGTGATCCTTTAAGTAGGCATCACGGTTGTTTCTCGTGCACACTGAGCCAGTGGGCCGGTTCAGATGTTGGTGCGTTGGGATGCAGTGTATCTTACATGAACCTTAACCTACCAAAACCTACAAAAAAGTAGGGTCCCTATAAATTCCATATTAGGGTTTATAATAAGAACTTACAGAAAAGTAGGGTTTGGTAGGTTAAGGTAAGGTTCAGGGTTCTGGCTCTCTAGGTGGGCGTATGTAGAGCTCGGGGTTCGGATTCAGCGTCTTACAACGAATGGCTTAAGCCTCCAAAGTTCACAAAGATGCCGGAATATACCCTAAATCATGCTATCGGTCCTCTAAGAAGATACCGTACATTGCCAAACTGCGAGATTTTGGAGTGTGCGGGTGCGTCAGCAGTCACTTGAGGAGGGCTCTTGGACGATGGGAAGAAGACTTACTGGCAGGAAGTAGGAAATAAGTCGAGTCGAGTTACAAGTATGCTAAAAGGGACCCTAAGTGGGATCATGATATGTAAAAATACTGGAGAATAACTACTTCCCAGGTCCCCGGGTTCAGTTGTCGGTGCCTTCTCGGCTTGGGATCAAAGTAGTCCCGGCTATAGGGTTCAGGATTTAGGGACCCGGGTTTAGGATTCACAGGTTTTTCGGGGTTCAGGGTAGATGATGATCGCGTCGCAGCAACCGCAGCGTCGATTTCAGCAGCACTTAAGTAGAAGGAGCGTTGTACTTTTATGAAGAAACGAAATGTCCGAGCGCCCGAAAGCCATGCACAGAGCCGACTGGACAGAACCAGCGGTCGAAAGCCGGAGTGAATCCACTCGCTGTAGATTCCGGAGGCGGTTGAAAAACCTAAGCCTTAAACCCCGCCGTACAGACTACCGACATGCAGATGCAAGCCCAAACCCTAAAACCTGGACCGCCAGGATAATCTGGCAGACACCCTCTTGGAATTCTCTCGCAAGCCGCGAGAGTGGTAAAGAAGTTTACGCCCACAGCTACATGTAAATTTTCGAAATCGCTTCTATTGCGGGGTATCTGCTAGTATTGGTAGGTTGAAAGTGTATGACTAGGCACTTGGACCCCTTAGCCCTAAGGTTTCTACGCTCAACCCTAAGCCCTGAAGCCTAAAACGAGTACCCCGCCACCGAAAAAGCAGCACGCTGAAGCAAAAAACTGCATTTAAATTAAAGCCCTTTTCCAGCCCTCGAAACTCTCCCTTTCTGAAGCAAAAAAAACGTAAGAAATCTTTGCCAGCACTCGAAACTCTCCCTTTCTTGGAGCCATGGGCGATGCGGATCCCGAGCCGCCAGTCCCCGAAGGGGATGGTGATGAGGCCGACGAGGAAGAGCCTTGGCTTGTTTTCTGTTTGGGGTTTAGGGTTTTGGGTTTGGGGTTTATGGTTTAGGGCTTGGCTTATTCCTGATCACTGAACCCTAAACCCTAGAAGGGCCAAAAAAAAAAGTCATAAATCCTACCCCTAGCCCGTTAAAACCATTTTCGGGGCTCCTATAGGCACGATTCTCAGTTGGGTTTGTGATTTGTGTTTGAAGATTTTCTTTGTTCCCTCGGATTCTGGAAGGGTTTCTGGTTTCAACAGCTCCAGTGCATCTATCCGTGCGGAGAGTTCGAACTAACTACTCCACGTGCAGGAAGGCCGCACGTGCTTCAGTTATATGGGAGATTCCGAAAATAGGGGACCCTAATATAGTGCCGTAAATAGTAGGATCCTTCTTATAAGGACCCGAGAATAAGGTACCCCTAATCTTCGGAAAGGCCCAAATCAGCCAAGGATAATGGCGAAGCCAGCGAGGAGGCAGAAGACCAGGAGGCAGCTCCAGGGTACCAAGCTACCTTAACCTACCAAACCCTAACTTTTTGTAGGTTCGTATGATAAACCCTGATATGGAATCTATAGGGACCCTACAAAAAGTAGGTTTTGGTAGGTTAAGCTAGGTATCGATTCGGGATTGTTTGAAACTTCCCTTATTGTTGAATTCTAGAGAGTTGGGATTTCGTAAATTCCCCTTCTTGTTGAAGACCATCGAGTCCTTAATTATGAATGAATTTGGGGGCCTGTTGAAATTATAGCGCCTGGTAAGGGGCTTCGTGGCTTGGGGGTAGGGTTTAGGGCTTTGGGGTCTTGGGTTTTAAGGGTTTCATGTAGCATGGTTTCGAAAGCCCTCATCTTTTGAAGCCCCAAAAACTGAAGACGAGCGGCAAGCCCTTACTCTGTTTCCTAAGAGCAGGATCTTCGATGAGGTCAGTGATTCTATTGTCGGCTTTTTCGATTACGTTCTTTTGCACGAGCCTTTTTTGTTTTTCCTACCACAAATCCCAGGGAGATGCTAGGTAGGCCCTTGAGATATTTTGTATTTCCGCTCACAGGGTCAATGCTTTTCAAAGGCTATCAAGGGCTATTTCGGCCGTAGCTTTTTAGGGTTTAGGGTCATTTTCAGCGTATATTTTTGTGATTGTAACATGTAGTACAACTTACTACCCATATGAATATTAAGGCTGCTATACTAGGTCCAGGTGGGCCCGCGGCATGTGGGATCAGGGCTTAGAGGCATAGATGCTCGAGCAATTCGGGCTGTGGAAGGCAGGCTGCAAGACCGCAAGGCCGATTGCCGTGCGGCACCCTGCGCCCGGCCGACTGTGCATCCACCATGTACCCATATAGGCTCCACAGTAGTGCCTTTCGGGGATTACCTTGTAGGATCCTAATTAATCCAATCAAAACCACGACAAGGATCTACATTGGAGCCTATGGGAAAAGCAAAGAATCAGCGAAGAGAACAGCCATAGCAACGAGCCTTCACATTCGAAAAACTCGTGCCGCAACTCTTCCGGAAGACACGGTATAGCCGAGGCCCGCGGGGGATCTGGCTTCGACCCATCTGATATTTAATATGCAAGAACTCAGGGGTTTAGGGGTTTGGGGCTTTAGGGGTGTAGGGTTCAGGGTTCAGGGGTTTAGGGCGTTTAGGGGTTTGGGTTTAGCCAAAGAAACGATTGGTGTGAAACGAAGGGTAGTATAAATGGACCCACTTGGAGTAAGGACATCGGTCATACACAAAGGGTCGAATGGCTGAGCCGCGTAAAGCCGCTTCACTCTCTTACACACACACACACACAGACACACACACACACAGACACACACACACATACAGACACACACACACACACAGACACACACACACACACACACACAGACACACACACACACACAGACACACACAGACACACACACACACACACACACACACACGCGCACACACACAATGAAATCGAAACTCTCAATCCTAAATGCCGAAGTCGGTCCCTAAATCGTTCATAAACCCGAAAGCCATAAAGTCTAAACCCTAAAATTAATCACTTGAATATCTGCAAAGTCTATTCTTTCGATACTTCTAGTACATTATACCCACCAAAGCTCTGTATATTACTGTGTATATCTTATGACTATATAAACCCTAAACCCTAAACAATTAAAGCTCCTTTGTTGCTTCTGTGTCGGTTATCCCGTCTCGGGAGCCTCGGAGGAAGTTCGGGAAACTGGGTTGAGGAGATAGCGGCCTACTCGCAACCACACAGCACTTCACCCCAAAGCCAAAGCCCTCTAAACCTTTCTTTCACGTACGTGTATGTATGTACGTACGTATGTATGTATGGGTACGTTTGTATGTGTGTGTGTATATATGTGTATACTATGATGCTAAATAATATTCATATACCCTGACGGATTGAAGGTCACGAGCCACCGAAAAGACTTTACCCTAAAGCCCCGCTGAAAACTCCACATGCCAGAAGTTGGCGCATAAACTCGATAGCCCCGCGCAGGGTACTTTCGATCCCAACTTGATTCTACACACTATTCCCCTGATCCTCTACACTTGACTTGACTCGAAACCTTACTACTCAGCCCTAACCCTTGCGCCCCTAAGCCCTAAACAACTAAGCCCTTGACTATTCCCTGATCTCTACCTTAAACTCTAAACTCCAGCCCCTATACCCTAAACCCTAAACCACTAATGTAGGAACCTGATTAAGAGACCCTGGGCCTGTAACCCCAAAACAGCAAGATTCATGCAAGGAACCCTGATAAAGGTCCAAGGTTTCTTCATCAGCGTCCTACACTAAAACTTACTTGGAGGGTGAGGGTCGGTGGACTTAGTAAGTCGGTAACAAGTAGACTTATAAGTACCCTAAAAGGGATCCTAATTGGCGTTATGGTACTTATAAGTCCCTAGAATATCTAGTTACTAAGCCCCCCAACCCTCCAAGTAACTGCAAGATAGCACGCCTCCAGGAAGAGACGGGTCCCGCCTCCCGCAAGTCACAGAAGCGTTCCTTGTTCTCGCAGTGAGGACTCTTTTGCGGGCCCCCTTACTTGTAAGGGGGTTCCCTGTAAAGGGCTCTATAAGGGATCCTTCGTAGGGTGCTATTTTTGTAGGCATATAGGGTTTAAGGGGTTTCGTGCTTGTAGGGTTGGGGGTTTGTGGTTTGTCGTGATCACCAATAGGAAGGGATTTGGCTTGCTTCGTTTCTTAGAAGTCGGGCTTGTGCCGTTTTGGGGTGACTACGACTGCTGTCGAGCTTTCAGAACAGGGCTGTCATTTTGAAACCATCCCAATGCAACACTCTAAAGCCGTTCGGCCCATCGGCCCTAGAGAAATTTCATAGAACCCATGACAGAGAACATAAAAAGCCCAGTAAAGGAAAGAGTTTCCAGGCTCAGGGCTTGCATAGAGCACCTGGATAGCACGCTGCCGTATTTGGGTTGAGGTCCCTAAGCCATAAACCGCAGACCCTGAACCTTTAAGGTTCAGGGTTTCGTGTTTCAAGCTACTGAGGGCACCTTAATGGTTACGGCTTGGCCATGGGACGGCGCTCTAAGTGCTGGGGTAGAGAGGAGAGCACGACCAGAATGTAGTTCACCCATCAGTTTAAAACCAGCGTGTCAGGGCTCAATAATGGAAACGCAAGCAGTCGTATAGTGTTAGCGTGGTAGTAATAGTAGTAGTAGTAGTAGTAGTAGCAGCAGCAGCAGCAGCAGTAGCAAAAGCAGTCGTGGTAGTAGTGGTGGTAGCAGCAGCGGTAGCACCTAACACCTAGCACCCAGCACTTGGCACCTCTGCAGCTGTAGCTCCAGCAGTTGCGGCTGCCTCTACATGCTAACTGTTGCAAGGCTATAGGACCTCGATCACTAGGAGACACGACACATCCCGAAACCTCGCTGAGAAAAGCCGAGGCAAACTCAAGCAAGAACAGAAAGCCGAGTGGAAGCTTGGCTGGCTCGGATTCTGCTTGTGCTTACTTGGAGGATCAGGCAACTTGGTAAATTCTGGGTTTCGGCTTTCGGTACTTTAGTTTGGTTTCTTGTAGGTGCAACTATGCTCATTTTGCTTCTAACCGTTCTAACCCTCCTTGCTCAGTGTTTCATCAGGCCCTTAGCCAGGTTTGCTGTAAGGCCAGTCCCAATCGGTGTACTTATACTTCCCCAGCCAGCACCGTCTGCTTACATACTGCATCCCTCCGGATTTTTCGCACCCTACACCCCTAAACAGAAACAGTTACCTTCATGCCGCTATACCCTAAACCAGATCCCAAACCTTAAGGCCCAAACCCGAAACCCCAAACCCTAAAAACCTAAGACGTATAAAGCCCTAAAGCCCTGAAGCCCTACACCCTAAGACCCTAATCCCTAATCCTAGTAGTAGAGTAGGCAACATTGGGTAGTATAGTCCCTATATAATCCCTATATAACCAAAAAGGTTAACCTTTAGTTCCCCATGATACCCGACAAGTCCCTAATTCCTTTGCAAAAAGACAAGACCTCCAAACCCTGAGCCGTAAAGCCTGGCGCGACATCTCCGAACCTTCACCCGCACACCACCCTACCTAGAGGGTCATACCCTACCCTTGTTTAGGTTACCTGGTTCTATGGTTAGGATCTCCTATATAGAAAAGTAGGTACCTTAAAAAAGGGGTAGGGTATGAGCCTACAATAGTCAGCCTATAGGTACAGGAACTACGTACCATCCGGATCACGAACGATGGGAGCTTCCTTCGACGCTCAACGGAACCCCCCTGAAACTCTTCAACCCTACAGCGAAAACCTTTGTCATAGTTGGGTAACATTTTAAAGCTTTATGGGTACTTGAACCCAATAAGGAATAAAAATGTACAATTTCAATCCTATCCCAACAATGAACTAGAAACCCGAATTGAACCCGAAGCCTCCCAGCAACAAGCCTAAGCCCACAAAGATGCGAGTCTCCATTGTCGGAGTCTTCTAACCTTCGATATTGGAGGAGCTAAGGAGCCAGGGATGATGAGAACCCCTATTAAATGAGGAGCTAAAGAGCCAATGGAGCCCCAAAACCACTGGTTAGTCTTCCTTAATTACAGACCATCCCTACTGAACCAGTAAGTGGTACTTAGGTACTTCCCGGTCAACTATCAAGTTGTTGGGTTTCAGGCTCTAGAGTCAAACGTTTCGGGTTTTTGGATTTAGGGTGTAGGGGTGAATATGATACGGTTGATGGTATAAATCCTGCATTACCCATAATAAGGAATATACCGTAATTCCCATGGTGTAGGGTCCTTACTTGGAGGGTCGGGAGGCTTAGTAATTGGTTATTTTTGGGACTTATAAGTACCATAACCCCAATTAGGGTCCCTTTTAGGGTACTTATAAGTCTACTTACTACCTACTTACTAAGTCCCCCGACCCTCCAAGTAAGGTAATGCAGGATTTATATACCATCAACAGTAGGAGGGTCTGCGCAGGGTCGGGTCGTCGGGCTCCAGGTTCGGGTAGAGCTTCCCCCCAAAGGGTCCAAAGTACCGATATAGTAGAATGTAGGGTTTCTATATTAGGAATTACTATTATGATTTGGGGAAGTATTCCCCAAAACGGTACATAGGACCCTTTGGGCTCCAGAAATTGGTTCACATCTTGGCCTGACGCTCTCACCTTTCTCAGGAAAGCAGCTCAAAAGGCAAAGCGGAAGCAGTTTCTTGGCGGCCAAGTACTGGAAAGTGGGTTTGCTGCAGAAGTTCGAAAGACCTCTAAACAGAATACGAACGATCTTCTCAATATTACGCTTATTGCTATCAACATGCTATTGCCGGTGTTTCGTTTTTTTTGAAGTGGGGTGTCCGTGTTACAATTATTTGCTGTTGTCAGGCAGTGTTCATAACTACCAGAACTTTTGCCACGTTTACAGGCATAGACTTTGGTTTTCACCGGCGCGACGCACAGCATGAAGCCTTGTAGCGCTAAATCCCAAAACCACTACATGCCTAGAGTAAGCCCTAAACAGTCAGCCCTAAACCCCAAACCGTAAACCTTTATAAGCCCAAATACCCAGAGAAGCACAATTATAATGTTGGCAAGATCTCAGGAAGCAGCAGGAGAAGCGGGGCAAACCAGGGGGCAGGCACCTTTCCTGTCACCAGCATTCAGAGGATCAGGGTTGTCGTGTTGGGGTGTGGGGAGGGCCTAAGATTTAGCAGGGTTTAAGGTTTAGGTTTAGAGGTTTGAGTTCCTACTTAGAGGATGATGTTTAGGTATTCGAGTCTTATGACCGGGATTTGGGGTTTAAGGTTTCGGAGGTTTGAGGTTCCTACTTCGAGGATCAGGAGACTCAGAACGGAGGGTTACACAACCTGCCGAAAACTCGGCGGGATCGGGTACTAGACCCTTGGCCCTAAACCCTCACATAAGGACCCCTAGGGGGGTAGGGGGGAGGGCGGTCGGGGGCCTTAATACCTTTCCATAAGGACTTAATAAGGCCTATTATGATACAAATCCTGCATTACCAATAATAATGGTTAGTTAGACCATTATTCCCAAAGTTTAGGTTCCTTAAGGCAAGCAGGATGTATATCATCAACAATACCTATAGTCTCCATTGTAGTTCCGTTTTTGGTTAACCAGAATCTCTATTATAGGATCCTAACCTTAGAACTGGTTTATACCCAAAACAGGAACTACAATGGAGACTCTAGGTATGACCAGGCCCAGGTAAAGTGGGAGAAACGAAGCAAACACCCTGGACCCTATAAACCCCATAAGCCCTAAATCTTAAACTCTAAACCACCATCCCCAGGCGCAGGTGAAGCTTGAGATGCAGAATCAAAGGGGAAGAGGAGGGACCCTTAATAATGGGCTGTATAATGGTATATAATAGCTATATTAAGGGTATATACCTAAGGGTCCTTATTAAGGGAATCCTAAACCCTAAACCCTTTATAGAACCCTTTTTGATCCCTTCAATACCTAGGGTCCTTATTAAGGGTCCCTCCTTTTACTCTTGGACAGAAAGGAAGCAAAAACCCTCCGAAAGCGAAGCAGACCTCATCGCTGGAGGCGAAAGGGACCTCCTTTGCCCCCGTTGAGTCTCGGCTTATGGTTTAGGGTTTATAGGGTTTTGAGGGGCTTATAGGGTCATAGGGCTTATGGGGTTTATAGGGTTTCAGGGTTTAGGGCTTTAGGAGTTTAGGGTTTACAGGGTTTAGGGTCTGCCTTTCAGGAAGCTGAACACGATCCTGGCTCCGGTCCTGAGTTTCTTCCCTGACGGCCCGGAACCCTAAACCCTAAACTCTAAACCCGGTGGAAAAAGGCGTTTAAAAAAACTCTAAACCCTAAACCCCTAAGTCCCTAACGGCCCGGAATATGCCATAACGAGGGTTAGGTTCTGGGGGCTCCGGTGAGTTCTCACGTTTGCTCGGGATTTCTAGATTACTTTGAGACTCTGAAACCCGAAACTTAGTAGCTGAGTGGAGACACTTTGCACTTTTTGGGATAATATCACCCACTACAAAACTGAAAGTGTACACTTTTTGGGGGCTTATGACCTCAGCAACTAAGGAAGCCGCTAAATCTCAGAAGCATCCTTTGAAGCAGCCCAGATTCGAAGGGACCTAATTGTATATGCGACCACCCGAACAGGACATACATACTAATACCTGCATACATACATATGCACAAGTGCATGCGAGGACATACAGACATACAGCGAGCAAGAGTCAACGATACAACTTATCTAGGTGTGTGTTGAATCCTGATAGTTCTATTGTCTTGTTTCCATCCTTCCACCGACGATCCGAAAGCCCAAGCCATTACCTTGGATCCCTATGCCCCAGACACTACCGGACCTCCATCCAGGATCCCCAATCCTAGAACCCCGAATAGATTCTTCATGGATCCTTCGTAGAAGCCTGAGGCCTTATGGACCCTTTTTCAAGAGCTTAAAAACGCACCAAAACCCCTAAGCCCAAAACCATACCGAAACCCTAGACCCTGAAAACTTTCAGATTCAAAACCCTATAAGCCCCAAACTCGCACGCCCCAACCCTCCAAGATCTCAGGACCGGTGGAAAGCCGAGTTCGCCGGAAGAGGCCGGCTTAACTACTGGGGTTAAAAGGGATCCAGGGGGTTCGGGATTAGGTGTCAGGTTTTTTTTAGTGAGTGAGTGAGTTTCCGCGTTTGGGGTTCTAGGGCGTGAGGTTTTGGTGGTTTATGTTTTAGAGTTTTGGGTTTAGGGTCGAAAGTTTGCAAGATGTAGCATGTGAAAGGGATATGACGGATCAACGGGGGCTAAAAGTCAGGCTTTTGTTGTTTATACCCTTATCGCCAAAACGAGAGATCGTATGCCAAACCCCTAAACCCTACATAAGCCCAAACCCGTAAACCCGAAATCCCTAAAGCCTCCACCCTAAACCCCGAAGTCCCTAAACCCCCCGAGACTTTACTCCAGGACCAGCCATGTCTCGAAAAGAAAACGCTTCGGGCTTCGGGGGTGGGTGGGTAGGGGATTGGGGGTTTAGGGGTTTGGGTTTATAGGGGATTAGGGTTTAAGGAGGGTTGAGGGTATAAGTGTTTAGGGGTTCAGGCTTTATTTTTCGGGAGTCCGAAGCCCTAAGCCGCAAACCCAAAACTCCCAAAGCAACCGGTGGGAAGCCATGGAAAACCCAATCCAATCCTCACACCCTAAACCCCCCCCTAAACCCGTAAACCCCTCATAGAACCCTTGATGGAAGTCGTAAAGGAAGACTCTAGGCCCGATCCCGTGAGAAAGGAACCAGCAAAAAAGAACGATGCAGTAAATTCTAAACCCGAAACCCTGTAAAGGAACCAACAGACCTGTCCTGTTCTTCCTGGACCCAAAAAACCCTTGTTCCTTTTTTCTGGTCCTGTTCTTGATTTCTGGTTCTGTTCAGGTCAAGGAGGCGCGAGCTGCGAGGCAGCTCGGGCACTGCATGCGGTTTGGGGGACAAGGGGTTCTACCAAGGCTCCTACATAAGGTATATTGAGGTATACTTTAAGGCTACTGCAGGGCACTGTCTAGATGGGTTCTAATCAGGGGACTTGGTATGTAGGTTATAATGGGTAATTAAGCAGCCAACGTTTGGTTCGATTAGACCTCTCAGTGAGGCGTTATCCGACGGACATCAACATTGACATTCTGCTTAGCCCCCTTACCCTAGACTCGCTTATACATATATAGATACATACGTATTTACATATTTTGCTATACCAGAACCCTAACCTAAACCCTAAACCTGAAACCCCTGAGCCCGACCATAACCCTAAGCCCTTCAAGCCCATGAAAGCACCGCGAAACAGCCTCGGGCTTCGCTGGTTGAAACTCCAACCCCACGGGTCCAAACGCCCACTTGGAGGGTTGGGGGACTTAGTAACTAGACATTTTAGAGACTTATAAGTACCATAACCCGAATTAGGATCCCTTTGAGGGTACTTATAAGTCTACTTATTACCGACTTACTAAGTCCCCCGACCCTCCAAGCAAGTTTCAGGGCTAAAAATGTAGTTGCCGGAGGCAGCAACTAAGCCTAACCATCATGGAGAAGGAGATATGCCAGGACTATCCCGCAGTGCACCTTTCTCATCGAAGGCTCACTACATGGGAACACCTTCGACACTCAAGCCTGAACTCCAAATCCTTGACCAACAAGCAGCCCCCCAAATCATCAGTCCTAAACCAATAGGTCACGGATGCTTGTTCTTTAACACATTGCAGACCCAGCCGTTGCCAAAATAGGGGTCTGAATACTTAGTAAGCTTTTCCTCGTTATAGTCCCTACATGATCATACTAGGCTACGTAACTCCGCAACCCTATTCTAGTTAGAATGCGCACTCAGCCCCGCTGAGATCTCTAAGTAAGGTTGTAAGTATTACAGAGGCCCGAATCATCGCCAATAGTATTCCTAGAGCTCCTTGTTATAACTATACCACAATGTGTCGCACCCCAAAGCCTCGTTCCAAGTATCAAGGCCCCCCCATTTTGGGTACAGTCCCCTCTCTTGAAAGAGTTGGATAGTATGCCCTGTATTATTGAGTGAGTAGAGCCCTTATTATGACCCCGAATATTTACTTTTACATGGTGCGGCGGCAGTACCCAACCTGTACTACCGAGATAGTGATATTAATATGAGCATTGTGAGTATGGTTGCCTTCATATAGTGTTATTACTAGTCCTGTTATGACTGTTATGAATACGCCTATATTATTAGAGAGATAATTGTTAGTTCTGTTAGTACCAAGTTTTAGTATTGGACTTGGTAATAACAGTATTATCATCAGCTTACCCAAAACCCTAAACCCTAAACCTTTTAAACTAGGTATTCCGACTGTAGCAGGGAGGAAAAGGGCCCTCCCCCCCAAAAAAAGAAAACAGATTTGGGAGTTTCCGAAAATAGGGGACCCTAATATAGTACCCTAAATAGTAGGATCCTTATTATAAGGAGCTCAAAATAAGGTACCCTATTTTCGGAAACTCCCATATCATCAACCCTAAACCTAAAACCCTATAGATCCCTTAAAGGAGCCCCTTAAAGGTACCCTTATAGATCCCTTTAAAGGAACCGATCAGGAAGGCCGCCGAGTTGGACGACTTCCGGGCGCGCGCCGCGCAGGGCGCCACGGTGGTCATCGACCTGGCGCCCCGTCGCGCCCACCTTTTGGGGGTTAGGGTTTAGGGTTTAGGGTTTGGGGTTTAGGGTTTAGGGTTTAGGGTTTGGTGTTTAGGGTTTAGGGTGGGGTTTAGGGTTTAGTTGTTTGGGGGGGGGGGGGTTAGGGCTTGGGGTTTAGGGCTATTTTAGGGTTTGGGGTTCAGAAGGGCTTACAGGGTTTGGGGTTCAATAGGGCGGGGGTTCGGGATTTCGTGTTTACCAGGTTTATGGTTCACGCTTCTCGTGTGTGGTATTTGGCTCTGGCTTCTTCTTCTTGCTTGCTCTTGCTTTTAACAGCTTACAGAGATCCAAGCATGCACAAAGCACGCTAGAGAACTGTTTTACGCAGACACCTTCGCAATAAGACCCCTAAATGGGAGTTTCCGACAATAGGGGACCCTAACACAGTACCCTAAATAGTAGGATCCTTATTATAAGGACTCCAAAATATGGTACCCCTATCCCAAATCCTCAAACCGGAAGCCTTGACTTAAGAATCCGTCAAACTCACATCGTTTTTTCTGCTTGAAGAACCTGAACCCAAACTCTGAACCTCTACAAACCCTAAACCCAATTAAGTTGTTATTCTTGGTAGGCTCATATTTCGGAGACCTTGGTTAAAGCTATAGCCAGATCATCCCCTGCTTGTTGAGTCCCCCGATCCGATATGTGGCCAGCCACCCCCACCACCAACACAACAGCGATCGAGCTTGTACTTAGGGGTACTTAAAAATAGTTGTTTATTTTGGGTTCCTTTTGTCCCTAAGAAACAGCACAAATTAAAACATGCTGGAGGTCTAAGTTCAGTATAGTTTGGTTTTCAGCGCACCCCCTTCGCAGAGTGTCCCAAGCTTCCCAAATCCTCCGCCTACCTGCTCATCCAGCTCTAGCCTTACCTTGAGTGCAATGCACGTCCTTTCACTTAGCAGCTAGATGAAAGAACTGTACGTGTTTTCGGAAGAAGTGTAAGAGTAGGCGAATAAGCATTTTTTGGGTGCGTCTGAGTGCATCAACTTAAATGTTTTTTAAAGAGCTCCAACAAGAAATATTTTGGGGTTTAGGGTTCAGGGCAGAGTAACCTGGGGTGCTTTCCGACCTCAGCAACTGTTACATAGGGATCCCTAGGGGTGTAGGGGGGAGGGGTGTAGGGGACTATATTTCCTTAAATAGGCCTTATTAGTCCTTATTATGGGCCTTAAGGCCCCCTACCCCCCCTCCCCCTACACCCCTAAGGATCCCTATGACTGAGTGAGGAGTGGGAGGATTCCATGCAGCCGAAGGAGCTGAAAAGCCTCATCCAGCAGGTCCTGCAACTTGCCCTAGGGCCCAGAGTAGGCCCTTATTCCCTTTTTCAGGGGTTCAGGTTCCCTTATAAGCCCCTTTAAACCAAAAAGGGCACCCTTTTTGTTCCTAGGTTACTCTTGGGTTTAGTGCCTCTCGTTACCCAGGGGCCTCAAAGCAGTTCCTTCTTGGATTTACCCTATAGGATTCTATAAACCCCAGAAAGGTAGAGGGGTCTCAATAATTACCAATACCATTTTGGTAGTTCCTTCTGATAATTAGTATAATTACAAGTAGCGGTTTAGGACTTGGGGCTTAAATGATTGCAAATACTATTTGGGGCCCCCCCTTATTCTAATTACAGTAGAATGGGCCCCTAAACCCTAAGCCCCTAAACCCCTAAGCCCCTAAGCCCTAAACCCTAAGCACACCCTCAACCCTCAACTGGCCGCAAAGCCCCCGAGGCCCCCGAAGAACCCCCACAGCCTAAGCCCCCAAAGCCAGAACCCTAAAGCCCTGAGCTTTACACCCTGGACCCTGCATCCTACTTTTAGGGTTTAGGGTCCAGGGTTTAGGGTTTAGGGCCTGCAAACCAGCCTCCATTGCTCAAGTCTACCAGTTCATGCGCATGCCTGCATGTACTCTACCATGCGGCGAATTTAACTTGCATGTGACACTTACTGTTCATGCTCGGATGAAGTGACTGACAAGGTAGGTGGGGTAATCCCAAAAATCAGGCTCCTTATATAAGGGGTCCGTATTTCTACCTACCTTCATCCCACCTTTGGAGGCCTCCGAGATCCCAACCCGTAAACCCCTAAACTTTCCCAAACCCCGAACCCCTACGTCCTGATACTCATGAACCCTCGGCACTCAGCCCTAAACAGATTAAGGCCCCCTTTTGTTGCATAGCACCCCTTGTAGATCCCTTGTAGTAGCCCTTTACAGGACCCCTTTAAAGCAACCCAGAAGCCCTAAACCCTCAACCCAGAGCCTTTGGCCCAAAGGTATTGCTATGGAGCGAACAGGCGAGCCGAGAAACCTGTCCGGCTGCTTGCTCCCTTATGGGTAGTTGTCAAAATTAAGGCCCAAAAGGGTTTAGGGTTTAGGGTTTAGGGTTTAGGGTTTAGGGTTTAGGGTTTAGGGTTTAGGGTTTACCCTCTATAAAACTGAAAGTGTACACCTTTTGGGGCCTTATGAACTCAGCAACTAGGTTATCGTAATGTAGGGATGTAGGGGCCTTAATTAATCATCAGACCTAGGTCTTCCTTATTATACTTGTAGTATAATATACGCCCATGCAAACCCTATTCTATCGTAATGTAGGAGCCTTAATAATTCGAGTAGGGTCTTGGGGGTTCCTCATTATACTTATAGTATTATATCACCCCAAGAGCTATCGTAATGTAGGACCCCCGGGAGGATCCAAAAAGTAGATCCCTGAATAGGTGAAGTTTGAGAGTTTCGCAGCAAGAGAGAGGAAAGGCAAGCTTGGGCCCTAAACTCCAAACCTGGTACACCCAATACACCTTAAACTCTGAAGCCTCAACCCATCTTAGTAGCTGAGTGGATACATTGCACGTTTTGGGGAGAACATTACCTGCTATGAAACTGTAAGTGTACACTTTTTGGGGCTTATGAACTCAGCAACTAGGTTATCGTAGTGTAGGGATGTAGGGGCTTGAATAATTAGACATAGGGTTCCTTATTACAAGTGTAGTATAATATATCGTAATGTAGGAGCTTTTGGCGTCCTTATACTAGGGATCCTACTATTCAAGGTACTACATTAGGGTCCCCCGTTCTCGGAAACTCCCATATACCTCCAGAGCCCAAATGCTCTGAACCCTAAACCCCAGAACCGCAGCTCCTACAACCCTCAACCCTGCCACCCCACATCCTACGACCTCGCAATACCTCAAGCCCCGGAAGCATAGCCACCAAGAGGAAACATCAATCGAACAGATAGACCAAAGTTAACAAAACAAGATACAAAAGACGCAAAGAACCAATCCCTAAACCCTAATCCCTAAACCCCTAAACCCCTAAACCCTAAACCCCTAAACGACCAATCCCTAATCCCTAAGCTCTAAACCCAAGCAACGTTCTAAAGTTCTAAGGTTGGTCTTCTCCGGCATTGCACAAGGAAGCGACTCGGCGTAGAGCTTGTATTCGGGATGTAGGGTTAGGGTTTCGGGATGTAGGGTTTAGGGTTTCGGGATGTAGGGTTTCCATAGCAAGGCTGAATAACAGGAGAATGCGAATTTTAAGGGGATCGTGGGAACAAGCCCTACACAGCCTACCTGGCCCCTTACCCCTTTCAAACCCTTCAAAGCACGATCTAAGGGGTCTTAGGAAAGTTGAGGGCTGTAGAATTCAGAATGAGGAACCCACCTTTTCGAGCGCTTTCACAATTGTCCAGGGCCGCATAAGTTCGGGGCGGGCTTACCCTTTAACCCTGAACCTTAGAGGTTTGGGGCAAGTACAGCTGAGCCTTTTCAATTTCTCTCCGCATGGGGGGTGTGCCACACAATGCCAGTGGAGAACACCCTATCAACGAGGATGGTTCCCGATCGCCTCCAACCAGCAGAACGAGGAGGAAAAGGCCACCCGTAAAAGTCCTAAACCCTAAACCGGCTCGAGTGATTGAAAGGAACACAACCGAGCGAGATGGCCCTGACCTGAGAGCAGCTGCCCTCCTCACTACGGAGAGCGCTTGGGCAAATGTCATGGCAGCCCGCCAGCGGGGCAGGCCACGGCAGCCCCGATTCCGCCAATTCGGCCCCACTCTCCACCTCTGACCCGAGCATCGCGCCGCACTACACAGGCTAGCGTTTAGGGATGCCCCGAATCAAAGCTTCAGGCGTGTTAGGGCCTTCGAATTGAGGGAGATGGCAGGTTTCGGGTTGATGATATAGGCAAAAGAAGGGAAGAAAACAACCTGCGAGCCGCGGAGCCCCTGAGCACGAATCTCCTGGAACCATGAGCCTAAACACCTCAACCCTAAGCCCCGAAACCCTAAGCCCCAAAGCCAAAGCCGTATACCCCAAACTGTATAAACCCCCAAACCCTAAACCCTTAAAAGAAAAAGCAGCCTGCAAGCCCAGGCAAGACGCATGCCGGGCTGAGCAAGCAGTCCGGTTACGATGCGTGGGAGGTCTGCCAGGGACGGTGCGGGTTTTCCCCCATTCGTTCCTCGAAGAGGGCTCTAGGGTCCCAAAAGCTCATATTGGGAGTCTGCAAAGAAAGGGCACCCTAATACAATACCCTAAATAGTAGGATCCTGATTAATCAGGTATCCCTACTTCTCGGAAACTCCCATATCTGTGCCGTTTAGAGGGTCCCAAAAAGATTAACCTTTAGTTCTCCATGATACCCGACGAGTAGGGTTTTTTATCACGAGTTTAAGGTTTAGGAGGCTTCCTTTCCGAGTTTCTTAGGGGTTCAAGGCTTCAAGAACAGATACTTTGGCGTGAGGCGTGAAGGGCCAGAGCTTCTCGGCCTGCCTTACTATATTGAGTAGGCCTTATAGGTTTTCTGCTTATAGTTACCATTATCACTGGGCTTAGAGGAGGATCTTGGATCACGAGTATTTTTTAGAGGCTTCAAAAGCTTAGTATAGGTCCAGGTGTCGGAAAGTAGTAATCTTACCTGTGCAGTGCTGGTTGTCCCTGCTCACCAGGTCCCCTTCAGTATCTCTTGTAGTGGCCTTTTGTTTTTGGTTATGGCTAGTGGAAATTCAGAGTACAACGATGGCCAGGTAGGGTTTAGGGCTTCAAGCTGAGGGAGAAGGAGCTGTGGTTCGGGTTTAGAGACATCGATGTGAGAGCAGGATACGGTGCAGTTACGAATCTTGCCGGTCACCTTTTGAGTCTTTGGGTTTAGGGTTTCAAGGCTATTAAGAAACCCTGGGCCTATAACCCCAAAATAGTAGGATTTAATTAAGGAGCCCCAAACCAGGCCCAAGGTTTCTTAATCAGGTTCCTACATCAACCCATATCAACCCTAACTGTGTGAATGGGGAGCCTTTGGGTATTGCCCCCAGTCAGTAACAGTTGGATAATATTCATAATATAGATATATTCGGACCTTAATACGGTTGATGATATAAACCCTTCGATACCCATAATATGGAATATACCACATTTCCCATAGTTTAGGGTCCTTAAGGTAATGCAGGATTTAGATCATCCACCGTAGTAGCCCTATTATAGACTGTTACTGTATGGCTGGCAGTACCCGAGGGAGCCCCAGGGTCAGGCGAACACTATTTTTGGGAGTTCCTTATGATATTTATAGTATAAAGGGAACTCCAGAAAGTTGGAATATGGTTTCAGGGTAGGATCCCCTATAATTTACCATAAAGGGCTTAGGATAATCATATTCCAACTTTCTGGCTTCTACTGTAATGGGCCCCGAAACCCTATTCAAATAATTAAGGCCTGTGGAACCCCACTATAGACCCCTTTAAGGAACCCTCTAAAGGAACCACTGTCACTCTTGAGACCGGACGCGGTTTCGTCTCCCTTCCTATGCGCGGAAGCCACAGAAAGCAACACAATACTGCAGGGACTTAAGTTTGCTTAAATAATTCATTGCCAAGCTATTTTGTGGGCTCCTTGTTTGAATCATGGTATCATGGGCCCACAAAAGAACCCTATTCTAATTATTCTAGTTATTCAGGCTCCTACAGTAGTGGGCTCCAACCCGAAAAACTGGAACCCAGTGACTTCGCAAGAGCCCTTTTAGGGTTTACGGTGGATGATATAGATCCTGCATTACCCTAAGGACCCTAAACTATGGGAATTATGGTATATTCCTTATTATGGGTACTGCAGGATTTATATCATCAACCGTAGGGCAGGATTTATGGCACGCCCAAGCCTTTTTTTTTGCGTGACAGGTGCAAAAGCTGGAGGGAGAGTATGTGGAGGCCTTCCCAAAGGAGCCCGGGGCAGATTTCGTTGGTAAGTAGCTACCCAAGACCTTCTTTACTCTGAAGCCCTACAAAAGAAGTCGGAAGCATAAGTGGTGACGGGTTGTGCTGGCGTTTGTGAAGGTTTAGGGGGGGTGCTTATGCAAGCACTGATTTGAGAGTTCCGGACCGCTTGAGCCTAAGATGCACAAATCGACGGGCCTCAATCCCTCACCCGGGCTCTTACGTGCAGAGCCTTGATGCAAGGATTTTTCGAGCGTACCCGTGCCCTCAAGCCCTAACCGCTCGCCCTCTGTAAGGTTTTTTTATCCCACGAAGCACAGCATTATTTTAAAGCTCTGGCAACCGCTGAACATGCTGCTGCTTGCTGCTGCTGCTGCTGCTGCTGCTGCTGCTGCTGCTGACCTCATAGGACAAACTGGTCTACCTGACTGCAGATGCCCAGAAGGCGGGTGTTACGGGTTTTTTGGGGGGACAAAGCTTCAAGGATTCAGGGCTTGTAGGTCTTTCGGGCATTTTCCTTAGAGCGATGTCTAGGTCTTCAAGTCTTAGCGTTATACGCTTTCGGGCTCTCAAGGCTACATGCAGTGGGTTCACATGTTCGGAGTAGGCTTCTTCTAGCGGGTTTGGAAGAGTAGGAGTAAGAGGTTCAGAGTCGTAGGATTCACTTTAGTTCTTTTAGCGTCAGCTTAAACCCTTAAACCCTAAACCCTAAACCCTTAAACCTTAAATCCTAAACCCTTCATTTATGACTCCCGGCAACTGCTCTGGAGTGGAGTTCTCAACAACCTTAACGAGTTTTGGGGTATCGGGTGTAGGGATCGGGAAAGACAAAACAGTATCCCATTATGGCAACTATAGCTGCTGAACATACATAACTTAGCATAATTTTGGTCCCCAAAACCTCATTCCAGGTACTACGGCCCCGATACTAGAGCCCGGAATTGTCGGATGGTGGCAGGGTTGGTTTAGGGCTTCACACACGAGGGGGTCACTGGTCAATGTGTTGTAAGGTATGGGGGTTAGGTATTTGTGGGTTGACTTTAGGCCCGAAAGCCACAAGCCCGAAGCATAAAGCCCTAAACCTTCCAACCGCACGCTAAGCCTCAAAGCCTTGAAGCCAAATCCCAAAACCGGAAATCCTGCACACCTGGGCCGCTGTGTTTACAAAAAAACCTAAAGCCTAGGGTTATTTAACAAAACCCTGGGCCGCTGCTTTTTCAAAAACAAAACCCTGGGCCGCTGCTTTTTCAAAAACCTAAAACCTATGCTTTTTTTCAAAAAAACCCTGGGCCTCTGCAGGTCCTCCATAGCTTTGACCCCGAGAAGGTTTACGTCATCGGCGGGATCGTGGACAGGAACCGACTGAAGGGCCGGACGTCCCTTGTACAGTATACTAGAAGCCAGAAAGTTGGAACATGGCTTTAGGAGGATTCGTGCTAGGATCCCTGATACATTACCTTAAGGGCATGAGGAGAATGATGTTCCAACTTTCTGGCTTCTACCATAAACAGTTTACAACAGGTTACCATAACGGGGATCTATGGTTAGTTCAATGGGCTTCCTCTTTCGAAAGATGATTTACATAAATATGTTTTTTTTTGTATGGTAGTTTAAACATTCAGTAAGCCCACAAAGTTGGAAACAGGATTAAGGCCAAATAGTGCTGGGATTCCCCATACCTTACTCTTACGGATTGAGGCTACTGGGTTGCTAACTTTGTGGCTTCTATTGTAAACGATTCGGGTTTCGAGATTACTGTTTAGGGTCTAGGGGTTAGGGTTTTGGGTCTAGGGTTTGAGACTCCAACAACAAGCACAAGCACAAGTACGGAAGCCTCCCTTGAAGGAACCCGTAAAGAAGTCCTGGCAGAAGCCCTTAGACGTATTGCCTTCGTGGCTTTTATGCTGAGTTTCTGCTGCGGCTGCTGCTGCTGCTGCTGCGGCTGCAGGAGTTGGGGTTGAGGGTTTCTGTTTAAAGGCTGCGTCACCCAAGGCTGGACGTTGGTTTAGGGTTTAGGCTGTAATTTAACATAAACCCTGTAGATGTTAGCGATTTGCTGAGGATATATTGGCTCAGTAGCTGAGTGGATACACTTTTGGGGGATATGATCACCCACTATAAAACTAAAAGTGTACACTTTTGGGGGCTTATGAACTCAGCAACTAAGTTGGTGGGTGCTCATTTTCGGTGTGTCATGTGTATGTTAGTCATTACCGCACTAATCCCTAAGCCCCTAAACCCCCATGCAAAGGTTGGAGAAGGCGCAGACCCAGGACATTGCCGCTGAGCAGCTTCCGCTCTCAGAGTCGCTCATCTCTGCACTTGGCAGGCTAAGGTTAGGGACCCCAAAAGCACATAAGCATAAGCATTTTGTAGGGATATCCCTACCTTATTGGGCTTCAATATAAGGGGGTATATGTGGGATATCCCTATCCTAATTTGTTCTTATGTGCTTTTTGGGGCCCTATACTAAAAGGGGCCTTAATAAAAACATCCTATTGTGGGGGTTCCTTTAAAGGGTTCCTTAAAGGGGTCTATAATGTAAGGGATCTATAGTGGGGTTCTATGGTAGAGGGGCCTAACTAATTACCGATGCCATTTTGGGGGGTTCCATATTATACGTATAGTATAGTGGGCCCCCAAAAGCTGTTTTCTAATTATTAAGGCCCCCATATTGTAGTACCCTTATAGTAACCATCAGGGTTAGGCGTTTAGGGTTCAGGGTTTACTGTAGGGTGTAGGTGTTTCGGGTGCAGGGTTCAATGTCTGGGGTTTTGGGTATCGGGGGTTTGTCTGCTAACGGATCCAGGTGTCGAATATAGGCGCCTTCATGATTAGAGTAAGGTCCCTTTACGGGTGCTCTTTGTTTGAGGAGGCGATGGATTCGAGAGTTTCTTGGAAGACCTGTTGTGTTGTTTTGATGATTGTTAACATGAACACTACGGTTTTGGAGTGATCTTCATTCAGGGCTCAGGGATGTTGTGGCCAAGGTTTCGTGAGGACTGCGCTAGTTTGCAACACTTCCGTGCGTGATCCTCATCCAGGGCTCGATATCCTCGATGCTGAACGCAGTTGACCAAGCGAACCATACCTGTAGCCCCATTCCCTGCAATATCGCATGCTACGATCCTCAGAGTGAACCTAAGCCCTCGAAGCCTTGCATCGCAAACAGTCGGTTAAATCTAGGGATCCCGAAACCCTAAACTCTACACCCTAAACCGCTAAAGCTTGGTTTGTACTTTTTCTTCAAGCAGAACTCGGCGTCTCGGTGCTGAACCATGAGCACGCCCAGTGGAACGAGGGTAAGCGCCTTGCACATGGGGAATGCTGGCAAGAACTGCGGATTCAGGCCACATGAGTATGTTGGACTTCAAAGGCTTAGGGGGCTTCTAGTTCATCGCATGCTTTTCTGCAAGGTTTCAGCCCACCGGAGTTTGAGAAGCTGTTCGGGTGACTGGCAGCTGGGTCAAAGTGGGGCCAGGAGATCTCCCAAGGGGCGCAGACCCTCATACCGCACGTCACATGATCCCAGCTCACGAACTGCCTTGTGGTATCGCTCCCGCTTTGTGCAAGGTCACTGCTGCTGTCGGAAGGCTTCTGCGCAGCGCAGGCAGCGCCGCGCCCTGACGAGAAATCCTTCCTCCAGTACAACGCATTCCTGCACATTCAGGACTCTCGGTGCAGCAGTTCTGGCTTCCTACTGCTGTCTTTCTGGCGTCGATGTGCTGGAACGTGCAGCCGGAGGCGTTTCTCCGCAGCAGGTTTATCCAGGTCGGCCAAAACACCGTCGCAGTTGGGACCCGAGTAGCCTCGGCGACTGCATGATTCTGGGCTGGGTCTCCGTGTGCTGTCGCCGCAGGTTGCGCCCCGCGCTGAGGTGGTGAAGTTGCTGGGCCTGCAGCCGCATGTGCTCCGCCGCGTCATCGGCTGGCTGCCCTTGTGCGCGTTCAAATCTGCCTGGCTGGCGTTCAAATCTGCCTGGCTGGTGTTGGCAACAGTTGCACATGCCTCTGGCCTGTCCGCACCTGTAAGTCCCTTGTAGGATTGCCACACCACTCCAGTTCGGAATTGTTTATGCCATTTATCTGCCTTTGCTTGTTAAGTCTCGGGCATGTCTTCTGGTTAGACTGGTGCATCTGGTATTGCGCTAGCAGTTTGATCACAAAAGTATAGGGAGCCGCACACCGGCTAACACAGTTTGCATTCGCGGCAGGAGGGGAGGTCCAAGACTTGCGGGGCCCGGCAAAAACTTATGAACGCAAACTTCATGTCTTGATCCGTCTTCATATTGGTGCTGCCTGGCTTCACATCCGCCAGCTCTGCACTGCCTCCCATTCACCGAAGTGCCAGGCATCAGCAAGACAAGGACATTGCTCTTCTTGATGTGTTAGTGGGATCTGGTGGGATGCTCATGACTTTTTGTCGTTTGCCTGGTTGTGTTTCGAACCTGCTGCGGTTTCTCTGCGGGAGGTGAGCCCTGACTTCGCTGACCTCGACGGGACCGAGATGATGAAAGACTTCGTCATCGTGAACAGTGTGAGAAGGATGCTAGCTGACACTGATTGGTTGGAGCCATCCCTTCGCGATAAGATCTCAGCTGGTGGTGTAGTTACCCTTGAAGATTTAAGTGAGGGTAACTCCCCACCAGCGTGGGATGGCTACGTCGAGGGTTTGGTTGATGCGATCCCTGGCACATATGCCAGCGTCAAGTCACAAATCAAGGCGCTATTTGACGCAGAGCGCCAAGGCGAGCCAGGACAGTAGGCCGCACGCCTATAGTGTAGCGCGCCTGGTGTCAGAAATGCGAGTGTTGTTTTCGTCTGCACTGCTTGGCTTATGTGCGTTCCGAAGCCGTCCTGGCTATGGAGCGGCTGCCTGCCATTTCAGATTCATTGCTTGCAGTTTGCATGCAGCTCGGGTGAATATTGACCTGGTCAGGCTCGGCCACGTCCCGTCCTTGCTCCGTGAACACCATCTACAGGCCTCCCACCGTCGTGAACTACCGTTCATTCATAAAAAAAGCCCACCGTCAACAATTCACAAAAGAGCCCCAAATTATGTGGGTTGGTGGTCGTTTTGCTTGGGTTTTTTGTCCTAAGGGGCTGCATATAGGGATCCTTATTAGGGCTATATTAGGCAGCATTAGGCACCTGTAGAGGGACCACCAGTTTGATTGAGCCTTAAACCTTAATCCCCGATCCCCCAAAAAGTGCCTGCCAGCCTTTGCCGCCAAAGGCACATTGAGATGGGATCATACAGCCGGGTTCTCACAGTGAACCACGCGCCTCAATCCCGACTGGGATGTACAGGGGTTTGCGGTTTAGAGTTTCGAGTTCAGGGTGTGCATAAAGTAGAAGTCCCCGCATGGGTGGTGCCCAATATTACTGTATTCCTCAGGGAAACTGAGGGTGCATTGGGGCATGAGAACCAAACGATTCCCGTCTTCAGAGGTTTACAGTTACAGCCTACAACAACTTGGGTTTGGAGTTGGGGAATACCTACGAAACCCTAAACCCGAAACCCTGCTTCTACACTGGGCTGCGGGGTTTAGGCATTTCGTCTCGAGGGTTCTGAGATTTTGGAATTTAAGGGATGTGGGATTCAGGAGTTGAGGGTTTAAGGGTTTGAGTTTTAGGGTTTAGGCTTGAGAGTTTAGGGTTTAGGGTTTAGGGTCACGTAGTTGAGGTTTGGGGAGGAGTTTCGGGTTTTGGGGTTTGGGGTGGAAGAAGTACGGTGGAGGTTGCTGGTTTTTCAATAACCATACTTTTGAGCCGCTTGTGGGGAATAGTGTGTTCCAAAAGTTCAATCTCAAAAAACTGAATGCTTGTGCACTGCTCAAGCCATCTTCTTTCAGCCTATGACCTTGCACTCACCGCAGCCCCAGCCTTCAAACCTGCCATAGAGCGCCAAATATCGATTGTACTTCCTTCTCATTCTGCCCCTGCCCGTAGTAAGATGCTTGCTAACAAGTCGTTCGTATACACTAACCTTACACCCTTAACCCCCAAATTGCCTCGTTTCGCTGAACCCCTACACCCCCAACGTTACGTCCCCAAACCCGAAACCCAAACCCTAAATTCAACCCCCAAGCCGCTCAAGCCTTAAAGCCCTTACCCCCTAAACCCCAAAAGTCTGGATCCCCGAAACCCCTAAACTCCTATACAGGCTAAGAGCACAACCACCCACACCATATAAAGAATGTAGTGATAACAATATCAGCAAGAAGTATGAACAAGAAAGTAACAAGAAATATGATGGCGACAGTAGTATAAACTTGGATAGCTACCAGTATTTTTCGTTAGGGCTCTACTCATGCAATGCAGGCTCTTTTTTGGCCACAGATGCTGCGTTTCAAGTCGTGGGTTTCAGGGATGTGGGGCCCTAAACCTTGAACTCCAAAACACTGAATTTCAGACATGAGCCCGAAAGAGAGAACCGTCATGCCCGACGGAAAAAGATGAAAGACAGAGCGAGCTTAAGAGAGAACACAACCGAGGTGTGAGTCTTGAAACAAGCGGAGACAAACAAGAGCAAACAGAACACAACATAAACACGCCTATCCGAGGTGCTGAACATGATCCTGGACTACCAGGCCACCAACGATTGGCGCGGTGTTTGCGAGCGCTGCGTTCCGGGGAGGAAAGCCGCTTGCGAGAATTATGGGTTTAAGTTTATTGTTGGGGCCCCGAACCGTAGTTCATTGAAACTTACATGTGATTTCAACCTGCTTGGAGGGATACGTTGGGGGGCATTTCGTGCTGCGTGCGTAGGTTTGAGTTCAAGTTGTGGTAAGGTTTAGGGGTGGTAGAGATTTAGGATTACCGTTCTTTTGGTGTTGGTTTCAGTGAGAGATCTAAGATTCGGGACAATGGTTGGAAGCTTTCAAGGCGCGGTAGCACGCCCAACTTGCCCCAGACGCACGACATTCGCAGAGCTTCTAGATCTTTTTGGGTGGCTGTCAAAATTCTGGTCCCCTCTTGGGCACCGTCAATATTAGGTGCCGTATTATAACAAGGACCCAAACGGGACCATAATTTTGACAACCACCCATATAAGCCCTGGACCCTTCAAACCCTTGCCCGGCAGCGAACGAGGCCTCCAAACCCCGAAAAGCACCCGACCGCCAGGCATTGAACCAGAGAAGCCCTCAACCCCAAAAGCCCGAAGCAAATCAACCCTGAAAGGGGAGGGGAGTTGAGGTTAGTGTTTGCGGTATTCATATGCTTTGAGAGCAATTAAAGCCCAAAGCCCCATCAACACCGTATAACATCTTCTGAAAACTGGGATGGCGCCCTTCTTAAGTAAGGCTCTTTAGTTTAAACCATAACGCTGGTAGCCGCGAACATCATAATCTTAGTTCTAACCCTGCTTAGAATCACAGTCATGGTGATCATAGCATTTAACCACGGTGGTGCAAGTTACAAATAACAGCAGTGAGAGCAGCATTAATCATGACAGCAGCATGAGCAACAGCAGCAGTAAAGAAAACAATCCCAACGTAGACCCTAACCCCCAAAGCCTACACCCTACGCCCACACCGAATGAATGGCGATAATGACGACGACGCTCGACCAAATATACGGGCCTCAATGATTACCTGTACTATTTTGGGGCTTCCTTATTCTAATTATAGTATAATGGGCCCCAAAACCCTATTCTAATTACAAAGGCCCCTTTAAGGAACCCTTTAAGGAACCCTATTCTACTTGATCAAGGCTTTAAAGGTATCAAGCAGGACGATTTTTGGGGGTCCCAAAGTTTAAAGGCGATTACGCATAGGCCGACCCGTAGGGTCACACTAATGTAGGAACCTGATTACCCAAAGGGTCCAAAGTACCGATATGGTAGAATGTAGGGTTTCTATATTAGGAATTACTGTTATGATTTGGGGATGTATTCCCCATGACAGTACATAGGACCCTTTGGGTATTGTAGGAACCTGATTAAGAAACCCTGGGCCTATAATCCCAAAATTGTAGGATTCGTATAAGGAACCCTATTAAGGGCCCTGAAGGTCTCTGAATCAGGTTCGTACGTTACCATACTTTAATACTTTCTTGGGGACCTGGTACATAAAGGGAACCCTTATGAAGTAAGGGTCTATATACGTATTGTCAGAGCAGCTGCAGATAAGGAACCCCAACAAGGGCCGTTAAGGTCTCTTAATCAGGCTCCCTAAACCGTAAACCCTAAACCGTCAGAGCAGCTGCCGATCTGAGGTGATGACTACTGAGGGTGAAGTGGCAGATGTCGAAGATCTCCCCGGAAAAGGTGAGCCGGTGTCGCTGGAGTGACAGCGAAGCAAAAAGGAGTGCCCGGGGGAGCTGGGGGTTTCGATTTGGTGGTCCTGAGGCCTAGGGGTTAATACTAATAGTAACATTAATAGTAACAGTAATAGTAACATTATTAGTGACGGCAATAGTAACAGTAACCTGCATTCATAGTATCTAATATTTAAGACTAATGCTTCAAAGGTGATGACATGTCCAGGATTTCTGTCGGGCTCTCTTGATCTCGCCTCCATGCACCTTACCAGTGTAGGGCCTTCAACCCTTAAAGGAACCCTGAAAGTGTCCCCTTTTTAAACGAACCCTACGCACCCCTTGCAGGACCGTCGAGCAAAAGCAGAAAAGACTCGGGGTTTAGGGTGTAGGCTTCAGTGGTTCAGGGGGTCGGTGTATGCTAGCCCTAAACCCGAAACCCTAAACCCTAAACCCTTAACCGAAACCCTAAACCCTGAAGTGTTTGCACTCACCCCAGCAGCCACAGAGCGGTCGAGGCTCGCATCGCGCAAGTTTTTCGACTCATGGTCGATCATGAAACCTGATATCATCTTGTGTAGCGTTGTGTAGCAAGTTATAACAGAGTACAGTATGGAAGAGCATAGTATAGTGTAGCATATAGACATAGGCATGATGTATTATTGTAGTTTGTTAAATGTCCTCACCCTAAACCCTGCAAGCCCACAACCTGACATTATCACTCCTGATCGCCGTAGTGTATAGGCTGCGCAGTGCCACTGTTCCCGAGGTCGCATCTTCATGACGGACAAGCAGGACTCCCAAACCCAAAACCCCGGCCAGATTCCGCTAAGAGTTTAGGGTTTAAGATTAGCAGCAAGGTATTGGGAGGGATGTCAAAAACGTTCTAGAGGATACTTCTACGGGCATCAGCGTACCTTCGGGTGAGGTTGGTTGCGGGCCGGATCGCTTTTGCGTTCTACGATTCCTTCCAAATTTTCGAGGAATCTGGTGACAAGGGTTTACTACTTAAAGAATTAGGAGACTGTCGGCTCTAAGTACCTAGCTGGAGTTACTGTAACTCACAATTTAGGGCTAAGGGTTCACTAACGCAAGCGAAAACCTACTTGCTAAGTCCCCTGATCCTTGAGGCCAAGCCCTTGCTGAACACATGGACACAGGCAGAGACCCACGACAGTGTAGCAGCCTCTAATAAAAGGGCCTAAATATCAATACCATTTTGGGGGTTCCTGATTATAACTATAGCATAAGATACTCCCAAACCCTAGTCTGCGCTGAGCCAGTGAAGCCTAAAGCTTCACTCGTAAAGGCTCCACCTGAAAATGTCATATCGCAGGGTTTGGGGCTTGAACCTTCGCAAGCCCTGCATCCTAAACCCGCAAACCCCAAATCCATAAACCCCTAAACCCTAAGCCCTAAGCCCTAAACCCAAGTTTTGGGTCGGGTAACGATCAAAGTTCTTCCCAAATCGCAAAGCCTTGCATCCTAACAGGCCACAGTTCATAGGGTCGGCAAAAAAGCCCCTAAACAAAAGCGAGGATATGTACCCCAAAACCTATCCCATGTAAGACCCCGTGGAAGCAAAGCAGGGCTGGGATGTGCCTGTCAAATGCTTCTGCTGCGCCCGTCAGGACCAAGCTCGGTTTGGCTTTGTTATTTGATATTATAACTATATGGTATAGAAGCTTATTGACAAGTAACATTAAGCTAGCTCACTTGTAGATGTATACTTTGATAACGCCAAACCCTACTGAGGCCATGAAGCTATTAAGGCACCTGTATCTAATCTATGCCGAAGCTGCAATACAAACATGCGGAAGAAATGTGGGTGCCGCGAGAGTTTGGGTTTAGTGTTTAGGGTTGATGTTTTGAGGTTTAGGGTTTGAGGCTTTTGGTTTAGGGCTTAGGGTACAGGGATTAGGTTTCAGGGTGGTCACAACCTGCAGGGTTTGGAACGCACGGCTTGGGGAAGTATAGAAGTGCAGAGAACATATTCCCTGCACAATTTAGAGCACATTTCCTCGGGGTTCCTCCTTACAAGTGTACTATGACATACACCAAAACCCTGGGCCTCTCCATTACTTGATCCAGTAAGCTGTAGTCCTAGCATGTCGATTTCTTTGGATGTGCATCTGCTGAGTGGCAAGTGCGCCTCTATTGAAGTGGAGGCAGATGCATCCGTTGAGTCATTGAAGCGCCGCGCGCAGACTGCCTTGGCGAGCAGGGGGCGGCTGCTGAATTCTTCTGGACATGGTGCTTGATGGAGCACAAACAGCCACAGAAGCGAAGTTGAAGAGTGGAGACATGCTCACCCTGGTTTAGGGTTTAGGGTTTAGGGTTTAGGGTGACCCTGCAAGTGAACCAGGTCCAGCTTAACGCCACCACACTCAGTAGCTGTGCATTCGCCGCAATCCTGGCTGATGGATGTGTGGTCGCTTGGGGCAGTGCCGACTTCGGTGGCGACAGCGGTGCGGTACAAGATCTGCAACAGATCCAAGCTTCTTTTGGTGTGTTTGCTGGAATTGTGGCTGATGGATCTGTAGTCACCTGGGGTGATGCCGATTCTGGCGGCGACAGCACTGCCGTCCAGGAGCAGCTGACGAGTGTGCAGCAGATCCAAGCTTCTTCTGGTGCATTCGCTGCAATCCTGGTCGATGGATCTGTAGTCACCTGGGGTGATGCCAGCGGTGGCGACAGCAGTGCCGTCCAAGAGCAGCTGAAGAATGTGCAGCAGATCCAAGCTTCTTATTATGCATTTGCTGCAGTCCTGGGTGATGGATCTGTGGTGACCTGGGGTAAAGCCGGCGCCGGTGGCGACAGCAGTGCGGTACAGGATCAGCTGCAAGATGTGCGGCAGATCCAAGCTTCTTCTCGTGCATTTGCCGCAATCCTGGGTGATGGAGCGGTGGTCACCTGGGGTCATGCCGATTGTGTTGGTGACAGCAGTGCGGTGCAGTATCAGCTGCGTAATGTGTAGCAGTGTAGCAGTCATTTCTCGCTTCTGAGAACTGCGCGCTTTTTTGAAGTTAACTAGTTGGTCATCGTATTCTCTGCGAGTCCGGCTCCCGTCTCAGTTAGCTTCAACATTGCTTTCATTTTCTGATCTAATCTCCGATCGCTCAAGCTCATTGTGTGTTCTCTATTTGTTTTCACTCAGGTTAGCAGAGACGGGCGATCACAACCGTAGGTTGTCTTGATTTTCAGAACAGCGCCTAAGCCCAAAGCCCCAGGCACCAAATCCTCGACCCATACGGCGAACCCTCACCCAGCTGCACAAGTTGAAATTGGTGTATATATTGGTTGACAAGATTTATGAATGCTGTCCAGACCTACGTGCTGACCTCTCACCCCGAAACTCATATATGCTGGGGCTTAGGGTCAGTGCAACATCCAGGACTCTCGACCGTTTGCGTCTTCACTGTCACGTGTAAATCCAAGTTGAACCATCTCCATTTTCTGAAGTGGTAACGATTTATACTACCTTCAGCTGCATTCGAAGGATTCCGGACATACGTTGATTGTCCTCTTAAGTTTCCTTCAGCCTCCAATTGCATTCCTCATCAAATAGGTGTCAGGACACTAATTGCCCAACTTCTTTCTTGCCAGCCAAATGTATCCCTACACCCTCAGACGCTACAGCCCTACAAGACCCTTCAATCCCGGACACGTCAGACACAAACGACTAGGGTTAAGTTTTCTTTCCTGTCGGTCTAGCGAGTATGCTCTGCACAGTATGCTTTGCGGGTGAGAGGCCAACTATTTTACCCTATATGGGGGTTGGTCTCAGGGTCGTCCTATTTTTGAACCCTACTGAGACCCCGGAAGAAACCGTTCAAAGGGAACCCCATTCTATAGTAGCGAACGTCAACGGGGCGGCCGCCTCTCTCGCTTCAAATTCCCACATTGGCTGCACAGGTGATCCCAGGGATCCCAATACCCCTCACTTAAAGAAGATACCTTAAACCATAATATTAAGGCCCCCATGGTCCACTTCTCAGCCTGCGGCACGCGGCTTTCAGAAGCCGCCGGTCTTTTCGGTCGCCCCCGATGCTGTGGAGGATCCCGCTCAGGTCTGCGCAAACAGCCGCCAAGACGCCCATACTTTTTGGTTGAAGCATTCCTTTGACAAACGCTGGTGCGCTTCGACGATTCCGCCAGACAAGTGTACATGGCGGCCAAGGATGGTGGCAAGGACTTCTCCTGGCAGCGCACGGCAAGGACTTAGACCCCAGCTTGCGGGCAAAGAATCAGTTGATGCATTCCAACATTTGCCGCCTCCTAACCCTAAACCCCTAAACCCTAAACCCCTAAACCCCTAAACCCCTAAACCCCTAAGCCCTAAACCCTGAAGCCCTAAACCCCTAAACCCCTAAACCCTGAAACCCCTTGCGTCTAGGAACCCCGAGAGGAACCTTACTGCCTTGCGACGTCCCTGACCTCAACCCCGAACCCTACTGTAAACTACCAAACCCTACGTTTTTGTAGGTTCTTATTAAAAACCCTAATATGGAATTTATAGGGACCCTACAAAAAAGTAGGTTCTGGTAGGTTAAGGTACTGTAAACCCGAAACCCTAAAGCCTTGAAGCCCCAAACCCTAAACTTAGATAGTGAACAGGGGAACTTTAAACTTTTTGGCTTTATATACTAGCTCTATTTTAGAAAGTTTGAACCTTTTTGGGGCCCGGTTGTTGAAGAAGAGAGTAAACCCTAAACCCAAAGCCCTCAAGCCCTAAACCCTCAACCTCAAGCCAAGCTTGCAGGACCGCTTTTGCAATTTCGTTGAGTCGGCTCGGTCCCCAATCGCCGGCTCAGAAGCGGTTGTTTTAGGAGTTTCGGTTTAGGGTTTAGGAAGTTTAGAGTCTAGGGTTGCTAAGGCTTAAGATTTTGTGGGCTTCAGGTTTTGTAGGTTCAAGGTTTGGGGTTTCGGTTTTGGGGTTTAAGGTTCGTAGGGCCTGAAACCTATTGCAAATGACACTTTGAGCAAATGGGTGGGTCTGAACAACCAGGAATAGTATCGCGCTGCAGGCCGCA